CCGTTTCCGTGCCACACCCGGCAATGCCCAAGAGAGTTTCTTTAAATCTAAACTTGTATTTATTCTAATAACTCGTTTTATTATTATTCCTTAAATAAACTTAATCAATAAATTGGCAATTATTAACATTTTTATTCTAAGCTTAGATCTAAATTTGATCATATTTTTGTAGGTAAAAATTAAATTAAGCCAAAGGGATATTTTATATAGATACATCTCCATTTAATATCATTTATTATTTTAATTATATTCCATTTGAGTTTGATAAATTCAAATTAAAGCAGCTACAATTTTAATTTATATACCCTATAAAGAAATTTTTTAAAGTAGATATTTTTACTTATAGAATTCAGTGATAAAAATAATCAATAAAATATGTTAATGAAATCGAAGGAAAAATTTAGCACAAAAGAAACTACTTATGCATTGAAGTAACATCCTGATACTTTAAAAAAACGAATGGTAGTTGAAAACTAGCATAAAAATGGAAATTTTTGTATATGGTATAATTTACTATTTATTTTGCATCTCTATAAAATGTTATTATAAAAATAATCTTCGAATCAATTACTAATTACCTTAAAATACACCAATATTTCAAATAATTCTACTAAATATGAAACAAAATTTATAAATTCTTAGAAATGAAACAAGAAGAAATCTAAATAATAATAAATTTAAAAAAAAAAGAGGATAATATTGAAAAATTCCTTGTTTTTGAATAATTTGAATGATAATCTATCACTAACCTAATAATAAGAATTAAAAACATGATTAAAAACTACATGAATAATTAATTATAAATAGCAATGCTAAAACATACATAATAGTTACTATGATTGATGTCTTATAATAAGGCGATCTGTTAAGAAGGAATATCGAATAACATCAATTACCTGCAAAAATAATCATTTTTAAGCAATTTATGCAAATTTATATCCAATTAAATAATAAGTCCTTCTACTTCGTTAATGGAGGTAGTTTGCAATATTAAAACGATGTCTATATCCCCCAAACATATTACTGCAATAATTAATATCTTACAGCGCTTCTTTTATATAATCCCTTCGCTTTCTACATATATAATATATAATGATAGCCATAAAAAATTATAGCTTCTAGATTTAAAGAATTATGTGTTTCCAAAAGCTTACCACAAATAGCACCGCAGGAACTGAAACACTGGTTATATTAACTAGAAATGCAGAAGTGGAATTTTATAAAACAGTTAAGTACAACTAAAAATTCATTTACTACCATAGGACAATTTTTCCAGAGAATTTTCCACTCTTGTTTAAATAGTGTAATAAAGGTGGCTAGTATCATAAAATTGCCTTGCCATATAAGCACATTTTCAATTCTCACTCAAATCTTAAGGACTTATTACATTAATGGAAAAATTTCTTAATAAGTAGTGCCTGAAAAATAATTATAAGCCAAAGTGATTACATACTATTTTTAGATGAAAATAATTGTATTTCCTTCATTATTTAACTTATTAAAACCTACTTCTTATAAGCCTAATAAATATGGGTTTCTTTAGATTTATTGGCGAGTTTAGGTTTTAATAGAACTTAAATTTCATAAAATTATTTTGATTAGTGTATTTGTATTTGTTTATACTGTTTGGGAAGAATTTTTATATATATAATTAACTATCTACCATATTTATTCTTGAGGGATTTTCCTTGAACGAAATGTTTTATGTGTTTTTAAGATAAATCGGATTAATATGGTCCTATTATGCATTTATTACAGAAAATTTTTATATTCTGAACTTCAATGATTGCTAATTCTTCTAAATTTTGAATTATTTTATTAGCAAATTCTTTAATGTTTCTTTTATTTTATTTCTGACTAGAATATCTCTGTAATGGTATTGATCTTACTTTTAGCTTATTAACTATAGATATGGTTTGTAATGGTTTTTTTTCTAGAGGTCTGAATTATTCCTTTAATGATATTCAGGATTCAATTTGCTCATTCGCATTATCTTACCCATCCAAGTTTCTTATCAATTTCAAATATAGTTTTTATAAAAATAAAATTATGGGTTTGTGTAATTCAGGAGTTATATATAAAAATTGATATATATTATACCAAAAGAATATCAAAAAGGCACAAGTAGAAAAATTAAATTGTATTTCCTTTCACCTAAACTTTTAAGTTTCTTATCTTCAAATTATGCTGTACTATGTAAATTATAAATTAGGATTAATTTGTTTAGTAATAGTTATGCCTTATACTTGCAAAATCTAATTATTAACTTGAAACCTAACTTTGTTATCTATACTTGTATGCATCCTTAATTGAACTTGTTAAAGAGTAATATTAATCTCAATATGTATTTGCAAAGAAGTTTTTCTTAATATCCTGAAACCTAATATTATTTCTTATGTAACTACTTTGTTTCTTACCAAATATCTGGATTAAGTGCCATCATACTTCTTAAGTAATCTGTGGCTACTGCCAATATCATCCTAACCAGTGATATGATTTGCCCTGAAAGAAGCCATTAGATTCTGAATGGATTTTGAAGATGGATATGTAAATTTAATTTTAGATCTTAAGGAGTTTTATTTCAAATGAGATTGCTATTCTGGCATAATTTCAATTTCATTATCAGTAATATAAAGAAATACATGCTGTATTAATAACCTCTTTAGAATGGATGGGGGCATATTAAATGTGGAGGAATAAGGAAATCCAATAATTTTTTTTAATTATTAGTAATATCAAGAAAATAATGAAAGAAGAAAAACGAATAAAAAGTGTTTGGAGAAAATATTTATACCTCCTGTCTATTTATAACACTATCATGATAACAATAAATTTAACTTTTTCGTTTATGATTATTATTCAAATAGAGAATTTGTTAGATTGGAATTAGAAATAGGTGAAAATAGGATAGTAAAATGATTAATTTAACTAACATTGCATTAATAAATGTGAACCAAATTTAGAACAATAAGAAATAAATTAATTTGTATAGCAAAATGGTTATTCAAATATATACTAAATAGATAAATAGACTGTAATTTTAAAAACTGCAAAAGGTTAATAAAAAGAATAGATAAATTAAATTGAAAAAGTATTATTAAATAGGGGTTAAGAACAATAAAATACACCAAATGAAAATAACACTTAAACAGATGGTTAAGAATATTAACTTACACCATATGAAAATAATACTTAAACAGATGGTTAAGAACATTAACTTACACCATATGAAAATAATACTTAAACAGATGGTTAAGAACATTAACTTACACCATATGGAAATAACACTTAAACAGATGGTTAAGAACATTAACTTACACCATATGAAAATAATACTTAAAAAGATGGTTAAGAATCATTAACTTACACCATATGGAAATAAAGCTTAAACAGATGGTTAAGAACATTAACTTACACCATATGGAAATAATACTTAAAAAGATGGTTAAGAACATTAACTTACACCATATGAAAATAATACTTAAACAGATGGTTAAGAACATTAACTTACACCATATGGAAATAAAGCTTAAACAGATGGTTAAGAATATTAACTTACACCAAATGAAAATAACACTTAAACAGATGGTTAAGAACATTAACTTACACCATATGGAAATAATACTTAAAAAGATGGTTCAGAACATTAACTTACACCATATGGAAATAATACTTAAAAAGATGATTAAGAACCTGAACATACGCAAATTGAAGATTTAATTAAATTTTAGGATTAAAAACAATAGAATTTTACCGACATATAGGAACCTAATTCATAGATTGAAACACAAATACTTTAAAATTTTTCTTAAAATTAGTCATCTTCACATTCTTATTCAAATCAAGTTGAATTAAATATTAATTACTCAATCACTCCCAATCAACTTGTTGGGAGAATACATTAAAATCTATAAATGACAAATTTTAATTCCTTTAAACTTATCTATAATGAAAATTTTGAAAAGTTTGTTAACCAAAATATTCTTTAAGATTTGTTTTATACAATATATAATTATGGGTCTGATCCTCTAATTTGTATAGCTGCTGAAGATTCAAATACGATAGTTTTAGTTGCCTGCGATTACTCTACTCAGGTTTTTTAAGAAACAAAAAATTTATATCTGGCTTAATGCAGCCACACTAGTGAAATATGTTGGTATTATTATATTAACAAAGCATTTGGTTTTTCTCCTTATAAAAAAATTAATCTGAATGGCTGTGATTCGTTCGATCCTGAGGATCCAAAAAGATTATGCATATCAATTAACACAGAACATAATGGAAGAAGAATTGGAATTTTGAATCAATCAGAATAATTAACAAAATATAACTTATTGATATACATTCTGAATATTTGATATAATCAATAATTAATTTAAGATTAATGATTATTCATTTTTTCAAACCTAAACTTTAGTTATTGCAAAAGAAAAATATTAGCAATTTTAATTGACTCATTCTGAGAAGGTAAAAGTAAATTATTGAATTATAATTATAATCAATTACTCCAAAACTATTATTATTAAGGGGCATTCTTAAATATATATTAAGACAGAACCAAGTAACTTTCTAATTCTTCTATCTATTTTATTAAAATAGTTATGTGTAATTCTATTTAATAATATTTACTTTTAGGTTGTACAAAATCTACTCTATTGTGTTCAATTTTAAGTAGAATAAGGAGGTATAAATATTATATTAACTGCACGCAATATTTTCTGAATTCTTACTTCTGTTAGATGATTAGCATATACATTTTGATTAAAATAACCATCAATAACCTGATAAGCTAATAATTGTTATTTCCAATGACATCAAGTATATAAGTATTTTTTTTTAGGTTATCAAATATTCAAAACTTTAGATTTCTTATTAGTTGCATGCATTTTGTGATTTTGTTAGTTTCCTTTTGCGGCCTAAAAATATTGCTTAAATAAAATCCCACTTGATAAATATTTATTTCTAGGAATTTTGAACTATATAATTAAACTATCGAAAAATTATATTTTATTAATAATAAAAAAAATTAATTGAATATGCTATTTTGATATTTTCATTAATTTAAAAAGTACTCAAATTTGATTTCAATTTTGGAAACATAAAAACTTTCCAAAAAACAAAGAGAACAAATTATTATCTGCAATTTATCAGAGAACTTAACTTTGTAAAGTATTTACATTATAATACTAATAATCAATAAACTTATAAAATTATAAAGGAAAAATTGTTCTTCTTGGAATATATTTATAAAATCTCTCAAATTAATAAGTTAAATATGTGAAAAAGATCTAAAAATGAACATTTTATTATAATTTCATTTTGCAAAATGACTAAGTTTTGAGTCAAAATCTCAAATGTATATCCTTCTTAAATTTCTAATTTTGAATTTTTGATGATTCTGAGTCTGATAATTGCCCTATAAGTCCTCTTGCATTCAGACTCAAAAAATTACGTAAAGATATTTCACTAGTTTTTAGCATTAATGACAGCAAAATTCTGCTTTAATTGTAATTATCTAAGGCTATTAAACAAACATACCAGACAAAACATAAGATAAAATAATATAGAAGAGTTGAGTTTTCTTGAAATTAAAGTGAACATGGGATTTATGCATCAATTTTTTTAATAGTGATGGTACTGCTACAGCTTAACAATCTTAATTATATACTACAGTAAACATGCTTGTGTGATCTAAGTGGAGTTAATTATTTTATATATGAAATTTATGAAATTATAATTGAATCGATTAAAAATGATAGATGAATAATGTTTCAACTTTTATAAGACTACAAAAACACAGTGGTTTTAGAATTATATTTTGCTTCAATTTTATTATGGTAAGAAAATAGAACAGGAATTTATAATACTTCAAATTGGATATATTTTGTAAATGTTAGAATTAAAAATATGATATACTCTTGTTCCTACTCAGCATTTCGAGTATGAAGTTTCGCATTTCAATATTAATAATTTTTGCTAATAAATCAAAATAAGGGATAATCTTAATATTCTAAAAAGAATAAAATACAAATTTTTATTATGATGACTCTTAAAAAATCTTTTTGCGCAATTTTTAAGTAAAAATATCAAGAATAAAAGAAAAATAGAAAAAAAGGATGGTCTAAAACCTAATTTAGATCAAAAGTATGAATAGTCAAAGAAAAATGATGTACTTTAATATCTGTATATTCTTTTTTGCAAATTTATAATTGAAATTTTTTTTTTTTTTAATTTAATTTGATTCGATTTAACAATGATACAAATTAAATCTGAAATTTTCTTCTTCTACAATATATATACAAAATTTATGATTAATTTTTAGATATTATTTTATAGAAATAAAGTGCTGTTTGATTATTATTTTAAATAAAGAATTAAATGGTAATTTTTTTTTTAGGAGTATTCTTTTCAATTATTCATGCGGATGACAAACTTTATGATTATCCTGTTATTGGAATTGATTTAGGGACTACTTACTCAAGTGTTTGCATTTAAAGAGATGATAAAGTTGAAGTACTTGCAAATAAATTTGGATCTAAAACAACACCTACAGTTGTGGCTTTATCAAATGATGAATTTATAGTAGGGGAAGATGCTAAAGAATAGGCCATTATTAATCCGAATAATACGTTTTATGATCTCAAAAGATTAACTGGAAGAAAGTAAGCTATGAAGTAATCATAGTTATTTTGATCCTAGTGTGTAGAAGATGAAGAAAAGATAGGCATATTCTATAGCTGAAGAAAATAATAGAACTTGTATTAAAGTAGATTAGTATGGAAATGAGAGTAATAAGTTATTTAGCATTGATTATATTCAAGCAAAGGTTTTAGTATATTTGAAGCAAATAGCTCACTTTTATTTAGAGGTTCCAATTAAAAATTTAGTTATAACAGTTCCTATCAGTTTTAATAATGCTTAAAAAGAAGCTACTATAGACATTGCAGAAATTGCCGGCTTTAATGTTGTTAGAATTATTAGTGAACCAAAGGCTGCTGCAATTGCTTATGGCATAGATAATTTAACGTAGAAAAAAATAATTTTTGTATTTGATTTTGGGGGTGGCACTTTAGATATTACAGTTGTGAAAGCAACAAAGGACAAATTTGAAGATTTAGAACATTAGGCATAACCAAATTTAGGAGGAGAAGATTTTGATTAGACTATAGTCAACTACTTCATTGATTATATATATAAATCTACTAGAATTGACATAATTCATAATAAAAAAGCAATTTAAGTATTAAAAACAGAAGCTTAAAGAGCTAAAGAAACTCTTTCTTCCTAGAAAATTGCACATATAAAAATATCGAATTTGATTGAAGGATATGATTTTAATTATAGTCTTACAAGGGAAAAATTTGAAGAGTTGAATGAAGAACATTTTAATGATGTTATTGATGTAATAAATTCAACATTTAAAATCTCTAATCTATAGATAATAGATATAGATGAAGTTATTCTAGTAGGAGGAAGTAGTAGAATTCCTAAAATCTAATAAATTATTGAAACAATATTTGTAAACAGCAAGATCATTAAAGATAGAATATAAGATGAGTTAGTTTGCGTTGGGGCTGCTATTTATGCAAATTCACTTACTAAAGAAGAATATTAAAAATATCAATTTGCAGAAATCATGAAAACTACGATAAGTTATGGCGTTGAAACTTTAGGAGGGATGATGAGTATAATTATACCTAAAATGTCTAAATATCCATTAACTTTGTCAAAAATATACACTTCAGTTCTGGATTATTAAACTAGGATCATAATTCAAGTTTTTTAGGGAGAAAATAAATTTACAATATTAAATTAATAAATTGGACTATTTGAATTAAAAGGCATTAAAATTGCTAAAAGAGGGATACCTGAAATTTAAGTTACTTTTTCCCTAAATTACAATGGATTACTTTAAGTTACAGCTTTTGATTTAGATACAAAAAGTTTAAGCTAGTATGAAATTGTCATAACAAATTTGATGAGACAATCAAAAGAAGAAATTTAGAAATAAAAGGATGAAAGTGAGAAAGAGGAAAAAATTTATTTAGAAAGAATGGACGTAATAAATAATTTAAAACTTTATTAAAAGGAATTCCTAATTGAAATATAAGTAAATTAATTGGTATAAATTAGCAATCAAAATATAAAAATTAAATAAGTTAAGCTGAATTGTCAGAAATAAAATTATTACTTGATTCTAGTTCTAAATGGTTATAAGAAAATTAATATAAAGCTGATAAAAAAATTACTGATTTTGAAAAAAAACAGTAAGATTTAAAGAAGTAATATATATAAAATTATTTAGTTCAATTGATGCTATAATGAATAAAAAAAGGGATTTATGATCTTGATTTAGATTTTAATAATTAAATTATTATATAAAGTTTTATTTCTAGATTAGAATATTAGATTTTTAATAGTCAATTACTCTATAACATATTTGAAAATTTATTTGTAACATAAGCTTCTATTTATTCTAATTACTACAGCTATTCTATTTCAATTATTAAAAAATAAGATTGATTAGATATTTTGGCTTCATTTCACAATAGATTAAAAGATGATCTAAAATGATTAAAATTTCAAACCTACTGTTCCACAAGGATCTGTTATTTTAAGTTATAAATATTTATGGATAGTAATCAAATATTAAAGAACTGTCTAAAAATATATGAAACCTTTAGTATCTAATTTTGTAAGTTGTTCTCATATCCTTAACTTATTAATTTACGCATAGTATTTGTTTATAATGAATATAAATTCAACCTTATTTCCTAAATAATACTGTAGCATCATACTTTGAGAATACATAAATATAGAAAAATTGATTGATTAAGAAGAAAGTCGATAAAACAATTTTAAGGTTGCTTAAAATTAAAGCTATAACAAATTTACTCCTACAAATTAAGGATGATGTAATTACAAAATTGTAAAATTGATTGCCAAAACGAGTGGTAGGAAGAAATGATTATAAAACCAAACTATAAACGTTAGATTTTATTGGGACTATTGCAAAAAAAGGAGCACAAAGCATATACCAAATAATCATTACTTCGTGTAAAGTAACAGATTAAACACAGGCATTCAGAATTTAGAATTAAAAATATTTAGAAGAAGTGAAATAAGACAAAATTTATTCAAGTAGAAGTCCTAAATTAAAGTGAAAATAAAAAAAAATAATATCCTAATATTTTTATTTGATAATAATCATTAAGAGATCAAACTTCTTTAAAACAATATAATTGATTTTATTTAAAAAATATATATTTACGGACTTTATTTTATTAAAAGAATAAAGTTGTTTACACTTAATATATACTAGATTTTTATTGTATTAGATTTTCATTTTTGAATATTTTATTGAACTTTATGTAAATGAATCACTAACTTTAATCAATTTAAATGGTATTCCAATTTAAACTTTATACCTAATATGAGGATATTTCATTTTTAAGATTTGTCCTTTAGATTGTAAATTAAATTAATGACAAATAATAATGATTACTTTCAAAACTTACCAATAATATTATCATAGTCTTATAAACCATTGATGAGCTAATAATGCTTATTTATAATTATTTAATATACTAAGATTGAGCTATCATATTTTTTTTTCAATTTTTTCTTAATTTATTTGTAATTTAATTTTTAGCTGTTTATAGAGTTTTCACAAAAATTTGAAGTTTAATATTTTTTTTTTTAATCAGTTTTAGGTGAATTTAAAAATTAATTGATTAAAAGGAGAAATTAAATGAGTATTTAAGAAGATTTTATTATTATTAGACTCAATTATGTAATCAATAAATTGATTTCACAAAATTAAAAAAAGAATTAATGAATTTACCAAAAGGTTCATTTTTTGATGATCCAAAATCAAATTTATGGATTAAAGAAGTAATTTAGGCATCAGATCCAAAAATTAGTGGAACACTGATCAAAAATTCTAAATTAGGAATTTAAAAAGAAAGCAACTATTTTCTTTAGGATGGAAAACTAGCTTGTTAACATAAATATATAGATCTATAGAATGCTACTTTGGAGAAGATAAAAGATATAGGATTTAAATTGACAAAGAATCGTAAATCGGTTGAGTTGCTTACTCATAATGAAGAGGCTCAAGGAATGTGGTATAAGTAACTTAAACAGTATTGCATTTAGAGAGGGTTCAATAATGTATACTCAATAAATAAATTGATTGGGAAGGGGAATTTTGCAAAGGTAAAGCATTATCGAATAAGTCAAGGTGTACAGTGCATCCAAAAAGAGTGATCACTCGACGTATGCTGTAAAGGCCTTCGATAAGCTAAAATTTTAAGATATTAGAATTGACAAGGTAGATTCATTTTATAATTGTAGCCTGCTTTGATTAAGGAATTATCAATAATGAGAAAGATGGAATTTGTGGGTGTAATAAAATTGTGTGAAGTGTTTGAGAATGACAATTATATATTTATGGTATGTGAATTGCTTGAGGGAGGGGAATTGTTTAATCAAATGAAAGGGAAAGCGTATGATGAGAAAACTGTTGCTCATATAATGTTTAGAATTTTGCAATCTATTGATTACATCCACTCAGTTGGTGTTCTGCATAGAGACATAAAGGTTAAGAAAAGTGATAATTATCTAGCCAGAGAATTTGATACTCAGATCAAAAAGAGACATGGCTGATGTGGTGATTGCAGATTTTGGTCTTGCTGATTTCTATAATTAAGAAGGAGATTATATGTTTAAGCGTTGCGGAACTCCTGGTTATGTAGCTCCTGAATTGCTTTAGGATAAAATCTATGATTATAAGATAGATATCTTTAGTGCAGGAGTGCTGATGTTCATCATGTTGACTGGTCAATCTCCATTCAAAGCCTAGTCATATGATGAAATAGTGATGAAAAACTATCATTGTTAGATCGAATTCAGTTTAATTAAAAATCAACCCCTAAGTGAAGAGGCTGTTCATCTCTTGACTTCATTGCTCGAAAAGAATCCAGATTTGAGAATCAGTTCTGAACTTGCTCTCCAACATCCATGGTTTTAAAAGTAAGGAGATCATAAATTAATCTTGTAAATTATGCTTATATTTTGAAGAGCTGACACATACCCTAAACACAAAAAGAACTCTGAACTGTATGCCAAAACACCATTAATGGGATAAGAGTTAAATTAATCTATCACTTCCACACCTCTAAGTGTTACACCTTAAATGAGGAGCAAGTCGAATACAACTGATCAATAAAAAGAAGATTAACTTACGTCTACTTCAAGATAATAGAGTTAATCATTAAAAATTAAAAAATAAGAATGCATCCTAGAAGAAAATGAATACAATGTTAATGAAGAGGATGATGTTCCTCATAGTCATCAAATTAAAATGTATCAAATTCAGCCAAAATTAAAAAGAAGTATCTAATTCTGTTCTATTTAATAGATTAAGAGGAGCAAAAATAAAAATAGAATGTCGATAATAAAGGATCACTCTAATTCAAAATTTGAATAAATTAGGATAATTTTGTATTTAATAAATATAAAAATTATTTATAAATTTTATAAAGAAATCTAGAAAATTCTTCATTTTAACTGCAAAATACACGCAAGAGATTTCTATTTAAAAAAATAATCATGAAATTCATCTTACTACTAGCTCTGACATTCGCCATTATTTCAACAGAACAAATTCCAGAAGTTGATGGAATATTACAATTAAGTCGTAGAAACTTCTAATAGGCTTTGGATGAGCATCCTAGATTATTGGTCAAATTTTATATTGATTCTTGTGGATACTGGTATTGAATATCAATTGAACTTAAGCTAAAAAATGAAGCCTGTATTCATTCAATTGGCTTAAAGATTGAAGGAATATGGATTTGTATTAGGAGAAGTCAATGCTCAAGAAAGTAAATCATTGGCAGCTAAACATGATGCTAAGGCTTATCCAACATTGAAACTGTTTAGAAATGGAGTCTCATATGATTTTCCAAATTCTTCTGATTCTTTGGAAATTTTATTTGAATTTGCTCTATAACATGCGTATGGACCAATTACAAAATTATATACTTAAGAAGAGGTATCTTCAGAAATTTACTATTAACTTAGATTGATTTGTTCTTGAAAAGATCAAATATTGCAGTTCTTAAATATGTAAATGATTAAGATGAATTATCAAATGTGAGTTTGGATCATATTTAAGTCAAATTTGGAATAGTAGAGAATAATGAATTACGATAAAATTACCCTCATAAATACACATTGATAAATAAAGATATTGAGAAGCCAATTCATTATAATGGTGACATTGATGGGTTATCAGAATTCATTTCAACTAAAGGATATCCCCTTGTATTCTCTTTGAATGAGGAGGAATTCATGAAGGTAGAAAATGATAAGATTCCTTTGGTTGGTATTGCAGGATAGAAAAATGGAGTTCTTCACAAAAGATTTAAATACCTTGCTGAATCATATGTTAATTCAACTAGATTTGTGATAATAGACCCATCACTAGAGTTAAGTAACAGAAGATTTGAATATTTGATTAAATAAAGTCCAGTTGCTGAGAATACTATCTATTACTATGATTACGAGTAAATCTATTATGTTATCATGTAGAACAAAGAAAACAACTACAACAACATTTAATGATAATTCAGTTGGGGTATTAAAGAAGGCTGTTGAATCATTAATAGAGGAAGTAACAGCACCAAAAAGAGAAGCAGAGAGACTAGCTAAATTAATAAAAGGTGACGGTTAAGTGCATAAGTTGACAACAGAGAATTTCAAAGAATAAGTATTTGATAATCATAGACACGTATTTGTTAAATTCTATGCTCCATGGTGTGGCCATTGTTAATCATTGGCACCCACCTTTGAGAAATTGGCTTAAGAGTTAAATAGAGATGATATTGTAATCGCTGAAGTAGATCACACAGCAAATCAATTTGATGACATTCCTATTGAAGGATATCCTACTTTATATCTATTCAAATAAGAAGGTGACACTAAGACAAGAAAAGAGTATGAGGGAGATAGGTCATACTAAGGAATGAAGTCTTTCTTAGAAAGAAATTTGGGTAAAGTTGAGAGTGCCGAAAAGCAGTAGCCTTAATTCAGTGAAATAAAGAATGAGGGTACAGTTATTTAATTGACAAATGAAAATTTTGATCATGTAGTTTTGAATAGCAAACAAGATGTATTAGTAAAGTTCTTTGCTCCTTGGTGTGGACATTGCAAGGCTATGGCAGAATCTTACAAAGAACTTGCATAAAATTTGAAAGATAATTAGAATGTACTTATTGCTGAAATGGATTGGACTGCTCACTAAACTAGTGCTGTTGAAATCAAGGGATTCCCTACATTGATATTCTTTAAGAAAGGACAAGATAAACCAGAACAAATAAAGTATTAATCAGCAAGAACTGCTGAAGCCTTAGCTAAGTTTATAGAAGAGAACAGCAGTTTTGTAAAGAAGGAAGATTTGTGATTCATATATGTTATAATTAAATGATATTAATATTTGCATAGTATTCTCCCTGAAGAGTGCAAGAATCATTTGATAAATTGATAGACATTTGTTATATTTAACATAGATAAATATTAATTCAATAATCATCACCTCTAGATAAGACTTCTATACAGCTTGGCTTTAAGAATATAGTATGCTCATATTATGACACATAAGAACCTCTGATGTCACAAAGAGGGGGATATCTATGATATTACATATAATTTAATACGGGTTAACTATTCCAAGATCACACAGATTCTTCAATCCCAACAAATAATTGGATTAGCCATCTCTATCTAAGAATCTTCTGCAGAATGCCAAGGTATCATAATGATTGTCAATGTGAGTTAAGAGTGATTTAGCTTTTGGAACTCTAACAGCTGTGGGTTTAGCATAGAAATCTTTCATGTAATGTGAACATTCCAAATCTTCATTTACATATCCTTTTCCAGTTGATCCAAATGTTTCGATTGCATAGAGTTCTCCTTCTTTCATTAAAGTGTTATCATTTGATTTGACAATTGGAACACTTTTACCCCCGTGAATATGATACTTACAGATCAAATGTCCATTTAAATTTTTGACTGATTTAACTTTATAAACCTTTCCTCCAATTTCAACTTCATAACTTTCCATTGTTTCTTGTATTGCTGCTCCGACATCTCCTAGTCTAACATCAATTCCAGAATTTCTGATTCCAGTATCTGTAGCATCTTTAGCTGCTTATAATAATGTATCATAAACTGGATTGAATGCAACTGTGAATGCACAATCAATAATCCATCCATCAACTTATGTTCCAAAATCTATTTTGCAAACATCATCATATGTTAAAATTGTATTGTCTCCATTATTTGGGGTGTAATGTGCTGCACAGTAATTCAAGGAACAACCTGTTGGAAATGCTATACCTGCATTCAAGCCATTCTCCTCAACTAAATATCTATTCATATTTTCCAACTTCTCACAAATATCAATCAATCTACACATTTAATACAAATAAATACTTGTTTCCTGGTTTCAACAATTTAGCCTAAGCATATTATCTTACTTATCTATGGCATTCAGCAGCCCTTCTCAAAGATTGCAATTAATATTCATGAATCAAGTCTTTTTCTCTCATTTCATCTTTACTGATTCTTGAGGATTTCTCACCCAAATATGGAATTTCTTAACCTTTTGGATAAACACCTTAAGTAAACTATTTGGAAACAGGAATTGTAGGTGGTTGAGTCTATTTCCATTCCTTCTCTTCCCAATTTCCTAACTTTCTGATCCCAGAATTATCGACGAATCTTGAGTTAGTCTTTAAATATAATTTCAATATATACTATTGGATCTCCCTCAACATAGTCTGGTCCCAATTATTTCTTCTTATCCTCTATTACTTGTTGTTATTATTGTTGAATTTATTGCTATTTTTAGGCTTCCTAATTTTATTATATTAATTAATCTAAAAAGTCATCATCTGAATCAACATCCTTCTGATTCTTTTTGTTATTACCTTTAGCTTCCTTCTTTTTATTTTTGTTCTTTTATGCTTTCTTGCTTTGCTCTTGTTGCTTAGCTTCCTCTTTGGAAATCATAAATTAATTATTAATAAAATAAAATCTAAAATAATTGATAAATTCAATAAATAGTCATAATACTTAAATATTTAAAATAGAAAACAAATCAAGTTATTCATAAGATTTATTTTTAGTTTAAATATTTCCTAAATCAATAATACAATTGTTTTGTAGATTGCTCTTATTATTTTATGATAAAAAATTCACTTGAAATGATAAAAATTTTAGAAAATCGTTTTCTTCATCTCAGCACTACCTCTAAATTGAACTGAATGTAATAAAAATAACAGAGCCTATCAAAAGATTATCTAAATTAATCAAGTGACAAACCATAACATTGATGTCTTGTTTTCATTAGGATTTTTAGATTAGGTTTCTTAATGGTTTTAGAATCAATCTATATTCTTTCGACATTTATTATTATCTACAATATCAGTCACACTTATGTGATTATACAATATAAGTGTATTTGTTAAACATTTATTGAACAAGTATCTATCAATTACTCTGAACCAAATATTATGGTAAGAAGGCAGATAATTATCTAAGACTCAGAAAATGCTCCAAATATGCTCCAACTAACTGTGCTCTTTCCTAATTACTATAAATATTGTTTTATCTTCTGAATAATAGTTTTTCCTGTTTTTAGAATGTAAAAAACTATTGTTGAATTAAATCATGAAAGTTCCTAATCTTTGACATTTATTATAATCTATAAAAATTCATCACTGATTTTGCAATAGAAAATTGGATAAAAACCCAATAAGTAAAAATTTCAATCACAGTAAGGAAAGTGGAGAATAATGTAAAAATTATAGAACTGTTTATTAATGAATAATGATAAAATTTTATACAAATTATCATAAAGTATTTTATATCTGATTTATATTCATAAAAATTTGGCCTTTTTGTATACATTTTAAAATTATTATCCAATCAATATTCTTTTATTTAAGGTAGCGATTCTCTTCACAATTCGAACTAGTAACAGGATAATTAATTTATTAGCATTTTGTTTGCATAGATCATTTGAAATGGTCTTCTTTCGCAATTATTGATTTATATTATTAAAATATTATGGTTTGAAGTTATGATTAATCTAAATAATACTTTTTTTAGGTAACATATATATTCTGGGCTGCAAAATTCAATTATCAATAGCAAATTAATGTAATAGTAGCATAATTCACTATTGTGGAGGTTTCTCTCTTTAGGACTATTATGTTGACAAAAATGAGTTTGACTTAGTTTCACATTTAACAATATTGAATAAAAAGTCAATAGAATAATATCAGGCCTATCATTGTAATATTTTGCAATCATGGTTCATGCATGTAAAACATTCATCATTATTAATAAAATATATTGATTATTTTTAATATAATGTCATTAATCAACTTGTTATTATATGGGACCTTTAATTTGTTTCTTGGTGTTCTATGTAATCAATTTGGCTTCTATTATTAATTGTCACACCCTAGAGTACGAAAAGTACCTAATCCATCTATTATAACTCTAAGCTAATCTGTTGTCTGTAATTTTCACAATATTTCAATAATTTTGATGACTTTGAAGGAAACTGTAATCTGAATTTCTAAAAGGTTTTTCAGTATCCTTATTTCAAATGGAATACTATCCAATAAGATCCTTTATGATCTACAGCTAAACTTGAATTAATTTAATGAGTAAAATAAGTTTAATTAATTGCCATTACTCGATACAATACTATTGATATGGATGTATTAATAAGATTATACTATTTTTAAATATTGGATAAAATAAAATAATTATGATTTTTTAAGATTTAAAAACTATCAAATAATAAATATTAAAAAGAACTATTTGGAAGCCCGTAATTTAAAATAGATAAAATGAAGTAAATTATACTTCGAATTAATGGCAATTGAACTAAAAACTATAAATTAACTTGGATATTTTTGAAATTGTTAATGATAAACGTCAATTCTTTTTGTTATTTTTGATAGATACATTTATCTAAAGAGTTAAATAAATATAATAAGCTCAAAAAAATGATTAATTTATTTAGATATAAACTTTACAACTACATTACATTTATTTGTTTATTGTTATATTTATTAATGGTCTATTTTTCTTTAAGCATTTCTATGTATTTATTTCTCCCTTTAGTTGTACCTCTTTTCTATTTAACTAATTTATGGAGCATTTGATATTTCATATCCTTATTAATAATTTAGCAATGATTAGGATATAAGAATTTTGAGAGTTTGAGTAGTTCTATCCCTAAACAACCTTTTATAAGTTTATTGTAAGGTTGTATATCACTAGTTTCATAAAATTTTAAATTTATGTCATTTTTAATGTAACAAGTTAGGTTAAAATATGTGGTTCTATTTTTATAACTAAATTTCTCCTAAAGTTGTTTATTTCAGCTTTATATTATGATTAGTTTTCAACATTTGACTGTTTTCTAGCTATTAAGTTAAGATCTTAGCAATGATATCAATTATGCAACATTACTCAACTTAGTGATATAGATTTGAGGCCTATACTAGCCAGACTAAAGTTTAAGAATTTAAAAAAAAATAGATGGACTAAAATTTTGAATATAAATGAATTTATTAGTTTGATTTACTAAATTTTGAATCCTTAGTACATCTAGAATTATCTAACGACCTATTTATTTATAGATTTGATGATTATTGTTCCTTAAAGTTAAGAAAATTTAATAACTCTGTTCTCTGAAAATTTATACCTTTTTCAAATTACTTGATATAAATATTTTTCTTTTCTTTTCTTCAGTTTTGAATAGAAATTTGAGATAAATTAGCTCATTATTATTAAGTTTCCATAAAAAGCCATCTATCTTTTGGGTATTTCATATTTTATGGAATTAAGTAATGCTAATCTGAGTGGAGGACTATCTTGTTTGATAATATATAAATAATTTATATTTATTTAAGGACTCAGATGAGAGAGATAATAAATTTTTTGAAAAAATTAAAAAAAATCAAAATCTTTTTGCATGACTCAAGGAAAGAATAAGAAATTAGGAAAGAAGAAGGGATAAAAGAAGACAATCGACCCATTAGCTAGAAAGGAGTGGTTTGAATTAACAGCACCAGTACCCTTCGCTGCTGGTGGATTTGGCTATACTTGCATTAATAAATCTGCAGGAACAGGTACCTGATTATAATTAAAGTTTTTAGTTGTGGCCACCGAAGCCATTAAAGGAAGAGTCGTCGAAGCATCTTTGGCTGACCTTCAAGGACAATCAGATTAGATGGCATGGAGAAAAGTGAAATTGATTATTGACGACGTCGAAGGCACAAGATGCAGAACATCCTTCTATGGTCTTGATTCAACAAAGGACAAGATCTTCGGTATGATTAAAAAGCGATAAACTTTGATTGAAGTATTTTAGTATCTCATTCTTTAGACTTAAGTTGAAGCCAGATCTCAAGATGGATACATCCTCAGAATCTTTGTTATTGCATTTACAAAGTCAATCAAAAACCAATAAAGAAAAACAACATATGCTCAAAGAAGCCAAATCAAAGACATCAGAAAGAAGATCGTCGAAATCGTCCTTAAGGAAGTCTCCAAAAAATCAATTACCTAATTGCTTGGTTTCTTCAATCAAGAGTCTCTTGCCAAGGAAATTGGAAAGGCCACCAGAACCATTTTCCCATTGTAAAACATTACATTGAGAAAAGTCAAGTTAGTCAAGAGACCCAAGGTTGATGGTATATATGTTTAATTAATAAACTCTAGCTTAAAAATTGAGAGAATTTTATGATGATTCCAACAGAACAAAGACAGCCTAAGTCAGAAGAAAAGGTTAAGCTGAAGATTAAACTGCTCTTAATCTTATTAAGCAAGGAAGAAGTCGACAAAGAATAATATTAAGTCTAACAAGAATGATACTATTCCAGTATAAAGAATAGTACATATATAATATTAAGAAATTATTTATTATATTTAATATCTTCGTTCTGATTATATTTCAAATATAAAGATTTTTTTTTTATTTTAATTTGAGGAAATAGGATGTCTTAATAAGCTTAAAAGGGTGGAAAAGCAGCATAACCTAAAACAGATGCTAAATAATAGCCAGCAGCATAAGCAAAAGTTGCTAAACCATAAGAAACTAAAGAGAATGTGATGAGAAAAGTTAGAATTGAAAAATTGATGGTTCATATTTGTGCTGGTGAATCAGGCGATAAATTGACTAAGGCTGCTAAAGTCTTGGAAGACCTTACAGGATAAAAGCCTGTTTTTGGCAAAGCAAGATATACCGTGAGATCATTTGGTATCAGAAGAAATGAGAAGATCTCCGTCTTTTGCACCATCAGAGGCGATTAAGCAAGAGATATCCTTGTAAGAGGATTGAGAGTTAAGGAAATGGAATTGAAGAAGAGAAACTTCTCTGATTCAGGAAACTTCGGATTTGGTATTCAAGAACACATCGATTTGGGATTAAAATATGATCCATACACAGGTATTCTATTTATATACAACCAATAGGTATCTTCGGTATGGATTTCTACGTAGTCTTGTCTAGACCAGGACTCAGAGTTGCTCAAAGAAAGTCAAGAAACTCAAAATTAGGCACATAATAAAGAGTAACTAAAAAAGAAGCAGTAGAATGGTTCAAATAAACCTTCGAAGGAAATGTCTATTGATACAATACAATATTACATTAAATACATATAAAAGCAGTTTATGTTTGTCTATTATATCATAATCCCATATACATCTTAACTATTCATACTGTAAATCTATTAAAGTTGTAAACATCAAAATATTTCATCAAAGCATGTGTTCTTAAAATAATTATTATATAATGTCATTATTATCTAGATTTACATCCATTTTTAGTTCAAGTCAAACAACGCAAGCATCAAGCACTCCTATTAACCAACAATTACAAGAGATATTGACTTAAATAATTAATTCTAATGGCAAGTTGGATCTGAAGCAAAAGGGCCAAGTCTTGGCATAATTTTTACTAGATAGAGATGGTAAATGATAATTAATTTAGTTGGAGAACATATTGAATTTCTCTTTTAATTCTTAGAAACTAGGTCTAAAGATCTTTCAGGTGTTCAAGTAGTAAACTTATTGGCAGCTATACATTAACAATTTTAATATAATGAATTAATTTAAGAAGTGGCAATCAAGTTAAGAGAAACAAAAATGTCTTGGGTGTAATTAGAAAAACAGGAATGGTATTCTACATAAACAGAGCCTGACTAATAGAAGAATTAGTAAACTTAAAAGATTTTGACTGAATTTGAGGATAAAGCTTAACCAGCTAGAATCTACGCTTAATTGTGTTACGTCTATTTATAAAAGTTGGCTGCAAATGTAGATCTTTATAGGTCAGTTATCAAATTAAATTACCCTTATATAACAGAAAAAGATTATATTGAAGCAAAACTTATATTCTTATGGCATTATAAAATACAAAATCTGATAAACTCAGGATCGATATTGATTTAATTTAATCCAAATTTAATAGATATATAAGTAGCATTGTATTTTGATGTTTGGAGATTTCAAAAGTTTATTTGTACTGAAATTGAAAAAATCATTGATTAATACGCTACTCTTCCTAATAGCGATACTTTAAGTCTTTATGAGATTTATTGTGAAAGTTAGAGACATTATGAACATCTGAATCAATTTCATTAATTTACTTAATCTATAACATAGCCTCCTCCTTAGTGTTAAATCAATAATACACTTCTTTAAGAATTCTTTGCATTTGTAACCAAGTTAAAAGTGTTAAATCAATTCAATTTCAAAAAGTCCATAAAAGTTCCTAACAAATAGGATCCCATGATGGGTATACCAACTAAAAATCCAAATGTATCATTCCATCCTATATTTTTTCTTTTTTAGGTTCTCAACATTAGGAGATCAAGTTAACAATTAGATGATTAATAGAGCAATGGATCTGAAAAAGAGGAAGAGGATTTTGCAAATAATAAAAAATTTAGATCTGATCATAATAGAGTGTAAAGTACATTTTAATATGCCTAAAAATGATTTATCTATTTTGTTATTTATGATTTTGATTTAATTAACTTAAAAGAATTATAAATATATATTATAATATATATATTTATATTTGGTAAAACGCTTGCGAATAGAATAATTATCCATAGTTTGAGAACTTCGACATATAGGACTATGTTGCATTAATAAACCAGAATAGAATATATTCAAAACAGTTTGCTGTATTTGATTGGGCAAATTCTTCTAAATTTGAATTTAATAACCGGGAATATATTGGCGGCTGAAATATATATTAAATTTTATGGAAATCACTAATTGCTAACATCCAAATCACGATTCTCAACGCATCAAATATGTTTGTGTTGATCCCTAATGCTCTATTCCCAAAAAAATAGGTATTGCATATTTTAATTTTAGGATGTGCTGATTGTTTTCTTGATGATCACATCACTCATATTAGAAAAACAACTACTTAATTCAAAGATTTCGTAAATGATTCCATTTAACAAATCAACTCAGTTGAATTTCAACAAGCCTCTAATTCACCTCAGAAGGATTTGGAGAAGTAAATTGACACAGAATTAGACAGCTGTATGGATTGCATTAAATAAAAATTCAATTCGATTAAAGGGGATCTCAAAGGGCAAATAGATAGTGATATGATTAAAATATCAGATAATTGCACTTAATATCAATTAAATATGAATAATGAACTTGAACCATTCAAATCTACAATCAGAAATGATTTGCATATTTTAAATTAAACTGAACTCAATTCATTAGTTAAATTTTATTAAGAAGCTCCTAAAATACACAAACATTATAGCAAAGCAGCAGAATAAGTATAGGAGGAAAAACAAAAGATAAAATAAAAAAAATAAAAATACTTAGCAAAAATGCGAAGTATTATGCAAATATTACTCAAGGATTTCAATGAATTAATGACATCTAAAAATGTACAATTCGATGATTGCTGTGATTATGAAACCCCTCAAAAGCAAGTAATGTCACCAAATAAAATGATTAATCTAGTAGAAACAGCTCGTTCTTCAAGGAGATTCCCCATGTCATAAACATAAAAAAAATATTTCTTAGCTGCTGTTACCAAAAAGTTGGAATGATCTAGTTTATTTATTTATATATATAATTAAAATCATTTATTTTATGCTTTTTTATAGTCTTCTTTGCATCCTTAAATAATCTTTTTAAAATCATTCAAGTACAAAGATATAATTTTTAATTTCTACATAGCCTATTAACTTTTAACTTCATAATTGTCCTCCTCTTCTACCTTATATTCATCCTTATTCTATTACTTCTTACTATCATCTTTCTTTGTTTTTTTATCATCCTTTTTGTTGTTATCCTATTTAGCTTCTTCCAATTCATGTTTGATCTTCTAGGTTCCCTCCTAACACCTATTAAATAAATTATCAATAGCCATTAGAATTCTTCCCAAACTCAAATTCTTAGATGAAGCTTCATTCGCTGATGCCTCAACCAATTATTGCAATTAATTTCTCTCGACTATCTTTTCTTCTAATTTTTTTTGAAGTTCTTTAATATCATTATTGAATTATAGAATTTCGTGATTCTTATCCTTCTCAGTTTGGGTTGACACATATTTTTCTGTTTCATAAGTTTTTTCCATTAATTAATGCTCTTCAACCAATTTTTAATTCTAACTCGATAATGTGCTATGTCTCTCTAAAATTGATGCCATATCATGATACTATTCTGGGTATTGCTTTGCAACGCTATCTAAATATTCTTCATATTTTTTCATTGAAGTAACTGTTTTGATAATAACCTAAATATACCCTTCTTCTCGAGTTTTTATTATTTCTTTTCCAGCTCCTACAACTACCCATTCAAATCCTAGATTTCTTTCTCTTTCTATAATTTTTATCTTCGTTCCTCCTCTAATCTCCCTTCAGCTCTCTTCTTCTTTGCTTCATTATCCTATAGAAATTTGCAAAATTTAATTAAAGACTCCTAAATTTCCATATCCTTTTATCTAATCTTTTCCTCCTCCAACTTAAACTTATCTTCCTATCTAAAATTTGCTTATTGATTTACTTTTTGAATTCCTCTCTTTGTGCTTCAAATGCCTCATGCACCTCGTACATTTTTCTTCTCTTCTCAAGTAATTTAGTGGCAGGACTTACAGTATCATATTATAAGTGATTAGGTAACTTTCTTTTCTCTTATTTATTCATTAATATTATATATATATATATATCTAATATCATTTTATTTTTTATTCTTTCGCTTTTCCCAATTCTCCTTTGCAATTATCAATAATCTTTTTGAAATCCGACATAAATTGTACAATTTGTTTCAATTTCCAAGCAGCTTGTTGACCTAAAATTAAGAATAATCATTAACTTTTTAATTCATAATTGTCTTCGTCATTAAATTATAAGTCTTAATTTTGAATTTTATTATTTGTAATTTTATCCTTCACCTTCTCCTTATTTTGTTTATCCTACTTGTACTCTTCGAAATCTTACTTCATTCTCTAAGTTCCTTCCTAACATCGCGTAAAGAGATTGTCAACAGCCATCAAAATTCTACCCAAACTTAAGCTTTTGGATGAAGCATCATTAGTAGTTGCTTCATAAACACTTTAGATTTGATTTCTCTCAGATGCCTTCTCTTCCAATTTCTTCTACAAATCCTTTATATCATTATTTAATTAAAGAATCTCATGATTCTTCTCCTTCTCATACTAAGTTGACTCATATTTAAGTTTCTCGAATTCCTTCTCCATATTCTAATGTTCTTCAACCAACTTAGAATTGGAATTGGTCAATGTGGCATATCTATCCAAAATGGATTACAAATCATGATACTACTCTGGATATTGCTTTATGATGCTATCCAAATAATCCTCGTACTTCTTTAAAGATGTAACTTAAGACATAAGAACTCAAATTGCTTACCTTTCTTTTCCAATCTCTATTGATGTCTCTACAAATCAGTCCACTAGGCTGTTAAATCTTAAATTTCCTTCTCTTTCTATTCCTTATAGGATTTCTCCTCTTGAAACCGAACCAAAGCTCTCTTTTTCTTTGCCTCATTCTCCTACAAGAAATTACAAAACTTAATCAATTCTTCCTAAATCTACTTGTCTTTCTCTCGAATTTATTCCTCTTATTTCTTGAATTCTTCCTCCTGTCTGAGTAAGTCTTAAGCAATATACATACTTCTTATATTCATCTTATTGATGTTCATATGCTTCATGTATCTCATACATCTTTCTTCTCTTTTCTAGTAGTTTGGTGGCTGGAGAGGCTGCATCAAATTGTTTGACTGTAGAAGACTTTTTAATAACTTTTTTTTACATAAATTATTAAAAATGAATTTCTTTCGTCCTCCCCTAACTTCTTTTATTAAAACTCTTGCTGATCCACAATTGGAATCAGAACAATTCATGATTGGTAATGAATCTATTACAAGCAAGAAGGATGTGATTAGATAGTTACAAGAGTAAATCCTGCATTTCAAGGAGGCTCACCATTTCACATAGTCTGAAATGGATGTGATACGACAATTTGAATTATTACTAGAAAGTAAACACAAGAGAAGGGACATTCATTTTCAGAGTCAAACTACAGATATGACGAGGAAAAAGAAGTCAGAGGTGTTTAGGATGAAACGTGCTAAGAGAAGAACTATAATCAAGGTATATGCTAAGAAACTTAATGCAGCAAGAAATAGATTTCGAATTTTGGGTCAATTCATATCAAATGAAGAGATTCATATCATCGAAGAAACCTTTGGATCGCATGTCTTCAGTGACAATCGCAATTTCAGTCTCAAGATTGGAATAGCATTGAAAAATAAATTTGGATATGAATATTATGATAAATCTCAAGTGATAAAAGAGATTAAAAGATTAAAGAAACAACAAGACCAGATTTTGAGTCGTATATAGGGAAAGTAATAAATATTTTGCATAAAGACTAAATAATTAAAATAATGAATGAATTACTTAATTATGCTCTTGCAAAGTGTTTCCAAGAAAATATCTTGAATGTTGTAAAAGTGAAAACAAGAGCCCACAAGCCCTTGCTCACTTCTGGTTCCCAAGTCATTGATCTCCCCTAAAAAAATCGATCCAATTTTATGTCCAAAAAGTCTCATCCCTCATGTGATCTTCAGATAGACACAGAACTTGAATACTCTCATAGTAAAATTAGATAGAAATCTATTAATGATGTCTAATTACCCCACATCTAGTTAGATGCTATCCACAGAAACTTCTTTGATAATTAAAATATTAACGAATCAGATTGTCCAACCACCAAAAGATACGATAGATACAGATCATTTTCCACAAAGGCAAGTAAAAATCAAAGGAAAGGGTTCTTAGGTCTTGAAATTAACAATTAACAAATAACTTTAAATTATAAGAAATTACTCTCTAAATTAAATGCAGAATTCACAAAATTCTAAGTAATTATATGACATCTAAATTAGTTAACGCTATATTTAACCTAATATATTGGCTCATTGGATTACGTTAGCAAACTATTACAGTTATTAAACTGCCCTTCCAAAATAACTTTACCTTCGTTTAAACAATTGATTTATTAAATTCAAGATATGCAATAAATTGGTATAAATAATGTAATATAGAGATTCAATCATGTATATTTTAAACATTTGATCTTGATTGCAAAGGATTCATTTCATCATCTGATCTATTCAAAATGTTTACGTCAAATGGAGCAATTTAGAAGGATGTCGACTTTATTTACAAAAATGTTCCCATTGAAAATGAGAGAGAGAAAAAACTGAAAAGGATATACCTATGTGAGTTTAAGGAAAAGCCCAGACCCATGTTAATTACTACAATGAAGAACTCACCAAGGAACAAATATAAAATCAAATAATTTTAAGGGAATATTATTAATTTTGAAATGTTTTGCAAAATATACAATAAAGAAATCCCTGAAATTTTTAAGGAATTCATTAGACTAATGTTTTATAATTATATTTGATTATTAAAATTAATATTTAATAGAATTATGTATGTCAATGAAGAAGATGACAATTGGCTTGAAATCAATGATGCTCAGCCTATGAGTCAGGATCAATGGTGTTATTCAGTTGTTTATAATAAAGAAGGCAATATTATGATTAGTGGTTCAGGAAAATTAATCAAAGTTTGGAAACTTCAAGGAGGGAACTTGACTTATGACAAAAAGAAATATCTCATTAAGGCTCATTAGAAGGATATTAACACGTTGACTTATAGTAAATAATAGAATATGTTTGTTTCGGGAAGTGATGATAATTCAATTAAAATCTGGACTTTGAATGCAAACAATTAGTTTTAGAAACAACAAGAGATTAAGACCTAGTCCTGGCCTATATCTTCATTATTGAAACAGGATGACTCATAACTTATTGTTGGACTATGGAATGGTAATTTATTAATATTTGATAAAAATGGAAATGACTATTAATTATAAAAAGAAATACAAGCCCACTAAGGTCAGATTTATAGTATAAGTCTGAATGATTCCTAGGATTCACTTTTAACACTAGGTTGGGACAAGAAAATTAAGGTTTATACATAAGATGGTAGAGTTTGGAAAGAAGCTGCATAGATTTAACTCAATGGAAATGGATTTCGAGCTAGTTTCATTAGTGATGATGAAATTGTCTTTTAGCCTTTGGAATCAGGAAGTACAGAATTTTATAAATATTTAAAAAATACTAAGGTTATCCAAAAGTAAAAATATACCTTGAATCTTGGAGTTGCTTAAGAAGACAAATCCTTCTTTCCAGTGTAATGGAATAAACAAAAAGCATTATTTACTATGAAATTGAATAAGAAACTATTTGTTATCAAGAGAGAATAAGATAGTCAATATTAGATTGTTAAAACTTGTGAATTTTCAGATGAAAGAATATTTGGGGCTGTGACTCCAAATTTTGATTATCTTATTATTTGGAATAAGAAGGCTAAGGGATATGAAATTAAATAAATATGATTTATTAAAAATATTTTGTAATTTGAATATTTTACTTATAACAGATGAATTTAAAGAGGAGTTTTAAGAAGGTAAATTTTGGAAATGGGAAATAATGACACTTATCCATCAGTCTAAGGATTTACTTATTTCTATTACATCAAGTTTATTAGAATATAGCAAGATCCTAATCAATATTAATAATGTAATCGAAAATTATTTATCAATTAAATAAGATGAAAATAACATATAGATTAAGCCGATAATGTAAGTTAATATGATGCTGATGATTTCTTTCATTTAGTTTTATAACCTATATTTACAGAAAGATCTTTTTCTCTATTTAGTGAATAAATAAGAAAAAATGTGCTTTAAATTCTATTAACAAAAATATTGAAGAAAATCAAATAATATTATAAAAATTATTTTATCCAATCAATTTTATTTTCAGTATTTTATGATAATGAAGCAATAATTTCAATGATGGTAAAGCGCATCTTTGAATAATATTCTTATATGTAATACTATTGATCAGTTATATTGTAACATATAAGAAAGTATTAATACAATATTTGGTATGAGTTTTTTTTTTAAATTTGTTGGGTTGTAATTCTGCTATTTATCCTAAGTTAAATGAATGATTAAATTATTTGCATTATTAACCAAATTATTAGAAAGAAAACCAGGTCTTGTTAACATTAAGTAGTTTACTGAATTTTCAATTTATTTTTACCAATAAATCTGTGTAATCTATATTCTGCTCCAAAAATTATTGATTCTTGATAAATAGTATCTTTATTAATGATTCAATTATAATTAGTGAATTCAAATCAAAATAGTGTATCTTAAATATTAACAACATTTATAAATTTAATATTTTTTAATAATTTCAAATGAATGATTGATCTTGATTCTATCTATTATTAATGAAAATATAAAATGATTTATAGCAAATATTCATAGAAGTTAGAAAAATAATCAAAAATTTGATTGAGAAAGCTAAATAATCCTTATTTATTACCCAAAATTTATAACATTTACAAATCGCAACAAAAGGTTTTCAAATGAACCTATACAAGAATAATTAAAATACTATTTAAATCCTTACATATAATTCAATAAAAAGAATACAATTTTGAGACAATTCAAATAAATTTTGTTCTTAGATAGTGAATTCAAAATTCATTTACAAAAAACAACCAGATTATTCAATGTTTAGAAAGCAATATCTTTTTTTGAAAATAGAAATCTATTAAAATAATAATTAGATAATTCAAAGTGGTTCTCGATGCTAAAGAATTGTTTACTAATGAATAGGATAAATAGTAGAATTATTATGAGTTCATTCAAAGTACCATATATTACAAATGAATATCATTCAATATCCAAACATTTTTGAAATAATAAAGTGAACTTTTTCACTAGATGAAGAAAATATCAAGATATTTTTAAATTAAAATTAAATTGCATGAGTCGTCCTTCAGCTTCAACTTCAAGCAGCAGTAGAAGTTCAAGATCCAGATACGGAAAAGAAGTCAAGGAATTGCAAGATGCCTTGAATTAGAATAAAATAGAGTCTAAAAGAGATGCCATCAGAAAAGTACTTTGAATAATAATTCTTAGATTATTGATGCTATGACAAGAGGCAAAGATGTTAGTATGTTATTTCCAGATGTGGCAAAGAATATGGAGACTTCTAATTTAGAATTAAAAAAGCTGGTGTACTTGTACATCATCAATTATGCAAAAATTATGCCTGATCTTGCTGTTATGGCTGTCAACAGTTTCCGTAAGGATGCAAGAGATAAGACAAATCCATTTCTGAGAGCACTAGCTATCAGAACAATGGGATGTATCAGAGTAAAGTTAATCACCGAATATTTATTGGATCCATTAAAAGAATCCATCAAAGTAATTTATCTAAATATTTAATCAGGATGAAGATTCATACGTAAGAAAGACTGCAGCTATTTGTATTTCTAAATTATATGATGTGTCACCTGAACTTATTGAAGAATAGGGTTTATTGAAGCTTCTTGACAATTTGTTGAATGATGGAAACGCAATGGTTGTTGCAAATGCAGTTTGTGCATTATTGATTGTCCAAGAATCAAAAGGGACAACAATGTTATAATTGAATTCTTACACAAGTTAAAAAATATTGACAGCTATGAATGAGTGCAATGAATGGGGTGTTATATATTGTTTAGATGCTTTGGCTATGTACGTTCCTGAAGATGGAAAAGAAGCAGAAGCGTAATATTTAATAGTATTTTAAGAATCTTAGAGAGAGTCAGTCCTAGATTGAATCACAACAATCCAGGAGTAGTGTTATCAGCGTGTAAAATAATGATGAAATTCTTGGATTATCTTTAAAATCCAGAAACCCTTAGACAAAATGCATTGAAAATGACTGCCCCATTGATTTCACTTTTAAGTTTGGGCAAAGAGCCAGAAATTTAATATGTTGCATTAAAAAATATTAATTTGATCATTCAAAAGAGACCAATAATCATTGAAAAAGATATCAAAGTATTCTTTTGTAATTTTAATGATCCAATCTATATCAAATTGTAAAAATTAGAAGTGTTGGCAAAATTAGCCAATAATGATAACATTCAATAAATTTTACATGAATTAAAAGAATACACTCAAGAAGTAGATGTAGAGTTTGTGAGAAAAGCAGTCAGAACAATTGGAAGATGTGCTATCAAATTTAGAAAAAGCAGCTGAAAAGTGTGTTACAGCTCTTTGGGAATGTCTTAAAACAAAGGTCAATTATGTTGTTATGGAAAGCATTATTGTCATTAGAGATATATTTAGGAAATACCCTAGAAAGTATGAGATGATTCTTAAGGATCTCTGTGAAAATCTCAAAAGTCTTGAAGATCCAGAAGCCAAAGCCTCCATGATTTGGATTATTGGAGAATACGTTGATACCATCGAAAATGCTGACACGCTAGTAGCCAATACTCAGTCCCACGTTGTTACCGTTACATCTCCCAAGCTTTCAAGGATGAACCTGCAAATGTCTAACATTAAATACTAGTTGCTGTCATGAAGTTGTTTTTATAAAGACCAAATGATGGAAAGGAATTGATACACAATCTTCTTAAAACAGCTACTATTGAATGTGAAAACCCAGATCTTAGAGATAGAGCATACATTTATTGGAGAATGTTATCTACAGATCCAGAATTAGCCAAAAAAATAGTTTTTACAGAAAGACCAACTATCTCTGATTCCAGTTATACAATTGAAAATGAACTCTTAGATAAATTAATCGAAAATATTGGAAACTTGAGTTCTGTATATACTAAGAAACCTGAAAGCTTTGTTAAGAAATTGAGAGATGTGTTAAATTCTAAAATTGCTGATAAAATTGATGAGGTCTATGATGCAGAAGAATTGATGGAAGGAAGACCTGAAGATTATAGTGATTAATAAGCAGGATAATCCAACGTCTATGAAAATAGTTATGATACCTCATCATAGATTTAATCTTAAGTTTAATAATCATAAATATAATAAGTTTCTTAAAAAATTGATTTATTAGAATTAGATGAACCATAATAGCAATAAATACCCTAATAAATACCATAGTAACAATAAATACCCTAATAATAATAATAATAATAATAATAAATACCTACTTAATAAATCTAATAACCCAATTAAACCTAAAATGTTAGAATACCATTTGCTGAAGTCTTAATATGTTAATACTCCAGGTGCATAATCGTAAATTTTAGGATTGTCAATCGAAGCTGCCTTCCAAAAGAATGGTGATAAAATTGTACTTGATCTAAGAATCACAAACAAAACCTAAGATAAAACATTTTCAGACTTCGGAATTAAATTTAATAAAAATCCATTCAAATTATAACCTGATGCTATTGAAATATAAAGTCAACCTGTATTTCCAGGTTAAACATAAGTTACTTAATCATACATCAATACTAACGGCCCTGCATCTGAAGAACCTCCTTAAATGCCATATAAAATTCAGGTTGCTTTTAAGACTAATTTGGATGTATTCTATTTCTTGATCCCAATGTCCTTAAGTGTTTTATTTGTATTATAAATACTTATAATTTTAGAGCAGCACTGCAAGCATCACTTAATAAAAATTCATTGAGTTGAGCCAAGCATAAAATCAAGCCAGAAAACAAGAAGTTCTTTAGATTTAAATAGATCCATAGAGAGTACTATATTAAAATCATAATTTTAGATGAGAGAAAAGTTGGAACGCAATTACTTTTTCTTAATTGGAGTGAGAAAGGATGAAAGGGGTGTTGAATTGCTATCCTATGCAGCTACATTAGTTAATGGAATGTCATTATTAGCAAATGTGATCCATACACCTACTGCAATCAATTTGCAACTATAAGTTCCTCATCCCACATTAATGCCATTATTATATTAAGCAATAGGGTTTATTTTAACATTAAATTGATATATAACATAAAATATCATCAAGTTTATCTAAGAGTATTATAATTGTATAATTTAACTTTCAAATGTAATAAAACCATCAATCATCCTTTTTTAGTTATGCTATTTTAGTTTGTGCTTTTTCTAAATTAACATTGGCTATTAATAATATTATAATTTGTTAATTAAATAAATGCTCGATTAAAGTATATTTGATTTTCTAAATTTGATTAATTCATTTCAAATTCAAATTAAATTGTTTTTTAATTTGTAAGACTTTCAATATTTATAATGATATAATAGAAATATTTTATAATTTTGTTGTTTGCAAAGTGAACACCATAATATAAATTTATAAGTATTTAATTTCTTTTACTAGGACAAAAATGCCTTATTATTATAATTATTCATTTTTTAATTATTTGATTTATAAATATTGTCTGCAACTTATAGTCATACAATTTAGTTATCTATATTAGTTTTGTATCTAAAATTAATAAAGAAATGATTTTCAGAATTAACCTTTTCTTCCTATTCAATAATTTAATTTGTCAGATTATTTTCAAACCGAATAAATAAAATGGAATTAAAATCGAATTTCAGTGGCAAATAATCTTTGGAAATTCATAAATCAAGAACAGAAAAATTTATAAATGAAATCAAATTAATTTGCTTCTAAGTCACGTAGTTATTATTGAAGAATGATGAACCCTCTATAGTGTTAAGCAATTTTGCCATAATTGTGTAGTTTTTTTAGGTGACATACATCCTATTTAATCGTTAAATATGGTCAGTTTGGATGACTTATGACGTCTCACGACAAATACATAGAATTTTAGGGTAATACTATTATATTAAAAAGATATTCATTATTAGTTCCCTATTTCGAGATGATTTCCTTTGTTGGGTTAATTTCAATTATGTATACTTGCTTAGGCTTAGTGTTATTTGGTTATATGCTAGTAGTTTTGCTTAATTACAGATTACAAACAAACTTCTCATTATTAACAGAGATTTTGAGAGGATTAATTAAGCTCTTTCTATCAATTTTATATATGCCCATGATGGATTTATTTTTTTCAATCTTAGCTTGTACTATAAATGAAAAAGGAGAGTCTGTACACTTGTTATTTTCTGAAACAAAGTGTTGGTAAGGAACACATATAGTACATGGAATTGTTTCGATATTTGGAATAATTATGTTTTATCTTTTTTGCATTACATTTGCACTTATATATTACGAACCTCTTTATTTACCTTAGAACCCATAATCAAAAAAGAATGGCAGATTTCTAGTTATTTTTCTTACTTATGAACTTATCATGGTTATTTGTTATACTTTTATGGTTGGGAAATAGGATGATTATATATTTATTTTTATACTTGCTATTGGAAGCTTTTTAGTCTTTTGGATAATGCACGTTGAGAATCCTCATAACAATAAGCATGTTGCTAAAGCATGGTCTGTTTTGGCTGCAGTAAACATGTGGGGTGTCATCATATTATGTTTTGCTAAATTCTTAGAAGGGCAATTGTTTTATGGAACAATCTATGCTTGGTTATTTGGTTTACCTTTCATGATAGCTGCAGTATTGAAGGCCGATAAATTAAATTATGAATTGTTATTGACTAATTTAAATAAAGTATCTGATCCTTAAGAAGTCCTTAATTTGACAGACTATTTAATCAAATTGTATAAAGCTGAAGATTCAGATTCCTAATTGATGATTGATGGTTTTTTAGAAATACATAGAGCAACTTGTGCCAAAGAAGATTGCTATCTCAAGCAAAAAAGGGGTAATAATCAAAGGATTTTAAAATCTTTCTTTAAAGATCTAACTTTATCTGAAAGAGATGTGGACATTTTGATGGTGTTGGGACAAGTGTATTTTAATTAAATCAAAAGATTTCCAAATAATATTACCCTCAGAATACGGTACTCTTTATTTCTCTTTGATTTAATGAAATAAAGATAACAAGCACTTAATGAGTTACTTTAGGCAGATTTGTAATACCCAAGTTTTGACAATGAATTCATAATTTATAGATATAAATAGATTATTGAAATTGAGATGAATGTAAATCAAAGTGAAAATACTAATGAAAAACTAGACGTAGTAACAGAAGTAGCATTTTAGAATAATATGAGATAATTTTAAAATAAAATAGAGAGAGCCACTTTAATGCATATGGACTTCTGGTCTTAGTTATAAGAGGATTCTCCTGATTTAGGTAAAATGAATGAAATTGGATCCAAAATCAATCTATCTATTCTTTAAGTTGAAGAACTGTGGAATAAAATTTAAAAAATGACTCAAAACCTACCTAAAGCCATAAGGTTATATGCTAAATTCATCATTGAAGTACTTCAAGATAAAGATTTTGGAGAATAATTATTAGAAAAATCTAAAAAGTTATAATTGCAAATTATAAAATAAAGGAATCAGTCAATGTTATCGCTTTTGAATAATGATGATTTATGTTATGAATCAAATGCTACAATAATTGTATCTACAGCTCCAGAGAAATTCGCATAAATTATGAATATAAATCTATCTTGTTGTAATTTATTTGGATTTGTGAAATCTGAGATGATAAATCGCAAGATTAATATATTTATGCCTAGCATATATTCTAAATTTCATGATGCATATTTTGATCGGTTTATGTAAACAAATGATAACAAATTAATCAATAGAGAGAGATTGGTTTTCATAAAATAAAAATCTAATTACATCCTCCCTTGTTTTTTGACTCTTAAATTAATTTAGTCGCTTGATGATAGTTTATAATTAGGGGCTTAATTTCGGCCGTTAAAATAATTCAAACCTACATGCTACTTGATAGTAGATGCTAATGAAGTAATAGATTCTATATCCGCATCATGCATTGCTTTTTTGAATATTGACTATAAATCGATATCAAATGGAAGACTAAAGTTAACCGACATCTTTCCAAATTTCGATTAGTCAAAGCAATTGTATTTAACTAAAAGTGGTGGCACTTTACACTTTAAAAAGAGTGAATAATAACTGAATAATAAAAGTAGCAAGGATGAAAATGCCGATTGTGAAATTCAATTTATATGTTATATGAATGAATTAGTTAACAATACTAATGGAGAATTAATTGGATATGTGGTTAGATTAGAAATAAATGGAAATGAAAAGAGTATGAATTAGGAACTGAATGTACATCATCATTTTCAAGGGGTTTTAAGTTTACAATTTAAATTCAATCCTCGTGCGAATAGTTATTGTGGAGAATTTCTGGCTGAGTTGAACTCTTAAAGAGTGGATTAAACCATAATTTGGGATTAGGGTGATCTATCATCTATGATTTCATCTAATCAACCTGAAATAAATATTAATGTCAATTAAAAGAATTTAATGAGTGTTGATGATGATATTAATTAAAAAAAAGGTTAGATAGATTATGGAGAGGGAATCATAATGGTGAGACTATTTGAGAACAGAATTTAGGAAATAAATGATCCAGAAATCATATCAGATGAAGAGAATGAGGATAGGGTAAGTGTGTTTCAGAGAAGTTAGAATGAAGACTTTAATGGATTAGGATAAGAAGAATTGAATGAGAAGAATAATATATTTAGATCAAGAAAACAATTATCATAAATAATCAATAATTATTAGATTCCTAAGGTGATTACAAAAGTCAATTGGACTGCAAATATCTTAACTATAATATTAGTCGTGTTGTCATTTACTGATTTTTTCATCATTTATGAACAATATGATGATATTTATAACACCATAGTTTTGGTAAGAAATCAAAATTAAAGAAATGCGGAGCTACAAACACTAACTACAAGCATTTAGAACTTATTGATGTTGAATATGGGTGTTTGGGAATTTTAAAGTGAAAAGGAGTAAGAAGCATATGAATTATTGTGGAAGAATAAACTCAATTAGTCAATAAGTAATGTAGATAGTTTGAATAAGGAGTTAATGCTAACAGAAGTGAGTTTAAGTGATGTGATAATAAATATGATGAATTCGGATGTTGTGAGTATGAAATCAAGTGAGGGTATTTCAGAATTGTTTGATTTATCAGAAGCCATTTAATAGTTATTGAGTAAATCATTGATTATAAGAGACAAACCAATATCTGATATTAAATTAGATGATATAGATGTCAATTTTGTGTTGTTTAATTCTCTAAATAGTTTGGTATACTAATTAAGAACTTTTTCTACATTATATGCAAATGAACTGAGAATTAAATCAGAAAATAACAAAGATACATTTTTGTTGATATTAAGTATTTCAGCTGCTGCTCTTGGGGTTGGGTTATTTATTATGATAATGGCCATAGTGTCAGTAAATAAAACTGTTGAGGAAATGTTGGTAATTTTTATAGATATCCCAGATAAAATAATTAAATATTTATTTAATAGAGCTGAAAGTTTTCTATCAAATTTACAAATGGGTGAGGATGATGAATTGGTCTCGGAAATGGATGATATAGAAAAAGAAAACCAAAATGAGTTGAATAAATCATTGAGAGCAAAAAGAAAGAGAAAGAAGTTTAAAAATTCAAACAAAGAACAACGTAATTTTACCCTTGGAATTTTAATAATTATTCTACTTGCTTAAGGATATTTTATATTAAATTATCTACAGAGTAAATCATTTTTAACAGATCTAAGTTAGATGATACCTGAATTTAATGCAACTGCTAGGGCTGAGAGCTTCTATAGATTTGTAGATATAAGTGAAAGATCCTTATTTCTCAATCGCAATCAAACAATCATGAATTAAGATGCTTATGAAATTGTCAAGAACAATATCAATGGATTGTATAGTCTAGATTCGTCCATACATCAGGAACATTCATAAAATGTGGAAATCACAAGTCAAACATACTTAGATTCTTATAAATAGATTTTTATGGAACAACCATGTACAATAATTTCAAATTTCTAAAATGAAATTACTGAATAAGAATGCTAATTATTTTGTGATGGAGCAGTCTATTAAGGAATGGCTGTTGGAATTGCAAGGTATTTTGAGAATCTAAGGTACGTAATGACAATTTATGATTAATTTTGGGGAAATCCAAATGCGAACTTCACTTACTTAGCTAGAGGATTTGGTAAATTTAGGAATATCACCAAAGACAGTGATAATGTAAGAAATTATATCCTAAATCTAAATAATTTCAATTAAACGATAGAGACCAGGGAAATGTAAGATAGATACAACAGAGGAGCTTTTAGATTTCTCGTTTCCTAAATGATCCAAGGGATTAGTCAGGATATGGAAGGTCATAAAACTTAAATGCTAGGATTCTTTATTGTTTTTGAAGGGTTGATCTTTATAGTATACTTTTTCTTATGGCTGCCTCTGGTTGCCAAGTTTACTAAAGACATATGGAGAACAAGATCAATGCTACTAATGATTCCACTCAGCGTCATACAAAGTATTAAGTCTATTAAGTCATATATAAAAATGAATATTCAGATCAATGATGTAGAAGTTTGATTTCTTTATCTATATTAATTATCAATTAATTAAATTAAATGGAGGTAAAGTCCAATTATGGATCCACTAAGAATTCAGTTGAGAATGATAATATCTTAACACGTTTGCAGACAGAACTCAAATCGATCATTTTCAGAGTTTTCTTCTTGATTCTAAAGGATAAAGAATAGTCGATTGCAATTCAAATCTTTCTGTAAGTGATGTCCTTTTTTTAATATCTCACATTCATTTTTCATCGACAACTATATTTAGTATGGAAGAACTAGAAAGTGTCATATCAATTTTATAAATTCTTTGGATATTTCATGCTAACCCCATATTTTGAACAACTCAACTTTTCGAGTTTCGCATCAATGATGTATGCATTAATAGGTATAATCCTTATATCCATCATGTTGTTATTACTAATTGGATACACAAATATTACTAGACTCAACACTTCATATACTTGGCCAATTTATATCCTCAAATAGATTTTCATCCTCTTTACTACTATACTTTATTTACCAATACTTGATCTTTTATTTCAAATGCTCAATTGCCACTATGATGATAAAAATCAACTCATCAACGTTGTATTTGATACCATATGTTGGTAAGGTTCCCATGTCATTCACGCTATTGTAGCCATTCTTGGAATCATAATCTTTATCATGATTACGATGACTTTTAATTTGCTTTACTTTGAACCAAAATATAATCACAAAGATCAATTATCCAAAACATCTGGAAGGGCAAAAACTCTTAAATGTTTTATCTTTCTCTTATTAGAAATTTCGTTTACATTCATTGATTTATTTAAATTTGATTATGTCGCTATTTACATCCTTATGATTGGAGCAGTAATCACATTCTATTAATTTCATATAGAATAACCATTCAATAATGTATTTATACAGAAAATCTCATCTATGTATGCTGCTCTAATGTTATGGAGTGCCATAATGATGTGTTTTTCAAATTATCTGGAAAACACGATATTTCATGGAACTATCTATGCCTGGCTAGTTGGTATCCCTCTTATTATATTTGCTATATATAAAAAAGAGAAGTATCTTTATGATCTATTATTAATGAATATCAATAAAACAGAGGATCCTAATCAAATCATACTATTAACTAATTATATTTAAAAATTACTATCAAGATATCATGCTAACTAACATTTTCACATTATGTTGGATGCACTTATTGAAGTACACATAAAAACTTGCTAAAAGGAGGATTGCGTATTTAGAATAAAAAAACAATTAAACTAAAGATTATTAAAACTAAAGGATGCAAATATCACTGAGAGAGATTACTAAATACATTTACTAATTGGAGAGATATATCAAGGATACATTAGAAGACATTAAAACAATGTAAGATTAAGAATTAATTATGCCTTTTATCTACTTGATTTTTTGAAATAAAAGTAATAATCTTTAAATGAATTTAATTAAATAGAATTATTATCACCCAGCATAGATTATGAGTTTACTATTTTTAGATATAAAAGGATAATTGAAGATGAAATGAACATATCATAAAATGAAGCTCTAAGTGGTAATCTAGATATTGCAACAGAAATAGCATTTTAGAATAATATGAGATAATTTTAAAATAAAATAGAGAGAGCCACTTTAATGCATATGGACTTCTGGTCTTAGTTATAAGAGGATTCTCCTGATTTAGGTAAAATGAATGAAATTGGATCCAAAATCAATCTATCTATTCTTTAAGTTGAAGAACTGTGGAATAGAATGTAGAAAATGACTCAAAATCTACCTAAAGCTATGAGATTATATGCTAAATTTATTATTGAAGTACTTTAAGATAAAGATTTTGGAGAATAATTATTAGAAAAGTCTAAGTCACTTTAAACATAAAACAATAAAATGAAAAACAAATAAACCATTTCCATCTTCACTAGCGAAGAGATTAATTTTGAACCATTACCAACTTTATTAATATCTACAATGTCAAGTAAATTTGCTTAGATTTCTAATTTAAATTTAAGTGCTTGTAATTTGTTTGGATACCATAAGACAGAATTGATGAATAGAAAAATAAATTTGTTGATTCCATAAATTTATACTAAGTTTCATGATAAACATATAGAAATGTTATTTTAGAGTAATGATTTATAACAGATTGTGAAGGAAAGATTAATCTATATAAAATTAAAGTCAGGCTACATTATGCCTTGCTATATATGCATGAAAGCGTTATCATAACTAGATGAAGATGTTGTAATTGCAGCTTAGTTTAGAACATTGCGTACCTTCAAAGGAGGATGCTATCTAATTCTTGATCATGATGATGCCATTGAGTCCGTCTCGTCATCTTGTATTTGTTACTTGTTTATTGATTCAAAGATGATTAGTCATAAAAAGATCTACTTTCATGAGCTATTCACAAATTATAATAGAAATGATTACTTAAATAAGACTGGTTGCGTAATTAGTTTGAATTTGTAATCTAATGTTGTTTAGAACTCAAATTATCTTTAATACTATATTAATGATTTAGCAAGATCAGACTTAAATATTATTTTAAATTTAAATTACTGAAATTTCTAATTAATATTAAGATTAGGTTGTTGGATATGTCATAAAATTAGAGAAAGTGCTAAATGATTAGAGTTAAATCTATGGTCCTGATATGCAGTAATAATTAATTGTACAAAATTCAACCATGAGCAATTTTTAATTTAAATATTTTGCTGCAAAGGCTTTATATTTAGGAGAAAACCAGGAGGAAGGAAACTCAGCTAGAGTTGATCAAACAGTTATTTGGGAGTAGTCATCTAGAATGAGCGAAGAAACTCAAGTTGAAAAGAAGGAAAAGGTTGAAGTGGTGAAGATAGAAAGAATAAATTATGCAGAAGGGATAAGAACGTTAAAATTATTTGATAATAGAATTTAAGAAATTGAAGATATTAGAATGAGCTTTACAGATTCAGATGACGTCCAACATTCAAGTGTATTTTAATCGAATTCAGATAACCCAGATGAGTTTGAGAAAGGCCAAAAGAATAATGTATTTAGAAATAGAAAAGTATTAAGTTCAACAATTAATGATTAATAAAGACCAAAAGTAATCATTTATTTGAGTAGCATCATCAATATTTTAATGGTGGCTGTGCTAACCCTGTCATTTACATCTTATTTCTTAGGATTGTATTTATTTGAGAATATTCAAAATTCATTAAATTTAATTTCATATGCAAGTTTGAGAAATTAAGAATCTATCCAAATTGTGATGAACATTTAGAATTTAGAAATGCTGAGGATTGGAATATGGAATTTCACAGAAACTGAGGCTATTGCGTATGAAGAGGAGTAAAGAAATGAATTGAATAAATCCATATATGGATTAGTAGAAGCCAATAAAAAATTGATGTTAAATGAGCTTTACATCAATGAACAAATTGAAGAATTATATTCAAAGAGTGTTGTAAATGTCAGAATCTCAAAAAGTAGATTTTCTAATTATGACTTAATCGAAGCTACTTAGCAAATAATTAGCAAAGCTCTAATAGTTAGAGATAAACCATTATAAAATTTGACATTGGATGATGAAGATGTGGCTTTTATTAATTATAACATGCACAATGGAATTATAATTGAATATCGTAATGAGACAAGCTAATATTCTTATGGAATTCGGGATTTGTCAGAGAATAATGTTAAAATCTTTTTCATTTTTATGGTAGTGTCTGCAAGCTCTTTTTTTATATTATTGGTAATGATTGTAATTCTAATAATAAAGATCAATTTAATACAGGAACAAATATTGCAATTGTTTATGGAGATACCAGAAAAAACAGTAAAATATTTGTATAACAAAAGCGAAAATTTTATCTCGAACTTATAGGTAGGGGAAGAAGAAGAATTATCTTCTGATTTCAGTGATGATGAGTAATAGGATGAAAATAAAGAGTTGAGTAGAACTCTTAAATCAAAGAGGAAGAAGAAGATGTTCAAGAATACAAATTCATCACACAGAACTCAAATTCTTATAATTACCTTTATTCTTTGCACTTTTTAAGGATATTTCATATTGAGTTATTTTCTAAATCAAGTTATTAATAATAATTTGAGGTAGTAAATACCAGAATTAAACGTTACAGCCAGATCTGGGTCATATTATAGATTTGTCGATAATTGTGAAAGGCAACTATTTTTGAATCGTGAAGAACCCATCCTTGGGAAGGACTCATACTCTATAGTAATGAACAACATACAATTAAATTATGAAGTGGACTCTGAATTGCATTAAGAACATGCAAAGAACTCTGAAATCGTGAATTAAGATTATTATGACACTTTCTAATCCATTTTTATGTTGAGTCCTTGCGACATATTTGAAAAGGAGGGGTATACAACAGTTGAGTATTGTGAAACATTTGCAGATGGGTCGATTTCTTAAGGGATGGCTGTAGCAATAGCTAGATATTTTGAGAACATAAGGTACATAATGACAATTTATGACATGTTTTATGGGCATCCTGAGGCAAATTTCAGTGTGGTTGCGAGAGGTTGGGGACAATTTCGAAATATCACTAATGACTCTGACAATGTGACTAATTATGTCTATAATTTGAATAATTTCAAACAGACCACAGAATCACGGATTATGCAGAATAAATTTATAAGAGGTATGAGAATTTGAAATATTTGTTTAGCTGCTTTTGAATTTTTACTCGATTAATACTTGGCTGCTTTGAAATACGACATTGAGGTAACTCAAACTTAGTTATTGGCTATATTCATTGTTTTTGAAGTGCTGATATTTTTTGTGTATTTCATTATTTGGTTACCGGCTGAGATGAAAATGACGAGAGATATTTGGAGAACGAAGGGGTTGATCTTGATGATTCCATTGCGTGTGATTTAGAAGATTAAAATGATAAAATCTTTCATTGGCGTTTTGATTCACAGCTAAGATTAGTGAGATATAATAATTAATAATTAAAATGGAACTTAAGTCAAACTTTGGTACTTCTAAAAGTTCCTTGGAGGCAGATCGATCTGTACTTGAGAAATTGCAAGTGGAGATGAAAGGAGTCTTTTTTCGGGTTATCCAACTAATGTTGAAAGATGAGGAGTAGTCGATTCCCTTCACATGCATTGGTATCGCGATACAGTATATGCAAATTACTTATATCCTCTTTAATCGGCAGATTTGGAAGGTGTGGCAAAATGAGATCATAACAAAACAACTGAACAAAATCTTTGGGTACAAAATGATCATTTAATTTTATAGGTATGTCCTATTGACCCCATACTTTGAAATGGTTAGTTTTTAGGGATTCGTGGCTATGATGTATGTGTGTCTGGGATTGCTTCTGTTTGCTTTGATGCTGATGTTTTTGCTGAGCTACAGTGTCAGTAAATCTAAATCTTCATTTACTTGGCCAATCATGTTGCTCAGATTCTTAATGTCCCTATTTTTATAGGTGCTATATATGCCCATCGTCGATTTGCTTTTTTCAATGTTGTCGTGTGCCGATAATGCAGCAGGCGTACTCCAGCACCAACTCTTTGATGTTGAATGTTGGGTAAATATACATATTGTCCATTCCGTCGTAGCCATTTTCGGAGTTATTTTATTCTATATTCTTTGCTTACTCTTCTCATTACTTTACTTCGAACCCAGATACCAACCTCCTGAAGCTTCCTCTAAAAAGAGCGGAAGAGCAAATGCTGTTTTGCTTACTTACCAATTAGTTATGGTTATTTGCTATACTTTCATGACTGGCAAGAATTACGATTACTTGATGATTCTGATTATGCTCATAGGCAGCTTTATAGTCTTCTGGAAAATACACATCGAGCAACCATTTAACAACCTGTACATCCAGAAGGCATGGTCTATGCTAGTTGCATTAAATCTATGGGGAGTGATTCTCATTTGCTTTGCCAAATTTCTTGAAGGAGTCTTATTCATCGGTACAGTCTATGCTTGGATTGCTGGAGTACCTCTCATGATAGCTGCCATCATCAAAAGTGAAAAATTGCATTACGATTTACTTCTATTAAATCTAAACAAAGTCCAAGACCCTGATCAAATTGTGCAACTGACCAATCATCTCCTCAAACTCCTTTACAAAAGTTCATTGAATTCCAACAGCTCTTTGTTGATTGACGGCTTCTTGGAAATTCATAAAGCAACATGCACAAGAGAGGATTGCTATCTTAAACAGAAAAAAATGATTAACCAAAGATAGTAGAAACCACTCTTTAAAGAAGGCACTATTATTGAAAGAGACCTGGATCTCCTCATGGTCATGGCCTAGATCTACTTTAACTAAATTAAGAAGTTTCCCAATGAAATCAACCTCAGAATACGTTATGCCTTTTTCTTATTGGACAATATGAAATAAAGACAATAAGCCATCAATGAGCTCATCTAAGCTGAAACACTGAGTCCAAGTCTTGATAATGATTTCATTATTTTTAGATACAAGAAAATCATTGAGGAAGAAATGAATACAGCACAAAATGAAACCTTTGGAAACCTAGATGTTGCAACAGAAATAGCATTTTAGAATAATATGAGATAATTTTAAAATAAAATAGAGAGAGCAACATTGATGCATATGGACTTCTGGTCTTAACTATAAGAGGAGTCCCCTGATTTGGGCAAAATGAATGAAATTGGATCCAAAATCAATCAAGCTATTCTTTAAGTTGAAGAATTATGGAATAGAATGTAGAAAATGACTCAAAATCTACCCAAAGCTATGAGATTATATGCTAAATTCATCATTGAAGTACTTTAAGATAAAGATTTTGGAGAATAATTATTAGAAAAATCTAAGTCACTTTAAACATAAAACAATAAAATGAAAAATAAATAAACCATTTCCATCTTCACTAGCGAAGAGATTGGATATGAATCTCAACCAATTTTATTGGTATCAGCATCTTAAGAGAAATTTGCTTAAATAACCAATTTAAATTTGGGTGCTTGTAATCTATTTGGGTACAATAAATCTGAAATGATCAATAGGAAGATCAATATTTTTATGCCTAATTTATATTCTAAATTTCATGATGCTTACGTTGAGAATTTCCTGCAATCTAACGATAATAAGAACATTTATAAAGACAGATTAATTTATATTAAAATGAAATCTAATTATATTATGCCCTGCTATATTTATTTGAAAATCATTTAATCATTAGATGAGAATGTGTCCTTAGCTGCCTAGTTTAGAGTGCTCAAAAGCTTTAAACCAACTTGCTATCTTATATTAGACAATGAAGAAATAATAGATTCAATTTCATCAACTTGTATCCCCTTATTAAATCTCGACTCTAAGTAGATATCTCATAAGAAAACCTCTATCTCCGAATTATTTCCAAATTACCAATAACAAAAATAGTTATTCCTATCCAAAATAGGCGGTCAAATATTGTTCAATTTGAACACTTCATCTGCTGTCAGTGCATCTTAGGAGTTTGAAGAAGCAGAGAAAAAGGGTGAGACAATCTAATTTTAATGTTTTACCTCTGAAATATTCAATGAACATGGAGATCAGGTGGTAGGCTATATTGTGAAATTGGAATAATAGATCTAGGAGATGAGTATGAATTTAGAAATTAATATACCCCATTAAAAAGTACTGACAAATACTATGCAATTTAAATTCAACCCATCGAAGTTCTTATATTAAGGGGAATACGTAAGCGATACCAATTCTCAAAGGGTGGATTAAACTATTCTATGGGAATAAAATGATCAGTCTTCAATGATTTCATCAGTATAGCCAGGCGCTGACTTAATCAAATCTCAAATTAAGTCAGAAAAGTCAGAAGATGGTAATGTCTTAATAGTATCGAAAATAAATTATGCAGAAGGCATAAAAATAGTGAGACTCTTTGAAAATAGAGTTTAAGAGATCGATGATAGAGATGATTAAATATCTGAAGAAGAAGATTAACAAGGAAGAAGTGTATTTTAGAGATAGCAAGATGTGGACAATGATTAGGAAGGATAAATGTAGGATTTTAATAACATATTTAAATCAAGAAAAAATCTTTCTACGGTTGTCGATAATTAAATCACACCTTAAGTAATAAAAAAATTAACTTGGACAGCAAATTTTATTATATTACTTTTAGTAGCACTTAGTTTTTCAGATTTTTTTGTATGTTAGGCTCAATATAATGAAATTTATTCAACTTTGGAGTTGGTTGAATACACTAATTTAAGAACAGCTGAATTACATTCAATATTAACTTCAGTGCAGAATCTATAAATGTTAAATTTAAATATTTTTTAAATCAACACAACAGAAGCAAGAACAGCATTTGAAACAGTTCAAAAGACAAAGCTTAATAATTCGATCTAATTAGTTTCTTAATTGAATAAAAACTTAATGTTATCAAATATATACATAAGTGATCAATTAAAAGAATTGCAGAGTGAGAATGTCGTTAAGATGAAATTTGGAGAACAATATCAAAATTACGATTTAATGGAAGCTACTTAATAAATAGTTAGTAAGGCATTAAACATAAGGGATAAATCGCTATCTTAGATTGTATATGAAGATGCTGATGTTCAGTTTATTATTTACAATTTGCTCAATGATTTAGTGTTTTAAATGAGAAATTCAAGCAATCTATATGCAGAAGGAATGATAGTTAAAACTAAAGAAAAAAAGGAGACATTTCAAATAATTTTAGGAATATCAGCAGGAGCCTTAGGTCTAGGATTGTTGATGTTGACGATCATAACACTCTCAGTCAATAAAATATAAGAAGAAATTCTTTCAATGTTCTTGGATATTCCAGATAAAACGGTTAAGTATTTATACAACAAAAGTGAAAATTTTATATCTAACCTCTAATTAGGTGAGGACGATGATGTCTTATCAGAATTAGAAGAATTAGAGAAGGAAGAGTAGGAGGAATTAAACAAAACTCTAAAAAGCAAGAGAAAGAAGAAAAAATTCAAAAATACAAACAAAGATTAAAGAAACTACATTTTTGCATTCGCTTTTGTAATTCTTATTCTATAGGCTTACTTTATTTTTAATTTTTTCATGAGTGATACATTGCTTAGCAATTTAGCTTAATTAGTTCCAGAAATTAATGCTACAAGTAGAGCTGAAGGTTTTTATAGATTTTCAGATAATGCTTAAAGTTCTTTATATATTAATAGAAATATCACAATCGAAAATGAAGACTCTTACACAAAAGTAAAATAGAACATAGATAAACTTTATGCTCTTGATTCCTCTATTCATCAAGAGCATTCCCTTAATACTGATATTACAAATTCAATATATTAAACAGCCTTCAAAGAGGTATTTATGCTTTAACCATGTACAATCCTTGCCTCCTATTTGGAGGAAATTAAAGAGACAGATTGTTAAGTTTTAGCTGATGGTGCTATTTATTAGGGTATGGCTGTAGGATTGGCAAGATACTTTGAGAATTTGAGATATACTATGACGATATATGATTAATTTTGGAACAACTCGAAAGCCAATTTTACTACTATAGCAAGAGGGTTTACTACTTTTAAGAACATTACAAAAAACTCTGATAATATTAGCAATTATATTCTCAATTTAGTTAATTTCAATTAGTCTAAGGAAGCCAGAGTAATTCAGGAGGTCTATAATAAAGGTACATATGAATTCTAAATTTAGGCACATTTAGATATTTGATGGAAAAACTGTAAGTTGGAATATCAATAGATATTGATGACGCTAAAACATAGAGATTGGCATTGTTCATAGTGTTTGAAGTGTTGCTATTTGTGATTTATTTTATTTTGTGGTTGCCTCTAGTCATAAAGATGACGAGAGATGTTTGGAGAACGAGATCGATGATAATGATGATTCCTCTGAGAGTTATTCAAAAAATAAGATCCATAAAACAATTTATAAAGGATTTCTTGCACACAAAGGAATTAGAAACTTGATGATATATTTTGTGTTCTTGATGAGTAACTAATGTCTGAATAATAAAATATCAATAAATATTATTAAAATGAATAATGTGCAATAATTTGATAGGTCATTGTTGACTGTTGATATCGTGGGTGCTCAACCAAAATAGAAGAGTTCTTACTTAGACAAGATCCTTCCTCAAGATATTCGCTAAGCAAATAACATAAAATTGCAGTTAATCTTATACACTAACTTTTTCTAGATATACAATCCCTAAACAGGATCCCCAATATGGTCGTAGGAGGTATTAGCATGATTTTCATCATTTCTGCAATAGTTGTGTTCCTTAAGGAGAGAACTATTTCGATGGTTCACACAAAAAACATTACAACTTGCACTTAGGAGAAATCAAATAATATCGAGCCCTGGAGAATTACTATGATTAACCAAAGTATTAATATATAATATCAGGAAATCTATAAGGGGACAGATTGTTGGCAACTAATGATATAGAAGGAGCCATTCCAGGGACACACACAAGCAAGGTGGTGAGAAATCAAGAAAAAGCATAAAAGATGAGACAAGAGAGAGAACACTTAAGAGCACAAAATAACAAGGCACTCTATCTATCCCAATTGGAGACCAACGTAGATTATTAATCTGAAATTGAAAAACAACCACAAAGGATTAAATCATACTCTATCTAACCTACTCCTTAACACTAGGTTTTCGAAAGCAGAGTAAGTGAACCCCAACAACCAAAGTATGATTACATGAACAAGCCTTTAAAACTACCGCCAATTATGGAGAGAGACACTCCTGTAATCAATCCTATATCTAACAAATTGTAACTGCGCTAAAATTACAAAAATTATCTTTTAGAAGATTATGATAAGACAATATCCATGTTACAATAAAATTAACCTATGAGATTATTTGTATGATCATATCAATTATACCATTTTTTACTTCTAATATTATTAGATAGTGAATATATACAATATAATATCAAGAATATTGTTATACATTATTACATCATACTCCAGAATTAAATGATGATTATATATTAATTTTAATTATATTTTTCCAAACCGAATTTGTTCTCAAATATACACCGTTTTTCTTCATACTCAAGTATTAATAAAGAACAAGGATCGTAATATCTATATATTATTAATTTTATGGGTAATCAAATCAAATTGTTCTTTAAATTAGACCCTATTAGAATGTTTTAATGAATAAATCTAGAGAATTTTATGTTATATCATACTTAATTTATCTTATTCAATTCTATCATATACTCCATAATTTTTAAAATCTAAACTCATTAATATTACATAATTAATTTAATATGTTATAACTATATGTAATATAATCAAAATCTCCAATTAGAATTTTAGAAGTTATAAAAATGGAAATAATGATGAAAATAGATAATACTTATTGAAATAGTTTTAAAAATTTAGCCTAGAATTTAACATTTAATTGTAGTGTAAATATCGATACACTGAAAATTAATAAGCAACATCCAATATAGATTTGTATTATTTTTTAGACGATTATAAAATTTTCAATATACTTTTAGTACTGACTCAATTTTAAGAATCTCCATCTAATAGCTCAAGGTTTCCAAACTTTGTTTTTTCAATTATATGACTTAAATTGAGATTTAAAATCTGTATTGTTGCATAAATTTCATGACATAATTGGTTTCAAATTTTATGTAATTCAAATTTAAATGCCTCAAATCAATACAAAAATTCTATATCAAAAAAGGGAATTTAAGATTAAGAAAAGATTGGGTGAATTTCAAATTAATTTGAAGATGAAAGCTTAATGAGTAAATAAGTATTTCATCATTTACCATTTCTTGTTTTAAATCTGGATAGAATTATAAAAATAAAACCAATTTATTTAAATATAGATCCAAATATTAATATTCTCACTATTCTTTATATTTCCTGATTTATAGTTCGTTAGATGTAGAATCCCATGTAATCAAATATTTTCCATCATCACTCATTTATCCAAATAGCCTAGAGCTGTCAAATTGAATAGTTTACTCAACTTTAAATTGATTATTTTCTGTTTTTCTGATTAAATTGACATTATCCCAATGATTACACATTAAAATTTATTTATTTTTATTAAATTGTTATTAAAATATCCCACAATTAGTTCCACCAACTTTATTAAAAGTAATAACTTTAGTTTTAGTGAACTATTAATTTATATTACTCATTTCATAGATATACATCAAATTGCCATAAATAGGTCTGTATGTGAATTAATAGTTGTTGATAAAGCATATGCTATATGCTTAAAATTCAGTTTTAATATTTTAACCAACAATCCACTTTTTCTGTTATTTAGAATATTCAATTAAAAATATATCGCATCCACAAGCAAGAACTTTGTTTTCTTCATCATTTAAACTTAATTAATCAACACTTTATTCATGATCTTTGATAATTTATTAACAGATCCACTCATTTTATTTAACCCAAAATTTAATAGTTTGATCTCCACTACCCGATATAAATAAATCTTCATTATTATTCAAAATTAAACAATAAATATTATAATTATGCGCTTTAATTTTTTAAGTTTAATACCACTCATTTTCCTGATCATGTGACCAAATGAAAATAGATCCCCCTGCGTCTCCAGATATAAACTAATTGGACTTTTTCATGAAAGTTATAGTAGTTACAATATTTTGGTGGTTATATAAAACTTGAATTTATTTCAAGTTTGCTTTTTTATATTCATATATCTTTATTAGGTCTTCACACCCAAGTGCTATGTATGAACAATCTTTATTTAAAGCAATTGAAAAACAACTTTCCTTTTATTCAATAGAATTATAAATAATAAAAGAACGGCTTAAATTAAGTTTGATATTGATATAATTATGATGATAATAATGATGATTATTAATATTGTTAATCTGATTATTTGGTTCTCTAAATGATTAATGGTTTCACTTCTTAAAAAATGTTTGATGATAAGTAGGATTAATCAATTAAATGGATTTAAGGAACTATTGGGAAAGATAATTCTAAATTTAGATTGCTTAAATTAGAAATTGGAGAATCCAGAGTAAAGACTTAATCAATTAAATTATTGATATTATCAAAAGATTACTAAAAGAATTAGAATAATCAAAAAATACATCTAATTGTTTCTCCGTTTCTGTGAAATTACATTCTAACTATCTATTTAACACTTATATTGACATTTTCCCTTTTTCTATTAAAAAATTATTAAATTATTACTTTTTATTATCAGAAATACAAGGGGCTAAACTCTAAAGATTCATTTATTAAGTCTAAGGCTTATTATTTTCATAATTTTTAAGATACAACATCTACGATTTTACTAGGTTAGCAATATACATTCATTCTGTTTGTAGCTAGATTAATCATTAATCTATTAATATTATCCAATAATCTTCATTATTAATATTTTAAATATTAATTTTTAATTGCCATTACTTAAATATTGAATTAATTTCGTAACATATAAATCCTATTTGTTTCACACAATTTGGTTAAATTTTCAAATATAAATTTATAAGTATATGAAATATTCAGTCAATCTAAATTTTTAAAGTATTAATAAGGATAAATAATAATTTGGAAAATAAATAGATCCTTATCAATATTAACTACTAAAAAGGTAGAAATACCTAATTTTCTTGAAATATTGATTATAATTAGAATTAAACACGACATATATAAATAATTTGTATTTAATAATGATTTTAATTATCACATTTCTATTTCCAAGAGTTCAGCTGATTTATTTTCTAAATTTTGCATCTTGATTTTAGTCCAAAATTAGCTTACTAAGAATCCACATATTAAAATTGTTAGAAACAATAAAATCCATGCCCAAATGGAACTACTTAGCTGTAAGGCTGTAATAGATATTGTCATGTTATAACTGTAAAACGAATTTGAAGCCACTAAGTAATATTCATAGCTTGGAGATAAATCACCTACATTAGTGCAATTAAAATATATGGATAAGTTGAACACTAATAAGGTGACATTTGTTTTATTTAGGTTCTCGCCATCATTTGTTAGCATTAGCAAAAATTAACCCTTATTGTAAGGTTGAGAGATTAAGGCAATTTGAAGAATGTTTCGCTTTTGATCAACTTGATAACCTGCATCCATTTAAATGGTGCCATTGTAGCTTAATTCGTTGGCTAGATTGTATGTTTAGTTGATCTTCTCCATATTATACATTGCAATAATATTCCTACCTCCTTGCTCTATGGGCGGACTAAATAGCAATGCCAAATATGAATTTTGTAGGACTCCCAGGGGAATTTGGGTGTAGTTACCATAAGGGGGAATGTAGGCGATGACATCTTCAAATTGAAGTGAAGTTTCAGCGAAACTTAGAGGACTATAACTCATAATAATAACTAAGTTGTAGACGTTATTTGAAGTGAGAACAAGGATGATCTAATCATATTTGACAAGGTAAATAAAGATTTACAAGAACTAAGAATTAGATTTGTTGACATATTAAGTTATTACATCTGAGACTCGATTTGAAACTTTTGAAAAAAAGAGTAAGGTTGTATTGGTGATATTGAAACTCACATATTTTAGTTCACTGGGATTTTGACACAAATAAAAGATGACTCCTCTTCCACTATACGTATTATTGATAAGGGACTTGTTCTACAAGACAGTAAAATTATAATCGATTATGCCTCCTCTGCATTAGATTGTTCTTGATGGTTTATATTAAATTGAATTGGGAGTTGAATTTGAAGATGCATTTTAATTAAGATTGTAGATAAAAATCTTTTATGAATTAGGGTTTTAGCCAATTTTCCCTAAGATGAACAGATACTGATTTAGTTGCGAACTCTTTAATATTGAGGTAAAAGGAGGTGAGTAAATAATGCTTGTATTCTTTTAGTAATTCCAAGGCTGAGATGAATTGCATGTGGTGGAATTATTAAAAGCGCAATTAGGAAATAATGAATATACAGTAACAACATCGCCAGATTTACAAATCGAATTCATATAAATGGTAGGTCCATTAATAGTTACACTCAAAGAAAGACATTCGGTGAAATTGTAGTTCATTAGTTGTAATCCATCAAAGATTACATAACTACTTTGATAGAGTCCTGAAGTATTCTAATAGAATAAAGAAGTACAGAAGCTGACCATTTGTGTAATGTTCACAATCTCCTATGTGAAGTATTAACTTTCGTTTATAAATTGATTCGTTATATTGAAAGACTTGTTAAATTGGAGAACCTGTTTATCATAAGCGAGTAGATGATATACCAATACTTGACCCATTGAAACATTTGTCATATTTAGAGGTATCAGAACTTGGTTGTTACTGTTGGCTTTAGCATAAAACGTAAGATTTCTAATATTTGAATTGTTCTTAAATTAGGAATAATTCATAGAGATTTATAGGTATGTATTCACTACAATTAAATCGTAGTTCATGCTTTTGTTCCCCCATGGATTTGAAATGCTAACGGAAAGATTAGCAAGGGTGTGCATCTTATATTCTTATGTAACCTAATATACTTTAAAGCTATAGGGATTGTTTTAGAAACTAGCCCATAAGTTGTTTTTATACGACAGAATTGATTATTACTTTGTATTAGTACTGCTGATGCTCTCGTTTTAACTCAACGGTAAGTAAAAGTATTATGAACTGTGATAGGGCAAATCTATACTGTAAATGGTTACACCACCATTCAATTATCTTACATAGAAAAAGTAATTGTCTGCTAGAATTTACGTACCAGGTTGAATCGTACAATTTGGTAATGGTTTAGAAAATTTGGGGTGAGATATATCGGATATATCATATACGGAAAACGATACTGTATAAGGAGGTGAGTTTGTGCTGCTTGCAAGAACCATAAACATCTGGCTGACAAAAATTTAAGAAATATCCTAATTTGACTTAAGATAAGATAAAATAGTAAAACAAATAGTGTTCTAGATAGGTTAGTTATATAATTCCAAAGTGATGACACCATTTTGATTGTTAATAAACAAGGTAGATTAATACAATTATTAATTTATTGAAATTTAAATAGGTTGGAATACAATATCGTAATTCTATCCTTCGGCTTGATCAATTGTAGTTTGATTTATGTAATATTTTGCATTAGTTTGATAACTAACAACAATGATCTCAAACTAGTTGTTGAGTACTATCAATTTGTTATACAGAATTTAAAATTAATTTATTGATTACTAGTAACCTATGTTGTATAAATATAGTGATGGTTCAGAAATATTGACCCCCTGTGAATAATTTGATAGATTAATGCTGAATTAGAAGGAATAAACCTATATAATTTAAGGTCCTTAATCAAATGCTAAGATTAGCTCTGTAGGGTTAGATTGAGTCATTTATATAGTAGTCAATTGAGAGACATCACAATTTATACTTTTATTAAGTAAACAATTCAAAATTTAGTTTTTGCCTATTCGACAGATAGTGTAGTAGAGATTAGTAGAATTATTCATTTCTGTCCACGCATAAAATAACATTTTATAATTTTCAACAAAAAACAATTGAGAATAATTTTAAAACAATCCTGGAAGGTTAGTTTTCAAATTTTAAAAGGCTGTACTCTGAGGAATAGAAATACTAATGTTTGAATCATTCTATGAGTCATCTATTAGGCTTAATTGCAATAAAGGGCCTGTGAAATGATCATTCAAACGGAAGGTCTCTGAAAGATCTTAGACGGTTGAGAGTTTACTTATATTTGTAGTACTATAGATGTCTTGATTGCTTTAATTTAACAATTAATAGGTAAGAGTAAGATTGCATCCAAAAATATCAAACTCATAATGCAATTCTGGATTTTCATAAGCAAAAATGTGGATTACACCACTTTGATTCTAGTCGTTGATATTTATGACTAATTTGGGTTGTTATAAATGATACCAAGTGATCTTTCGAGAAAATTTCAAAAAATTGTTACCTTCATAATTTAGATAAAATTAGACATAATCTTCAAAATCTTTATTTTGATATATTGGGGCGACCGTTTGCTCTTCATGAGAATTGGAATATTTTCCAATATAGAAATAACTTTGAATATCATTTTGAAAGATGACCAAAAAGCTTGTACTCAAATAGATTAAAATTCTTTGTGCATGATTAAATGTGTATTATTAATAGGACTCATAAATTTGTACTACGGAGAGGTTTTATCCATCATAATGAAATTCAATGATATTATCAAAGTAATTGTCAGTGACAACATAAAAGGAAGTCGTTAATTAGCCATAAAACTATGAGGGGAATGCCTAGATGGCTAAAAATTATTAGTTGTTCGAGATTTTATTGAAGGGTTGTAATGCGGTAATCTGATTTAAGTCATCTATCAATGAAATGTAAATGCAGTTTGTAAGATTTAAAATAGCTACAGACTTGCCATCAGCCATCAATGAAAAATCTGTAAAAGTGTTTCTGTTAAACCTGGTTATAAATTTAGCTTATTGGGCTGTTTCATTGTAATAGTATGTATGTAAATAAGAATCACTATTGCTTAGGTATATCCCATAGATGATGTAATTGTTGCTGTAAACTAAATCGGTATATTCAATCAAATTAATATCAAACCCGCTTTAAAATAATTCATAAATAACTATTTGTTAGCCTTGACTAAATAAAATTAATTAAAAATCAGTATTGTAATAGCAATCAGTTATTATATTGTTTGATTAAGCAAAGGCAGAACTAAAGCTCTTGCAATCCAAATTTACTTTAATTCTCGAGCTAACTAATTCTGTAATTATGTGGTTATCGTAATCTACTTCATAAATGGTTAAATTTGTATAATTCTCAATAACAGAAGTATAATTGAAGTATCCTGAAACACTGTTAATGTTTTTTAGAAGTCTATCATGATTAATCGTATATTTTTCTACTTCAAGCGCATTTTTCATATCGATGCCATCTTATGACACATTACATCTCCTTACGTCCCTATCTCTAAAAGTATTACCTTCCCCAATCGTACAAACATAAATTAAATCTGCACCATCAAATAACTCACTCATATCCAATTTGTAGTTCTCATCTTAAGTGGGGTATAAGAATTGCAGATGCTAAGATTTCGGAGTGCAGGCAAAGCCTATCGATATCATGAGTAATAGAAACATCGCTCAAATTATTTTAAATATTATTTTCTTTACAAAATTTCAGATATTTAATTATTAGTTTGGAATATAATATCATCTCTATTCTTCTCCAGGATTGCACAATTTGATATATTTCACATAATAAATCTACTTGAAGTTCACAATCAATTTGGGATTCATCGGATCCAAATCTTTTGCTCTCCCAAAATCTTCTGCTGCCTTCCCGTATGACTATAAGGCTTTATGAGCAAAAGCTCTTCCAAAGTACGCATGAGAATTGTGTGGCTATCATATTACACTCAATAATACTTGCATTTCAATCACCTTATCGAAGTCTTCCAAAGCCAATTGATTTTCACCCACCAACAGAAAACACTTCGCTCTTTCATGAATATAAGCAGGCTCGTATTTCTGTAAATCTATAGCATTAGTAAGAGGCTCGATGGCCTTGTCAAACATCTCCAAATTGGCAAAGGATATTCCCAAATGATAATGTATGTCAGGCACATAACTTTGAAATGGCTTGTTTTCAAATGCTTTGTAGAGATCAGCTATGCTTTTCTTGAATTCCTAATTTTTATAATATGCCAGTCCTCTCCTGTAATAGATCTGTGCATCATTAGGTTTCCTATCCAACGCACTTGTCAAATCTATTATGGCTTTTGGATACTCTTTCTTGTCAATAAAGATATTGCTTCGTTAAACCAAGAACTCTTGATTATGAGGAGACTCCTTTAAAGCCTTGTCCAAGTAGAACAAGGCCTTCTCATAGTTCTTCTTTAATCTGTATGCTTAACCTAAACCTGAGTAAATGCCAGGGTTGTTGGAGTTGAGTTCAAGAGCTTACTCGAAATCCTTGATGGCATCATTGAGTTCGTGCATTTCAATTCTTGCCAATCCTCTGTTGTAATAGGTCTCAGGATATGTAGGTTCCATTTCAATGGCTGCATTGAAGTCTTGGATGGCCAATTCATAATTTTTCATATCCATATACACCAAACCTCTTGAAGAGTAGACCAATCGATCCTTGCCTTCAGCATTCAAGACTTAAGTGAACAATGACAAAGCCTCCTTTAGATTATCATTCTTGTGATACATGAGACCTAAATGGAAAATGGATGGCATGTGATTCGGAGTGATATTCAAAGCCTCTTCGAACATTTTTATAGCCATTTCATATTCCTCGGAATCCTAATAGGCCAATCCTTTGGAATGATAGAATTTTGAATTTTTGGGCATCAGTTTGATTGCCTTGTCATAATCTGCATGTGCTTCTGTTCTCTTACCTAAGGCCAAATGAGTATTTCCCCTATTGTATAATGCTCGGGCATCTTGATCATCTATGCTAAGAGCCTTATTGAATTCTATCAGACTGCCCTTCAAATCCCCCAGATGATACAATGCCAATGCCTTATTATTGTAATAGGTTGCTTTAGACTCATCTTATTCGATGGCCCTAGTAAATCTCTCTAATGCCAATTCATATTATTGATTCTCGAAGTAGGACAATCCCAAATTGTTGTGTGCTGGGGCTTCATCCTTCTTGATATCACAAGCCTTTTGCAAATGCTCAATTGATTGGTCGTACATTTTGATTTGTCTATAACAATTTCCCATGTGAAAGTGTGCTTTGAATTGCGCATTGGAGTCCTTCAAATACTTGAGAGCTTGTTAGTAATCATCGATGGCCTTTTTATAATTATCCAATCTGGCATAGACAAGTGCTCTATTTAAAAAGAGGAAACCGTCTGTGGATTTGATTTGAATGGCTTTGTCATATTCCTTCAGGGCATCATTGACTTCTCCCAATTGCAGAAAACAGTTTCCTCTTGCCCCATAATGTTCTGCATTGTTTTCCTCGAATCTCACAGCAGTTGAAAAGTCAAAGAGAGCTCTCTAATATTGGCCAGTCTGCATGTAGGCGTTACCTCGGGCAGCATAAAACTTGGCGTATTGCGGTTCTGTTTGACTTGAATTCTAAAACTATTATATATTTTAATGACTTATAACAATGTGATTGCTTCAGAAAACAGTTAGATTGCACGATCAAAATCATTGGCTGTCTTGTTCTCTTTCAACATAATCTTCTTGCCTTCTTGGAAACGCTCGTTCGCATCCTTCTATTTCTAAGCCAACTCCTTGTGTTCGTTAAGCTTCTTTTGTTACTTCTAATTAAAGGAAGACATTTATTTATTTTAATTAAAAATCTTTTGATAATGAGTTATTCCATAGATCACTTTGTATAATTGTTATACTTCGATAACTTGGAGCATCTGGAAAGCGGGCAGAACCAAACAAGATAGAAAGTCAAAGAAGGAAAAGTCTGTGATGAAATCATATTCCAATCACTTGTCAAGGTCTAGTTGATCAGAATTGTCAAACCCGGTTATAATGTGCATCAGAATCTCAAAAAATTGATTACAATTACTCAAAGTGAAGAGCCAATACGAAATTTGGAGATTTTTGCTAAATCTTATTAGTCCAACAAACCATAATCAAGATATCAACTTCTCTTTGGAAGTCCTGAAATCTCTTCCAACAATTGTGATATCCTTATCACACTTGAATAGCCAGTATTATATTTATCTATTGTAATAATAGTACATCACCGATTTTATAGTGTTCAGAGGACAATATAAACGACTGACAATTTGCATGTATGGTGAAATCATGTCAGGACAATCGATCCAAAGTTACAATCCTACTTATGGTAAGAATATTGGGTTACAGGAGTTGAATGATGTAATCGATGCCAGAATTTAAAGAGTACGCTCAATCAATCAACCAGTTGAATAATAAAATCTATTAGCAAATCATTAAGTAGAAAAATTAGGTTTTGGATCACATTTACAACCAAGAGAATTACCATTTATGTGTTGATAATATTCAACCACAATTATTACTTGAAGATAAACAATTCAATTAACAGGAGTCATAAAAATAAATTGAAATCTTGGCCAAGGAATTGAAATCAATAGATTAAGACTATGATTTTGTAGATAAACAATTGGTGTCATTGTATCATGAGAAATTGGAATAAATGCATAGAGTCTTAACCAAACATTTAAAACATTCAAAGGCAGATATCCATTCAGCTGCACATTTCAATGATGTTGATCGTATTTACAAATTGCTACCTACTTCACTTGTGGATTCTGTGATCTTTGCAATCCATGCATCCTATTCTTCAGCAATTAGAGCATTTCCAATTATCATTTAATTACTCAGTTCTAAATATCATGCCTTACTATTTTTGGATAAGGGAGGCCTAAATAAGTTATTGGAGTTTCTGATAGAGGTACAACAATCGCCTAGTTACTTTAAATTGAAGGTGATTGAGACTTTGTACAATTGTATGAATCATGTAGAATTCTGCAATGAGTTGATAACTCGAAACGTGGAAATCAAAACACAAGATTCTGAGAAATCACCGAAGAAGAAGAAGAAAGTGAAGAAGGATAAAGAGAAGAAGAAGAAGGAGAACAAGGAGGGCAAGAAGAAGAAGAATAAGAAGAAGAGTAGAAGCAGGAGTAGGAGTAAGAGCAAGTCAGTGACTCAGGAGTAGCAGCAATTTACTAACGAGTAAGTGAGCAATTTTAATGGATTTCAGTTGTTGGCTTATACGGCATCGAAAAGTGAAGATGAGAAGATCGTTTAAGCATGTCATGTGGCTTTGAACAGATTGTAGATTTATGTGAGATTCAGGAAGTTGAAGAATATGATTGATTTGGTTTATTAGGGGAAATTGGCATTTATTGAGGATGGGACCATGGAGTTCTTAATGAATAATCTACCATATCAGTGGGAATTCGAGAATCTTGTGGGATTGGATTTGTTTTTGTTCGCTGTTTAGAAGGACTTTTATTGTGATAGGCAGAGGGAATTGATGTATTGTTTGTTTGATGCAGAGAAGACGAAGACTGCCAATTTTAAGTTGGTTAAGGAGATATTGCAGATGAAGGACTTATGTATAACATATGCAAATGCAATGTGGTTTAAGTAGATGTAATTTATGAAGTACATTGCTGCTATGATGGTGCTTAATTAGAATTATAGTTAGTGTTGTTAATTGATTTATCGCATCTTATAAATTAAGGGGGGCATTGTAGTCATTTGTCAGGAGACTACAGCCCTAAAGTTGATAATAAGAGTCTTAACCAAAAACAATGATATATAATTATTAAATTTAATAAAATCATCATTAGTTTTGATCAATTTAATGGATTAAATTTACATTAAACTATTAGGTTCTGATTATGATTATGAATTGATATCATTGTTAGGTTAATTGTAATAATACACTGAAGAATAAGATGAAATAACTCAGAATTGTGCAGCTGTTACTCATTTGATGAATAATGAATTCTTCAGTGAAGCCTTATTGTATATCATGTCAGTAACTAAATTGGATGACATAATTGAACACGAAGTAGAAATCACAATTATGTCCCACATCTTTATCAATAGTAAATTTTGAAAATAATCATAGTTCTAAGATACAGCGATACAAATATAGGACTCTTTTTGGCTGATCGTCTTATAGCACCCAATGCTCGCTTTATCAAATATGTCAACACTGAGAAATCCAGATTCAGTGCAGATTTCCGGTTATCTCAAATACTCTTATCAGGTGTATTAGAACCATATGAATTGTTTTTGGCCAAAGATACAACTAAAGCTATTAGGGAATCATTTCACGCTAAGTTGAAATTCGTTGCCATCAATCAAGATCCTGATAAAAATAAGTTGAAGGAATATTTTGGAGTGGGAGAACACAAGAAAGGAATTCATGAGGAATTGAAAACTGAATTTAGACTTTTGGGAACATTCGATTAACCTTATTAAAGTTTACAGTTTTTAGATGGAGCAATCAAAATATTTAAATGGTTGTGTAGTTGCAATAAGTTTTATTTCATTCCATTCTTTGAACATGAAGTCATAGCTGGAGTAGAGTGTTTTGCTGGCAAATTAATTAACTTGTTTACAGCCATGACTTCGAAAAATATACAGACTGAATATATGTTGATCAAACTACCAAATCAATAATAGATCTTAAGACATTATTTCGATCTTACCTTCAACACTATAGAGTTGATCTAGGAACGATTGAAATTCAGAGTACAATTGGGATGTGAGAGTTCATTCCACTCCAATGATTTATGCAAGATCCTCATCGACTTATGGGTCTCTCTATAAAAGGTATAGCCAAATGGACTCAGAGGATGCAAATAGAAGGTCGAAAATCTATTGAACATCCTAAGGAATTGCTTCAATTATGTTATTACACTGAATTCATTTTAAGATGAGGACAACGATTAATTGAAATTGCATGCCCAATAAGGAAGTTAAGAGATTTAGACTTTATTTTAATCTTTGTATTTGTCAGCATTCAGAAATTAAGAAGAGTAAAAGTACATTCTTAATTTGATGCAATACTTGATTAAAGATAATTAAAATAAACCTTAATTCAGCAATAACCTATTCAATGTGCTGTTTAAACCTATGCGCAAAAACGATGATGAATTTGAAAATTACACAAAGAATGGAGACCTTGGATTTCTTATTGATACCATGGGAGACTAGAAATGTCTATAGAATCTGATGTAATCTTCCTTAAGAACATTTGATTCAGCTTTGCAAAATGAAATGTTCAAAGTCTTAAGGAATCTATTGGAATTGTATGATCATAACATCTCGTAACATCTGTTCAAAATAATCGAAGATCAACTCAAGAATTATTCCAATAAAATTAAGGCCTTAGCTAAGAAAGAAGATCAATAACTCTATTTGAAATACAGGTAAGATTGGGTGCTTTTGGGATTGTTCTTAACCCAAGCCATAGACATCTGTCTCTGCAACTGTGGATTTATGTACATATTTAATTATGAACATTTGAATGAAGACATGATCAAAATATACAAATTGATAGATGCTGAAAATGATTACTGCGATAATTAACCTACTGAGAAGGCCTACAAATTACTGATTGCAACATTGCGTAATCAAATTCTACAGATCTTTAAAAAGGCTGTGGATCATGAATGTGGTGTTAGCCAATTCTTATAATCGGAATCTCAATCCTACTAGTATTTAATTGAAGACATTCCTCATATCACATACTTATAAGATTTACTTAAGAGTTTGGCTAAGAATTTAGTTAAGCATATTGAATACACAGATGATTCCAAAGAATACTACCATCTAAATTTGATATCATCTAAATTAATCATTGAGATCTTGGAATGTACTTCAAAGAATATTGTTGGTCAAAATATTCTTCTCTACTCAGACTATACACAAAATCCCTACAAGGCTAAACCAATTTTCTAACTCTACAGCATCATAGAGTTGGTTCAACAATCCATATAAAATTACAATAACTTACCATTTTAATCAGTCTACACATCAATTATTGAATAGTTCATTAGTTTACTCTTCAGATTATTTGTATCTATACCCAACAATGTCATTCATCCAGGAGATGTAAGAAAAAGAGCCATTCAAACACTCATGTTCAATAAACAAGAAAACATTATCGACTTCATTACTAATCTATCCAATTAACTCACTAACATCCCCTACTTTATTAAACATGTTAAATTGCTCTAATACCTATTGAAATAAATCGAATCCAACAACAAAGAAATCAAGGATCAAAATGTCACCTTGCCCAGCGAACCACGTTCACATTAAGTTGTCTTTTAACTCATACAAGAAAAGATTTTACAATAGCAATCCAAGGGAAAACAACAATAAGTCTTGAGTTCCTTTTTCAAATAGACTGTTCTGGAGGGCGATAAAATGTTGAAATATTAATCTTTAACAGTAAGTGAGGTAACACCATGGAAGTTGGCATTTAAAGAATTGAAAAAAGAAGTGCCAACACAACCAAGCACATTCGTCTACCCAGAAGTGCTATATAAAGATCAAATCTTTAAATTAGTTCCCTTGGAAATACCAACCTATCCAAAAACACTCATAAATGACATAATGTCATTATAGATTAGACAACCCATGATCTCCAAAGACAGGATAGGCTTTGCAAAGATATCAACAGTCCAACCTACTCTAGAACCAATAAGACCTGCTGTTCCTATTCCTATAAGGACACCAACAGTCGACGCTCCCCCTCCTCTTTACAAACCAGAGATGATGTTCCCATTGTAGTAACCGAATGTGCAACCTCATCAAAATCCCATCAATAGCACACCTGTCATTCCGATAAGGCCTTAGAATGCAAGTAGCAACTACAATTTAGTAAATATATTTGAGATGTTAAATAGTTGGATTCGATAGCTCCTCCTGTTACATTCCACCAATTGGAAGACCCAAGACTCTAAAGAAGACAAGAGTATAATATGCATCCAATGTAATCGATTTAACAATAGAGCGGCATTTAGTAATAGCAATAATAATAGCAATTGTAATAACAATAGGCTATGCAACAAAACCTTCATTAACCTTATCCAATTTCTTAAATGCCCATGTTTATGGTATTCAAATATATCTAATAGCAAAGCCCTAGATGTCTAATCAAATGGGCAGCCAATTGCCCAGTTAGATGGCACCAGCTATGCAATAAGCCTAGCCTCAGTAGTAAGTTCCTCCACAACAACCAGTTCTGCAATAGCCAATGATGCACATACACGCTCAGCATCCCGTTTAGTAGCCTCCGATTTAGTAGTAATAGCCATAACCATAATAACAACAATAACCGAATGAATTGGCGGAGTTGATTGCCATGATGAATGAGTAGGAGAAGGCAATCTTGAGGGAATTTCTGACTTCGAAGGATCCAAGGAAATTGGAGTAGTTGGAGCAGAAGAGAATGGAATATCCAAGAATTGATCAATTTTTAATGGCGCTATCGCAATAGCAAAAAAAGAGAAGCTAATGATAAAATATATATTAAAAACAAATTATTATTATTAAATTAAAATGTCTGAATAAAAGCAGCCAAATATTATCAATTACTTCTAGCAATACAAATAAGGCATTCAGAATGCTTTCAAAATATTGGAAGAGGTAGATTTTGAATTGCCAGAAGAGGAAGTGAAGCAAAAGATTCCAAAATAGGTAATATCTGTAAACCAATTCGTTAGATTGAAGATTAAAAACAACCGATAGAACCTAAATTCATTTCACAAGCAGATACAAAAAGAGCGCTTGAGAATATTGATAAATTAATTTGTTAATTATAATTAGTAACACCATTATATAGTGATCCAAAATAGTACAATTATCAATAATTAGTTTAAATTTCGAGTCAAATGATAGGACTAAAAGGTAGACTTAGATGAAGCATCAATAAATGTGGGATCAAATCAAGTTGCAGCAGAAAGAGCGATTCGCGAAGTTTTAAGATTAAGAAATCTTGGAGAGAATACTAGAATTAGACACTTAATTGAAAGAGGATTATGAATACAACTTCTAATTTTCAAGTGGCACTCAAAAAAAGACAATTTAAATCAAATATCACGATGTTTTAAAATTAAATCCACCCAATTATTTGAATGATGGAATTATAAACTTTTATTTAAAATTTTATCGAGTTCGAATTACTCGATGAATCCTTGAGATCCAAAAACATACATTTTTAACACTTATTTTGTGGAGAAACTATGTCCCTTTGACAAATTGCAGACAATCTAATAGAATGACAATCATAGAATAAATGAGCTTTTCAAGCAATCCTATGAGCATATAAAGAGATGGGTCAAAGAAGATTTGACTGAAAAAGAGTATTTACTATTTCCCATCAATTTACCTGAGCATTGGTCTCTCCTGATCGCTCATAAACAAAGCAAATCTTTTTAAGATTCCATCATTATATACTTAGACAGCTTTGGAATTATAGATTAAAAGTTAGTTACAATAATAAAGATGTATGTCTATTCATATATTCTTAAGGTATCTACATAAAATGCAATGTGATAAAATACAATCTGATGTCAATTATAATGATTCTCCAATCAAGCAAATCCCAGCCTATTAACTCTTAGTGCCAAGACAAGTTAACTATGTGGATTGTGGGGCTTTCCTTCTAGAGTATGCAGAATCATTCCTGTCCAATCCAAATTATCTCTTATCAGATTTCGAATCCCCAGAAGGCATTTACAAATTGAAACTCTTCCCTAGGACACTTGTTAACAAAAAGAGATTTCTAATGAAGCAATTGTTGATTGAATTGGTCGAACTAGGCAAGGAGTAGGCTCTGGTCAATTACAAATAAAGAAGATAGGAAATAATTGAAAGTTGCTGTAAATTATGAATGTATCCTAATATTAGATACAAATGAAGATGAATACGATAAAATAGACTAGGATTTGTTCAAAGAGTTCCTGAATCAAAAGAGTTCCATAAGTGTGAACAGTGATTAGTAAAGATCTATGTTACTGGACTTTTACATGAATCCGCAATAAAATTATTATGAATAATGAGTGTAATTGTATCTTTATTATTATCATAATGATTAATTAAAAAACACAACAATACAACTAATATCATCTACAACTACATCATTTTCCTTCCATTATTGCTGAGCCTATTAAATTAAGTACTAAGCTGCCTGATCCTATTACTCATATTTCTCATAAACCAACTTAGCCACTTGTTAATTTGTCATATACTCCCACACACCATCTGAAGCAATCACCATAAACAAATCCTGTTGTCTTACCTTCGACTCATAAATGGTAGGTTCTGATGTGACTCCCACAGATCGCATCTGGGTATCTCCAAAACTTCTGGACATTGCCAATCCTGATCCCTGCATCTCATCCAACCATACTCTAAATGGACCCACTGATTGTCCGTTGTGTTATAATTAGGCTATAGTTCCTCCCTTCTGTTTGATTCTATTCCTCTCCTCCACCACATCCAATCTATGATCCATGCTCAATTAATTAGTAATCAACCCTCCTCTGACTCCCTTGCTTACCATCATGGCTCTGCTGTCTCCAACATTGGCACAGTACACTACTGATTCCTTTTGAAATTCCTATTAAAAATCCCCCAAATCTGCTGGCACTATATTTTGTTAGAGCAACATCACCATATTACACGTGCATCCACTTCTAATGATGGGGAGAGAACTCTATTCCAAGAGACTGGATGTTTTGGCAAATGCTCCTTTGATAACTGTTTTGTGCAATTAAGTGTTGTATTAGAGCATGTATTGATTTCTCTGCATTCCTTATTCTATCTATTGAATTAGGGTATTCAAGACATAGTTAGACACCAAATGGCCTGAAGATCCATGACCATCGCAAACGACAAACAACTAATAATTGTTCAGGTTTTAAACTATAATAGCATCTTAATTATGTTTCTAACATGCTAAGGATTAAATACTTTCTATTCTCCCCCCACTATACCAGTTTCACTATGCCATACACAATACACTTTCTCCATTTCCAAGAGATAATTCTGATTTACAGGAGACCCCATTGATTGCATTTTTAACAATGGTATTTCACTTCTCTGAGAAATCTGAGAGGTGTTTTTTTAGATTTTAGGCAAAGATGCCCTAGGTTTTAGAGTAAGCAAAGAAGTGTGTGCAATTTACGTTTTCAAATGTTCTCTATGAGGATTGAAACGACTCACTTTGAATTTTGGAGAACTAATTGAATTTGGTTGCATAAATATAATTATATATTCAAGATATTTAATAATGCATCTCTTTTTTTCTGTTTCTTGACTCATTAAAATTAATAAATGTTAGTTAATTAAAGCAAGTGCATGTTTTGCGAAAAACTGCGAAACGATGGATCTTTTCACCTCATACTCAAGAGAGCCTTGTATTGCAAGTACTCTCAATCACAAAACTTCTTTTACGAAAAAGACATAAACGACATAATCGAAGATCGATGTGTGAAATGCAACATCCGTTATAGAGATCAATTGCATCTCAGTGATCAAAATGAGTACATGCGGAGGTATATACCCTCAACCAACTGATCTAGATACTATCGTTTTCTCGAAAGTGAAGATCGACTGCCGGCCCTACTTGAATACTATAAATATCACATCAATATTCCAAGGAATTTCTGCTCAACAATCATTAAGAAGAGAATGGACAGAAATAGGGAGCTCTAATATGGTAAAATTAAGTAAGAATTGGGTCTTGCTCAAAATCATAAGGATATCAAGTAGGACTCTCCACGAAAAGTCAAAGATACCTCTGAGGATCAATCTGTTAGTTAAATGAAGAACTTATTGAAGGATTTAAAAATTGAATCCACTCAAACAGACATCTCTAATAATACCACCATTTTAAAAGATCTTGTTAAAATGATTGGAAATGATGCACAGAAACATCAACCTTTCCAAATACTCAATTACAACAAAATCATTCAAAAACAAATCAATCCTCTCGTTGAAGCCTAAAAACTTTAGTGTAAATAAATAGAAACAAATAGAAATAAAGAAAATAAAACTAGAATTGTCAGATCCCCACCTCAAACTGAACGCAATCTAAGATCTCCTTAATTGTCTAGACAATCTTCCAATACTAAGATTAAAATTGAGAATCACACAACGAAACGACCTCCCTAATTAAAATCAAGATAAGCATCCTTAGGGAACATTGAATTAACTAAGTCTTGTTAAACTACTGTCAGGAACAATCCCCAATAAAATGAATTACTATTAGAACTAGCAAAGAAAGTTTTCTCAACCAAAATTGCGATCACTAATAATTTGATAACCAAGAAGAAACCCACTCCTCAATAAACTAATAATTTTTTTGTTAAAGGCAGAACTACGTTACAATTCAATGTCAAGAATATAGAAGAAATTAAAAGTTTAACCATTCGACACAAGACCCCTAAGCAATTAATAAAATCGCATTAGGGAACTCCAAATTATAAAAAGAAATAATAATGATATTTAACTATTATATATATATATGGTTAGATGATATTTTCATTTTTGCATTATCATTTGTTCTATTTAAATTTAATTTTTCTAAGTTTAAGGATGCTTTTTATGTTGATATAATTAATTTTAATTTTGTAGCTGTTATGAAAAATCAATAAGTTTAAAGTCCTCAAATTTTCAATACCCACTATTTAAGAACAGATCATAAGATAAATTCACAACCTTTGGTTCTCAATTTAAACCAGTCTAGATAAAGTTCCAAGGCACTCTCTGTGGATAGGGGTAAATGTTTCATAAAATTATTCTCGCAGTCAAACTAAAGTAAGCAAATGAGAACGTGGAGCAACTTATAGATCTTTGGCAAAGGCATAAATCGATTACCCAAAGCACTCCAACCCAAGTGTCGCAATCATTTCATTATCATTCTACTACACAGAAAAATGAAAGCTTCGTCATAGGTACATCTACATCTAACCCTAAATCTTAGAGGAAATACCAGAAACCAGAGAAGTGAGTCCACTGAAACCTGAGGAAATAGTGATAAAACCCAGATAGTTATTTGATATCAACTAATCAACATCCAAATTACCATCCACTAACCTATAAAATTCATCTCACAAGAAGACAAGTTCTCTCTATGTTGGGGCTCTATCAAGTAGAAATATATATTAAATCAACTTAGAAAGTGATGCCTTTTCAGGAACTAAAAAGTCAGCTAAGGAAAATCTCAAATTGTCAAATAATGGGTTATCTAGCAGTAAAAAGTCATAATTCAATTCATCCTCTAAGAAATTACCTAAGGAATTGTCAACTATAGTTTTATAAATACAATCAATTTAAAAATCTTTACTGCCCCATTACCAAAAGTAAGATAAAGCTAAGAAAGCAGACATAGAGGAATAATTTAATATTCTAATCAACCAAATCAAGGCAGATTTCACAAAATGAGTGATATACTTTATATATTTTTATATAAATCAATATTCATGAAAGTCAATAAATATAGATAAATTGCTTTTTAATACTAATATAAAGGGAGATAATTAAAATGACTAGTGGATGATTTGAGTGTTTCAATAAGTTAAAAATATTTGTAAATGCACATTCGTAGAGAATTTATATAATTAAAATTAATTAACAATATGAGTTAGAAATTTAAAATCTTGGAGGAATCCAAAACTTTACCACTGATAGTTAGAAAGCCAATGGCTGTTATGAATCTTAACTTGTATAAGAAATACCAGCATTCATAAAATTATTATTACATAAGAGAAATTAATGAAATATTAAGTGATGCATCAACAAAACATGTTATACACTTCAAAGATTGGCTGACTATGGATGAAGAAGTACCTTAATTAATGCTTAACAATAGGATGAATACTTCAAGCGGTATTATAAGTTGGAGGAATATCCATAAAAAATTGCATTACTTACAGAGTATTACAAAGTATGGTATTCGATTGAAATAGTTCCATGCAGATATTGCTAGAATATTTTAAGAGCCAGTGTGCACTGTTTTAAATAAATATTATGATAAGAAACGAAAGTATGATTATTTTCGGATAGCTAAAATCATCGAAGAAGAGAATAAACTAAATCCTTAAAAACCACCTAAAGGCATAGTAGGTGAAAGGCCATCTCCAGCAAATTCATAAGAATCCCTGCCTCAAGAACAAGAGGAAGGTGAAAATGAAGTTGTGCACACTTAAGTTCTGAAAGAAATAAGTTGGTTAAAAGTATAAAATTATTAACTATAATATGCTTAGAACTAAAAGCCCTAAAACAAGGATGCCTCATAAACAATTAATCACATACTTAACCATCTCGAATACTCTGCAGACCTGTCTTCATTCTCAATTGCTCCTATTCCTAAGAAAGAAAAGATTACTTTGGATAATTTCTTACTTTACGTTGGGACCAAAATGAACAAAAAATAGAAAACATCCCCCAATCCCAAACACTCTCAGGAACAAAAAATCCAGGATTTAATTCAAAAACAAAAGGCCAAAATGCATTAGAAGGGATTGCCTAGTTATAGTCTACACAAAAAGAATGATACCAAATACAGCATAGGTTCAACTGAGAAGAAGATAAACTTCGTCAAAGATCAATGTAATAATTTATCGAAAAAATCGAACAGACAAGCATCCACTGACATAATTGAAAGTCTCACAAAATTAGATACTAAACCATAAGAGCAAATTAAAAACAAATCTAAAACAACTGTGGTTAAGAATCAATTAAAAATCAATAAGATCATACGTGATGTCAATCAAAACAATACACCCACTCCCTCCTTGCATAAAGTTTCTATCAGTTCTAGCCATCTAAAAACACAATAACCATAAGTTATCCAATCGAATAACAATCTCAAGTTGAATTCTCTGGCTAAGTTGCTAATCGAAGATACTTATCATGACCATCAACACAATAAACTAAAACAAGGTGCTATCACTCATCGACCATTATCAGGAACCAATACATTATTTACCTCCTATTCTAATAGAAATAGTCCATCTATTAATTATAAGAAATCGAATCTCCAAAATTCTAAACCAGAGTAAAAGAAAGGAAAATCAATCAATTCCTCTTAATAATCATAATAATTTGGTCAGTTGGCTAAGACTCTATTCAAAAAAGTCTTGAATTCCAAAAAGTCTAAACCAATTAATCATATTAAGTAGAGTTCTAGTCAAAATCTAAATCAATTCGATAAATTGAAAATTAATTGCAATTCTCAACAATAATTAAATGAAAACAGTGATAAAAAATAGCACAAAAAGAATAAGTCAGATGGAAAAGCCTTATACAATAAGTTATCTATACCAGACTTAGGATGCCTGACAGAAAGACACGATAAAGAATCTCCTTTATTAAATTTTCACAGTAACAATAACCATAGTTCACCTCAAACACAGCATTTTAGAAGACTTCACAGTGAAAAATAGGAATCAATTTCAAAAAATATAAAGGGATTAATGATACAATAAATGTTGAAACAACTGGCTAAACAAAATTAGTAGAATTAATAAAAATAAGAACTTCGTTCTATTATTAAAACTTCTTAGAAAAAATTTTGATCATTTATTCTGTCACCTTATTTATTTATTCTATCGATATTTAAGTCATTAATATTTTAGATCTAATATAAATAGAGCAAACATAAGAATCAATCTTAAATAACAAAGCATTCCATTTTACTTTATTTCCGAAAAGTTGCCTGTGCTGTAGTAGAAGCTTTTAATTCATTATACAAATTGAAACGCTTAGCTTATTTTACATAATCTTGAGTAAGAAAATTCATCTCAATAGAAGAATTTCTTCTTAAGAAATCTCCAATCAAAGTAATAGGATTTTAATTTTATTCTTCACTATTAATACTTTTAAAGTAATCCAATAGCAATCTCTTGGTTTGATATAACCACTGTAATAAACTGTTTTTATCTTCTTCTTCATCCGAAATGTTTCTTTAAGAGTGATCTAAATTACTATGAATAAATGAAATGATTATACAGATTTTTAAATATAGAATTTGAAATTTCATCCTCTTATTCCATTTAAATCATCTAAGAAATAATTGGTTGCAAATTTAATTTTATAACATTTAACCATTTTTTGTAATTGAAGGAGTCCTTCTGATTGCAATGAAGCATGCTGATTTCATAAAGCAATTTAGAATCGATGGATTTGGACTTTTATAACTGCATCAAAAAGATTTGAACCGAAACTTACTACTATACAATTGGAATTTAATAGTAGAACTACTCGATGGGCAAATTGTCAGAATAGAGATCAGTGTCTATCAATCCAAAGTAGATCAGTTCCCTAATTTGAGATTTGCCAAAATGAGAAATAATTTATTTCATTTTAAGTCCTCCTCCTCCTCCACATAATTTAGATTTCTAAATGCAATAGATGGCATCAATAACAAAACCACAATCAATTAAGTATGATGACCAGGTGGATCCTCTTAATCCGCATTCGAAAATGAAGATCACATAAAAATGTTTCGACAATCTTGATGTTAGTCATGTTATATATACAATTGCAGTGTTGATTTAAGATCTTTTTGTAGGACACATGAACAAAAGGAATTATCACATTATGAGGCAAATAGCTTAGAACATAATTTGATTTCACTCGATTATTCCCAAAATGACTTCCTTTTTCCCAAAATTAAATCTATAAATTCATTTCATATAATACTATCAAAGTTGATAACAATAATTTTATCGATAGTCTCTTATCTTTAGGAGAAATACAAACATTTCAAATTCATCCCTTTATTTAATTGATCGTATATTTGAGATCTTGAATTAATAGTAATTATGTGGTCGACATTTTCAGACTTACTAAAAAAGGGCTTGTAGATTGATTCCTTCATTTTTGTTAAAGCAAGCTTCCTTGGGGTTTGAATAGGTGAATAAAATTTAGGTAGTAGTAAATCGTCTTGAGTTTGATTGATGTTGTCTTCTTTCTTTTCCTTTCTTCTTTTAAGTTATGCACTTTTAGTGATTGGAATGTATTTTTCTTCTTTTTGAGTTTCATACCTTTCCTGCGGTTTGAGGACTCTAATTTGAAATCCCTGAAATGCTGAGCCACAATCTAATGATTATTTACTCGGTTCAATAGTAATGTATTTTCTGCTGGAATTAGGAGAACCTCTTAAAATGTTGAATCTGCTAGTATTGTCAAAATCAGGAATTTTGTATTGTCTGTGAACCTAATATTTTTTTTTGAGTTTGTGATTTGAATGATATTAGTCATCATGTACTGATGAATTCAGCAAACTAATCATTTTGATTATCTAATTAATAACATTGCTTGTATAACATAAATTGATAAAATAATACTACTATTAAGAATGGTAACAAAGACTATGAAGTTTGGGCGAATGATACATTATAACTAATTACAAAAAATAAATATTTATCAAAACTTAGTTCACTTTTCCGGATGATAGATAAACAAAGTATTCTTCGAATGATTCTGCAATTACTGATCATATTATGGTAGTTCTGAATTTAGGAGCATGTCCTAACTTTGAAATGTTAAGAGATGTTTGTTTTGGTTATCATCTGTGATCACTGGTTGGAATCTATCGGTGTCACTAATCTAAGCCGACCCTCTGAAAATGCTTATCTCATTTAAGAAAGAATGTCCACTCTGTTGAAGCCTTTCATAAAATTAGAATCATAATAATACTCCTCCGGGATTTGTTCGTCTGATTCAGTATTTTCGGTGTATTCTTTGCTTCTCCTATTGACCTTCTTGATCAGACTTCTGGAATGGGATTCCCATGCCTTAAAAGCAATGAGAACATTCAAGTAATCGTGAAGAATGTTAAAATTTGTTCTTAGGTCGACTAAACAAATATTGGCTCGCTTAATGAATAGATTCCTCCGATAATTCATTAATTTCATTTGCATCTCCTTGTTATATTATTTAATCTATTTTATGGCATTTTTACTCCCAGTCTTGAAAACATCATTATAAAAGCATGTCCTAAACAATTCATAAATCAATTAATTATATTGAATGTACCCATGATGATCACTACATAATAGTAATTGATTTTTTACCACTTCAATTTGAACGCAGAGGCTTGTTTGGCAGCATCCCAAAGATTCTCCTCCTTTCCTCTTCCCAAAGGAGATCCAAGATCCAATAGGAATCTACAAAGAAACTTATAATGCATAGCCTTGCCTTGAGTTTCCGGAGAATATCTTATAAAATATAATAATAATACTTGCACCATATCGTTTTTATTCTATCTTCATTTTCTACATAAGTTTGGATAATTGAATTTTAAACCTAAAAAAATGACTCAAATTATTCGATCAATCCCAAGACAAACAAATTTAAAAAGACGTAATTGGACAACAACATAAACAGAAAAAAGTAAATTTAACTATAAGTGGAACCACAATAAGTTGAATCTGTAGAACAATTAGGATTATGATGCATGGTGTCAGTCATTATGGTTCTCCAATCATCACCTGATGCACATTTAAATAGAGTCAGCATAGCTTAAGCAATGTTATGAAAATTGATTTGATCATCCATAACCTACCCTGAATCGATCTATCCATACAGTTGACATCCAAATAAGGCAAAGACTAACATTGTGTCTATTAGAATGAAGAATATTTTGCCTAAAAATGGGAGTGCATAAACCATAACTCTCATGAGTCTCTGAATGTTGATCAAACCCTAAAAAATGAGGATCAATCTAAGGCTCCTCAAAGCAAAACACAATCTATAGAGTCTATAATATTGAGTCAAAGGACTCGAAAAATAATAGATTTCTACCCAATTGTATTTCAGATCTACAGCCAGATCTATGACTGCAATGAGATTCAGGATGAAAAGGAATTGTCTCCAATAATTATCAAAAAATCTAAACAATCCCAAAGCCAAGTATTGCAGCATACTCCAGATTGTGAAGAATACTGAAAATACATGATGGATGTAATTAATAATTTCAAGATATTCCAAATTCATACCAAAATGGAAAATGATATTGTTAACCACATCCAATAAAAGGATGAGCAAAAAGAAAGTTTGCATTATGGAATTATTCATGATGATTGATGCTAATCTTCTAATGACATTGTCAGGAGGTGTAGAAAATACAGGAATATCTTTGGTGATAATTTCCGATATCTCCATAAATTCCTTCTGATTCTAATTGAATTCCCCCTACTCAATTTTCCTTTGATTAGCCTTCAAGTTAGAAAATAAGACACCTGTGAACAAACTCAAGAAAAACATAGATCCAATAAAGCAAAACGTAATGAAAAAGACATAGGTGTGTATATAACTATTAAATGGCACAGGTCCAACATTTCGATTGTCACTGTTTTCAGCAATTTGGAGCATTTCACCCCAACCATCAAAAGTGGAGACTGTAAATAATGTTGGAATAGCCATTGTGATATTGTCAAAGTTATGTTTGAAATTGATCCATGTTCTATTTTGTTGAATACAGTCCTCATAATTGACTCTGAATTGCATCTTATCTTCACAAAATCCAAATTGTCCTTCATATAATATGATCCCATACACTCCAAATATGATCCAGACTGAAAAGAGAGTTAACAATACGTTTAATATATCAACCAAAGATTGATAGAGTGCTGAACTTAAAACATTCAAGAATTTGATTCTATTCAAAAGATTGAATGGTCTAAAATATCCAAAGTAAAGTAGAATCTAAAAAATTGGTTTTACATAGTAATCTTTCTCATATTAAAAGAAGAAGGAAATAATGTAAAATACATCCACGATCTGCCAGATGGAATTGAAATGCGAACCTGGATCCAGGAATAATCCCTTGGCTATTACATTGATGATATATTCTATTGCTAAGATGATGTTGAGGTAAAACAGCACTTTCTGTGGATAAATTTCTTTGTTTTCCTCATAGTCATTATAAGTCTGGATGATGAAAATGATTATTGATGATGTAAGAGAGGTATCGTTAATTAATTTGTACAATCTAGATCTGGCAATTATCATACATATCATTCTGAAATGATTGGATTTGTTGAAGAAGAATAAAGATTGTTCACATTAGATTCCATCATAAAGTTCAGGAGATGCATCCAATATTTTCTAATTGATTTATCTGATTGAATTTATTAGATGCTGAATCAAAGCAGTCTTCTTTTTACTTTTGCGATTCTTAATCAAATCAGTTTGAACAGTCTGATTGATGTCAGTTAATTACTATGTATTTTAAGTGTCTTATTTCTCAGTATTAGAAGTCTGCATTTTAGATTGTTCTGTATCTTCTATTTCTGAGAATATTTATCTATCTAAATACTTGCTAAAACCGTCCAATAAAATGGCTAATACTAATCCATATGTTAAATAATTAAGTATAATTACCATAGAGTATGAATACAATATTCCGAATGTCTCATCTATTCCAGTACCCAATACGAACACTCCATACCAATCATCATTTGTCATGATATTAAATACAGTCATAAATGAAATCAGAACATTGTTATATGAATGTAATTATCCTAAGACATCATTTTAATCAAACTCTCCTGCATATACTTCCATTCCGACCAGTGCATACAAAAATATCACAATAAACATCAAAAACGTCAAGTATATATAAGATTTAAAGGTTTTGGATGCAATGTGACCAATCGTCACTGCCATACTGTTATATTTTAAACATCTATAGAATAATAGACATTTTGTTCCTCTAATCAATCTCAAATTCTGTTCAGTTAACTTCGTCATATAATCACTCATTGTAAATTCAATAAAGTTCAAGATAACAATCAATGTCTATAGAATACTCTCATTATTATTTGATAATTCTTTAAATGAAATACTGCAATATCGAAGAAATGTCTCTATGGATAACACTATTGTAGTGAAATCTTCGACTTGAGAGATGATGGATGCATCAGCTATGCCATACATTGCTAAAAATGTGAAATTTATGAATATAAGGAGATCCAATGCAATCTCAGTAAATTTACTAGAAACTATTTTATTTACATATTTCCTCAGGATTTGTAATATCCCTGATACTCCTTTAATCCAAACTATAAAATCAGTTTTATTTAATGTCACTAGAACATTTTAGAAGTTAAAGGTTGAGTACTAGGTGTCGAGGACTTCATTTCCTGACCAATTTTGATCAATGATCCTCTTTTTTTTAATTTCGTTCATTCTCATTTTCTTGTATTCAAGATCAAAGGTGAGACTGTTCACCTTTTCTTTCTCAATCTTTTACTTCATTTTAAATGCAATTTTATCATGACTCAAATAATACCCTTAAACAAATAGATAAGTAACATTTGACTTTCGAATTGTGAATGGAATGGAATGCTTTGATTTCAGCATTTACTTGTTGAATCCTTTTACAATTTTCTTCTCATTTCGGATGTATATGGTGTGAGCAACGTGGGAGCGTTAAGATTCTACATCTTGAAATATCTATTTCTTTTTTGCTCTGTAACTTTTTTTGATGGGACATTTAAAACTATTCCTAATGTTGTTGGATCTGAATATTTATTAGTTATGTGGGACTAAGTATTCGAAGGAACATTAATATTTGGTATAATCGATAACCTTCTCATCAATATTTTACTTGGAAATTCTAATGTTTCTATTTTCATATAGAAAGTATATTAATACGCAAAGGATGGTAACACATCTTCTAAACTTGTATATTTTTGATATTATTTTGGATTGACTTATTTTGATAATTAGGCGAATTCAAATTTGTTTAGATCTTCCAAAATTTTAAGTTAATCTTCATCCTCAGTATAATTCTTGAGTACAAGTGATTTTTGTTGCTTGCTGAGAATTTTGAATTTGGTTAATAAAATATTTTTTAACGTGAATTCTCTTAAACATTCAAACAATTTATCAAAACAGCTATTCTATGAAATCAATCATAATAATTTACAGTTGTATTATTGTTCAGCCTCTATTTGGCTGATAGCAATCTGGGTTGAGTAGAATTCTTTGTTTGAAAATCCTCTAATTTATATTGTGTTAATTTTTTGTGTTGATTGAGTAATTTATAATATTATTAGAAGGTCTTGTGAAATCCAATTTGACGAAGCATTGCAACATCAAATACATCAGTAACATCTCTCTCTAGGTTTTATTTCTCTTCCAATAATTTTTGATTGATTTCTTACTGTTCCTATTATTAAAAAAACTATTCAGTTGCTTCTGCATAATGAGTTTTCAATACAGCTATAACCAAATTAAAACTAAAAAACCCACATACAAAAATTATCAATAAATAATATATCCAAATCCAAGGATTGAATATTCTAATAGTGAAAAACATCACCCAACTCCAATCATCCATCGTAATTGTTCTCAGAATCTGACCATAGGAGTATATGATATTGTTGAAAGAGGTGGGCAACTTGATTGTCTCGTCAACGTATTTGCATTCCATTCCCTCAGGACAATGATCTACATTGCATTGAATCCAATCATCCCCAATTTCCTCGTTTATAGGCACACATCTATAATTGAACAATCCCTAAAACAAGAACACTCCCGCTAAGGCAAAGAACAATGAGAACAAGCCCACGATTGCCAAGGCCTCCAATATATATCGGATTGATTGTCTTAAAGCGGTCAACATCACTCTCAAGCCATCGAAAATATCACCCAAATATTACAACAAAGTAATAATACGAAGAGGCGATAGATCTATTATCACAATATCTGGCCTATATAAATTAATGGCTGACAACATCACGATTGAAAAATCGAATATGTTTGAGAAATTAACAAAATAAGCGTGTTTTGAAAAGAAAAGTCCTTGCGATAATATACGCAATCCGATTTCAGTGAAAAAGAGGATAGTAATGATCTATTCGATTTGATCAGTATCCGATCTATGTTATGTTTTCACAATTGCATAAAGGGTGATATTGAAGAGAATCAATACTGTCATCAATAACTGAAATGCTATGGAATGTATAATGGTCTTTGCCAAGATGGGGATGACAAAAGAGATATAAACAATGATCTTTCGCACATTAAGCAACGCATACGGATCGTTATAATTCTATAATTAAATAAAAAGGACTACCTGAAGCTCGTGTTTGATTCTTTGGTATCCATGTAGTTCGGCCAATTTGATGTAATAAGGATCTCTATTGTAGTTTCGAGTGTAATGCTTGTTGTATTTTCGTAAAATATCCTGATCTACGTCAATTTCTGGAGTTGCTTTTGGATTGGCGATAATCTATTCGGTTTAATCGCCTTAACACTTTGTTTACTTGAGCAGTTCCGGTCTACAACGTAGTCTGATCTCATGCTCAAGTAATTGAATCAAAGGTATGGGTTATTCAAATTCCAGGTTGTTTTGAAATTCATCTTGAGAATATCTTTTGCTGCGATTTTCTCGGTCAGAAATACTAGCCTATGATAACAAAGGATTTTAGAGACCAAGAAAACTGCTTTTATCAGAGATATTAAGTGAGTGCTTGAATTACGAATGATTAGAATTAAACCGATCAGAATTCTAAAACAGATTACTTGGTTCCACTTCCTCACTCTCTCTCTTTTTGATCCTTAACGTATTACTACTATCACTCTTTTTTTTCTCATGTCTTCTGTCAATCATAAATTAATAATAATAATATATATAATCTCTCTCTCTTCTTTATTGTACATCCATATCACTTTTGTTCCTTACACAATTCGATTGACCCAACATAATCACACACATCAATATATATATATAAAATATCAAGCAAAAAAATACACACTTTATTTGACCTTCTCTAAATCAAACTGTCCTCTCTCTGGAATTGGAGGGAATTCTAAATGAGGAAATCTTCTCTAAAATGAATCCCTCAAATCCTCCAAAAGTGGTTGAGAATGCAATCTTACGAATTGTTCTCTCAACAATTCATTTAATTTGTCCACATTACAAGCATGAGTCCAATAACTATCATGGACTGCAGCGAATGTTATCCCTCTAACGATAATTTATCATAAACTAATACTATTTGAGACACTCAATAGATGAATACATAAGATGTGTTGAATCCAAAGAGTGAATGAAGTTTGGTGGGAAAGCGGATCTCTGTTTAACCTTGTTAATTGGTAACTATCAACATAATGTCAAATATTTACATAAGCAGCATCTGATTCGATGGACACATTACTTATCAGTGTCTTCACTTCGTCGTATTTGTTTAAGGAACGATAAGGCTGGATGACAGGCAAGCCAAGTGGAGTAATCCAACTCACTGGCTAGTTTTCATTTGATATGATGGTAGCACATTTAATAAGCCATTGTTTAATTTTGTGAGCTCCTTCAAAAAGATCTTTAATAGCATCCAATGTGATTCGAGCCAAATAAATGGAAGCTTAGTATTGCAAATGTTCGTCCTCCCCAATGATTCCTTTATCCTTCAATTATCTATGAATTTATTCTCTGGCTCCTATGAAGGTGACTCCATACACAGATGTCATAACAGTCTATTTAACTATTTTTCTTTTGATTTGATTCTACAATTTTAAAGCAATTATGTGATCCTTGCTTAAGGAATCCTTGGCATCAAATTCTACTCTCCTCTCCACCATACCAGCCACATGTGTGTAAACGTCTCCAGGCTTAGAAGTGTTGGCTAGATTCACTTAGGTAGCACCCTCAACATCTCTACCCAAAGCAGCATAATGTTGTAGACCATTGCACGAACCATCCTAATGAACATGCAAATGAGACTCATACTCCTCTGGATTTGGTGACTTGATGGCTGCCACATAATCAAACATTGCAGCCAAACTCTGCCAAGCATCTTCCAATTATGCCCAATCCTAATATTTTATGGGATCCTCAGCACATTTAATAATTGAATCTACATTCTGATCCACATAAGCTTCTCTGTCCTCCATAGATAACTTGTCCTTACCCATCTTATTTGCCAAGTGAATCTTCAACCATCTCAACCCACTCTTCCCCAGTTTCTTCCCTTCTGAGAATTCCAATAACCCTCTTGCAATATCTGGACCCATGTGATTAAGATGAGGAGGTATAGGATACAATCTCCCTCTGAAATCCATATTGTGTGGGAAGTAAATCTTTTAACATCCATTGAAAGCCAATGCCACTCCCAATTTCAATGTAAAATCACATTGCAATGAGTAAAGATCTCTCTGTGATTGTATCATTTTCAACAATTGATATTTCTCTTCATACGACTTACACTCTTTGATTTGATGTTCGAAAACATAGGTCTTATCATGCTGTCTTTTTGGAACTTCAGCAATTCCTCCACCTTACTCCCACACTTACATGGCAATATTCAAAACCTTGTTGTTTACTCTCCAAGCCACCTTGCTGATGTTGTCTAAGATATCATATAGATTTTAGAGATTGGCTCTCTTTGCTGCTTCTTCCTACAATGATTAATCTTAAATTCTAATCAAATTTGTAGGCTTCAAGTAATAACCACCTATTTGAGTGTCCATCCACTTAGCTGGAGGATATATCATAGGCAATGCCCTATCGAGATGCATAAAGTATGAATTGTCCTTATGCATTCCAGCTGATAGATGGTGCAAGAACAATTGATTCACATTGAAAATTGCAACTTCAATATCTTACTTAACTTTCTTGTAACCTTAGACCAACACAGGTACCCAAAAATTGTTCTCATTTCTGAATTTAATAGAATCAACCAAGAAATGCACCAATACCATACCAATTTAAGCAGCAATATCCTTTGGCATGGCCTAACCGTACTTAGCCAAATATACTCTGTTATTCCTAATTCTCTCTCTTAATTTCTCCTATTGAGTCTTCAACAACTTTCCAGCCTTGACCACTGCCTGCTTATAGAAAAGTTCCTTCTAATTTTAGATTTCCTCCTCCGACTAATCTTAAGGTACGGTTCCTTCTTCTATCATCTTCTAAATGTCTTCCTTGCTTTTCCTTCTTAGATTCTTCTACTCCTCTTCATACAAATGCTGCTTCATTATTTACTCCCCGATTCTATTCGCCAAACGAGTGACTCTTATTTAATAACAATTCAAAGTGGTCTTCTCCTCATGGAATAACACAGCTGCTTCAATGAACTCCTTCATCAACTCAGACAAAGCTATGATTGCCAACTTTTCACTCTGGATTGCTGTGATGTACTAATGGTACCCTTGCTGTTCCTTATTGGGGTCACTAAAACATTGGATCTACTCCTACTAGACCAAGGCGCACAACTTAGGGAACCATTCCACAATGTATTTCTGGGCAGCAAACAAATGTTGTGCCTTGGACATCTTCTGTAAGTCATCGAAAACCTACTAGAATCTGTCAAGTGCCAATTCATTGGACACTTATTCAATGATTAATTGTCTCTCAAATAAATTCCTAGGGTTCTCATTGTCGGGGTGTTTGATACCATTGAGTGGCAATTTGTATTGTTTACCAATATTGAATAGGGACTTCCTGAGATTCTCATTCAGGAGATCGACATCTTGTGTGATTTCGATTTCTCTCTGGATGATACTGAATGTGAGTGGGTGGATGTCTCCAGTCAAGAAGCCGATGTTCAATTTGTCTGCAAAATCAACGATCAAGATGACCATCTCGTAAATCTGTTCAGCAATCGACTGGGAATCTTGACCTTAAAAAAGAGTGCCTTTGGTTAATGAAGGGTTCTTGAGGACTTCCTCGATTTTGGGTATGATTCGCTTGTAGTTTTCATGAAGTGGAAAGAAATGGTTGGTGATGATATTGCAGCTCTGTTCGATGAGTTCATGTGGCAATTGGTTGATAATTTTGCATGATTCTGACACTTCCAGGAGTTGGGATTTGTGCCTGTAGACTTGAGGAAATGATGTTGTTGTGGATGTTGAAATAGAGGCTCTGCAAAAAGTATTTCTGAAGGCTCTAATTATAATCATAATTAAATATGAATTTATTTAACAGGTTTAAAACACTCATTAAACAGAACAAATCCTAAATTTAATTTTGCTCTCCAAATGTGAAATCGAAAATCATTATTAATTAGAATAAGAATAAGTGACAACTATTCTTATTTGTATTTAATAAATAATTTATGCAAAAACAGTAAACTCTTGCTGTTGTTCGTGTTCCTTCTGGGATTACCAAATAGCCATTTAAATCGACAGGCATCACTAACTAAGCGCCCCTCCAAAGAGTCAACTCGGCAGGATTCACGAGTGCAAGCAGATAGTCATATCAATACCAGAAACCTGCCACCCCATTCTACTAGACCCACAATTACAGGTAGGATTGGAAAAATTATGTGCACTCATTCCCTCGAGTTCCCAGAATCAAGGTTTTGGCTCCAGGCACTGGTTATGATGCAAAAATGATTAAATGATATTATTGTATTAATATTATAATAATTCGCATGTGTTTCAAATTTATGCATAATCAGATTTGAATATTGATTAGTTTATATTACAATTATTGTTTAATTTTATCATTAATTTTATTTATCTAGTCAATGGGAAACAACAATGTCTGCTTAGGAGAAATACAAAACAATCCAACTCGCCAAGGATCTCCAGACACCAAATGGAGAAGAGAAGATCTAAAATCAGGCTCCTGTGTCCAATCATTAATGGACAAGGAAAATGCTAATTTTTTTAAGATGGTTCAATGTGGACCCGCAATCCCTCATTATAAGAACGAACATTCAGCCTAAAGATGGGCCCAAGCCATTGCCACCTTGAATTATGTCGATGACATCCAAACCACCATCAATCTATTATGCAATAAACCAGAATTCGAAGAACTAGTGCTTCTGGGACCCCCCAAATAATATAGATGGGCCACTTGGAATGCACTTCTTACTAATGGACAAATCCAATTGTCCTATGAGAAATACTTGGAATACAAGCCTTTGGATGTCAAAAGCATTCTAAAAGATATTGATAGAACTCTGGTCAATCATGCTCTATTCAAACATGAGAGTTGTGGCCAAGAACAACTCAAGCGAATTCTATGTGCCATATCAAATGCATTGCCAGGAGTGGGTTATTGTTAAGGAATGAACTTTGTCTGTGCTTTGGCATTGATAGTGTCTGGCTGTGATGAACACAAGACTTTCCAATGCTTTATGTAAATGCTAACCAATGAAAAACATTTACTATGCTTTAACTTTTGTCATGATATGCCACTACATTTCTTTTTCATTAAATTGATACATCATCTAATTCGTAAGAAGTTTCCAAAACTGAAACTAAAAGATGTGAATGATTCACTCTGGATTAGCAAAATGATTTTATCACTGTTCATATATGTGTTCAAGTTAGATGATTGCATTAGATGCTGGGATTATCTGATGGTAAGGGGAATGATTCGAGGCATTCCTGAATTAATATTAGGTTTCATTGATGTGACATACAAACAATTAGAATAGTTTAAGGAGGAGGATTATGGATTTAATTTTTAAGGTCACGAAAGTAGCATATTATAATTCAATGTTGGTGAATTGATTTACGCAGCAAAACAGAAACACACTATTGATAGGTAGTTGATCTCAAGATTGGCTATGAAGATGAGGAAAAGCAAACCATCATAACTATTAGACTTGCTGTCTCATTTCGAAAACATCTAAACCTACAGAAAACATGTTTAATTTTATATGAAGACCATATTTGATTTATACTGATATTATATTTATTATATTATGATTTCAATTGATCTACTTTTCGTTCAAGTTTCTAACAAATTACACTGGATTGCCTGCCCATAATTAACCAGAAGGTATCAATCTTCCTGGAGGTACAACACTATCTTCAGCAATTTATGATCCCCTTTCGATTTGAACACCATCAAGTATAAGTGTTCTAGATCCAATGGTAACGTTGTCGTCAATGATTGAATTGTTGATAATGCAACTATCTCCGATGGTAACACTTTGGCCTAAGAGATCAAATCAACAAGTCATACCAATGGTTACACTTGCCAATACATTTGTGGGTAGTCGAGTTCTGGAGCATTGGATTGAGGTGTTGTCACCAACCACACTGTTAGAACCTATTCTAATGGCTTAATCATCGGCTCTCAGGATTGCTCCATATCCAATTTGCACATTCTCTCCAAGGTTCACTTGACCAATCAAACTCGCATTGTCTTGAATGTTGGCTGATTCACTTATTCTGGGTTTGTAGAATGCAAATAACGGCATAATCTTCCTGTGTCTTGATAATGGCTCTAACCAAGCAATGTCATTGGATAAACGAGACCCGTATTGATCAAAATCTAAATAGTTTAGACATATGCTCACTTACACAACCCAGTCTCTTTGAAAGCACGGCCCATCAAGTATCTGAATTAGTAGTAGATAGCACCTAAATATTTTTGCATTATTTTTATTAATATATTTAATATATATATATTCTTAATATGAAATCTTTAAATAATCATATTTTTGGATGGGGTATGTGTACCTTCGATGGAACCTTGACCATTAATTACGTGAAGTGTCCAACCTTCGCTTCCCTAGTAGACTTCCCCACACTGAATGCTGGATACGACTTTTTCTTAGAATTCACTTGCACTCCTACAGCAATCCTTTTTATCTCATTAACATTACTGTTTTGTGTCGTAGGTCTGATTCTTATCCCACCCTTCGAAGATCTTCCCTAACTTGGGGCCCTTAGGTAAAGTCCAATGAGGAGCATCCTCCAAATTACTTGTATTTGCAGGAGGCTTCTACAAGTACGCTCCTGGCCCCACGATCACTGGGGTTGAACAAGTGGGAGCCAAGGCTGATGCCCCTGGGATGTCCCTCCTATATCCAAATGAATATTGAGCAGGAGTGGGCACCTCAGGCTTAATCGCTGGGTCGTATTGAGGACCAGGAGTTCCCTTTAATCTTTTTTCGGGAGGGAACTTAATATATCAGAAGCATACTCTGGATTCCAATCCAATCTTAACGTTTGGATATTTGGGTTTTCGAATCAAATCTGCTTCTTGAGGTTCAAACTATAACTATTTAACTTCAAGTTTACATCCACGTCCTTCCTTTGATAGTAATCAAACTTCGCTCCTGTGCCCAAAGTATTACGCGCATCAGTTCCGAATTTAGTATTCGCATCTTAAGTGTAATAAAAATGATCTCCTCCTCTTACATTGTACACAGGTCCAGGACTAGCCTTGCCTTTGATCTTATACATAATTCTCTTACCTGCAAAATCTATTCTCGCAAGTTCTTTGTTGTGATAAAGTTTCGCTTAATTTGCACGTTCAGCTGAGCCAAAACTAAAACTCGGCAGTGTCTATTTGTTTGATAGTGGCATCTTCCCTATTGAACTAAAGGCTTGCTTATTCTCGAATTCGATTAGATCGGCATAAGCATATACTTTGGGTTATGCTTTAACTTCCTCTTTCGTTTCGGCCATTTAAATTAATATTATAAAAATAAAAATCTCAAAAAGCTATGTCTCAGCCTTCTTTTTAAATAAAATGATCCCTCCATTTTTTAAATCTTGGTTTTTTTCCTAAAGTTTTCTTATTTATTAGGAAGGTTCAGCAATCAAAAAATGAAATGATTAATATGTCAAAGAAATAATTAATAATATAATTTTTGGGTTCAATTACCTTCAATCGAGAACTCAATCTTAGATTGATTTAATGGGATTATAAATTTATATATTATTAGAGTTCTTCAACATCATTTTATCAGCTTTCTAAAAGTATTTTCTAGAGTTTTTAAAATTTTTGATCATGATCAAAATTTCTTATGACATCGTTAATCATTATTGTCAACAATCCAGAAATGAACAACTTTCCTGATTTTCACAAATGAGGAAGTTATGAAGAACAAGAAATATTAGGCCCAAAGACTTTGGAACAATAAAATAACGAATAATCTGTAATCATTATAAGACATCTGTTTGCCTGTTCTACACATGGTCACTTTATATAAAAAAATCTGGGACTCCAATGGCGTCGAATACTAATCCACATAATTTCACATTATATTAGTCTAATTAGCCTAATATTAATATTCAATAATTACAATTGTAGTTGTAAGGCCTAATTAAAAGACTGGTTATTTTGTCTTCTTTCGTGCTTTGAGTCTTACTCTGCCATTTTGAATCAAGTGAATTTTCGCTTACATTTCGTTCTGCCATTCAACCTTATTTAATTTTATTTTTTAATTATTTGATTACTGGACAAATGTACCGACCTTAAATTAGCAGATATGGTTATAATCATTTTTGCTTAAAACCTTTATTTAGTAGCTTAGAATAATAAATGATCAATAAAATAGAAAAGAAAAAATGTTAGAACTTAGTGAAGAACATTCAATTTGCTAAATAAGATCAATACGAAACGAGATACACAAATAACATATCAATAATAATTATAGATGAATAATAAGCACTATCATTTGGTAATTAACAGAAATTATTACTATTCTCCTCCAATTGACAGTATAAATACTTAAAATTTAATGTAACAAAATACTTGTCTAAGAAGGGGCCAAATTATACATGTTCTAAAAAGACGATTCGAAACCCTCGAAGTTGTTGTGTATCTGAGCAAAGATTAATTTGGGATTCACAGCATTAGCATTCCTCTATCGAAGCAATTCAGCCATCCTCTACATTTCTATTTGATTTTGGAGGTTTAATTACTTTTTTCATCGGTGATCTATTCGACATCCTCAAAACCAACGTCGTATTTTAACAGGAATTCTACTTCCGATTTCAATTCCACTAGATGTAAGCCTCCCAACTTCTTAAGCTAAATTAAGACATCCGGAGTAGCAGTTTATTATTGAGTAAACAAAGTGCTTGGAAAGTGATCCAAAATTTCAATTCTTAGCTTTGCCAAGGACAATGCGATTTTGGCATCCTCATTCGAATCGTGAGTGTCCTATAATTTCAATAGATTCATTTACCTTTTAAATAGATAAATTTAAATATTTATATGCAAGGTTTTTTAATGATAACTTTCTGTTACTTTCTGTCATGTAAAGCACACTCGTATCCACACATTTATGATGAATTATCTACAAAGCATTCAAATCATTCTCCAAAGAATGACCAATCAAAATTGAATCTTCATCCAAAATAGATTTCACCATCTTTTATGCCTCTGCCAAAGTAACAGTAACATTACTCAACATATCCTCAGTTATGCCGCTATATCTACAGGATTAATTTATTCTTTGAATACTTAGTGTTGTAATCCAAGATCTTTGTTTATGGTTTGACCAATACATCAAGCACAACTTTGTAATTGTAATCTACTATCGACACTCTCGCAAGTTCTAATTTATTTTCTGTCTGCACCATCTCGCAATCCATTGCAAATATGTTCATCCTCTTAGTCTACACTTCCCCATCCAATTTCACATAATCGTGATAGATATTTTCATCAATTGGGTAAAAGTTCAATTTAAGTTATTCCTTGTTTAAGATGAAATTCCTATATTGATTGTAAATTTGTTCCTCTTGTAAACCACTCTATGGATCCTGTTATTATTGCTTTTATGTTTGGAATACTGGGTCCTCGTGATACCTCGTGTAAAATAGTGACTGCCAAAAGTTTCCCTTCCCCTACTCCAATTCTTTGAAATACACAATCTTGTCCTTCTGACTAAAGGAAGATAAATATTTAGACGTCTCCAAATTTAACCCGAAATTCAAGTTCATCACCTACTCCACATCTTATTAAATGCTTATTCTATTTTATTGATTCAAAATTTTACAGTCACAGTCAGCCATAGTGGGTTCACTTGATTCTTGCAAAATAACCACATTAACAAATTTTAGAGAGTTTTTAATTTGAAATACTTTTTAGGTGTTTCGTGATCAATCTTCAATATTATAATATCGTACCACGCTTATATCAACTTTTGTAGGTAATCGTAGTGGCGGATTTACAGGCTCAACACACACTTTTTTTCCTGCAAAATAATCAATAGTATTTACCTATCTCAGGTTCCTCTGTATTAATATCCATTAAACAATTCAATTAAAATTATATATAAAATTAATAAAAGAATATTAAATAAGAAATATTTCTATATATGAAAGAATATGAGATGAAATTATGAGATCCGTATAAATCAGATATGAAAGAGACTGAAGATATAATAAAAATAGTCTATTTCATAAATCAGTTCTAAATTCACCTGAATCAGTAAATATTCTTATCAGATTTAAATACATTATGAAATTTAGATGCAAATTTTCTAGTTATATTGTTTAAGTCTAGTTTATTTTTATAATTATGGTAAATATTAATTGGTACTCTATTATTAATATGCTCTTATTTAAATCAAATTAGTTTTTATTTAATTTTTATAGTTCACCTATTAAATTATTTTGATATTATAATTGTTGCTTAATTTAAGGCTTGGTTATGAATTGAATCCTATTTAAATATTTTATATAAAATAATGCTAAAATAATTGTTTATCCTTCTTAATTAAAATATACTCCATTTGATGTAAACTATTAAATGACTTCTCATTCATCTAGCACTAATAAACTAAATGTTTATGTTTATTAATTTTTTAATTTCAGTTATATCCAAAATTGGATTAATCAAAATAAGCGATTAATAAAAAAAGTATATACTTTCTAGTTTCTTATAAAATTCAAATAAAGTATAATTCCATTGAATAAATTAAGAATTATTATATCTGATGTTTGTAATTATATCTATATTCCCACTTTTTAACATTTTTATGCTACTTTCTAATATAAGTAATGGTTATTCATCTTTGAAATTGAAATAATCATTATTATCAAATGAAATATTATTCTTTCCTTCTTCATTCAAGTAGTCAAAAACTTCGCATATGATTTCAATTAATTTTATCTATAATGTATAGATAAATTATCTTACTGTATAAATTTATAATCTTTATTAAATATTATGATACTAACAATCATGCAATTAATGCAGAAGAATTAATATAATAGTAATCAAGTTGACTTTTTATTATTATAATAAAATAATGAGATTTGGAAGAGTTGGTGCAATATCTGCAATTACTCGTTCTAAAAGATCAGAATAGTATTTGGCTGGGAAGAGTGACGACATAGAAATGACAGAGAAGTAGCTGAATCGTAATTTTATGTTGATAACAAGATAGAGGCAGAGAAAATAATGAGAGGTATTTCAAAGGATTAGAAATCGATGGTTTTGTACAGAGTTCCTGTGTTGTAAGATAATAATGCAAGTGACTTAGTATTTGGGGAATAGGAATATTGATAATTTTGCTTTCGCTATATTTGCTGTACAATTTGATTTGGGGATTGGAAGGGAAGGTGTTTAAGCAGGGAACCACTTGGTGGTAGTACTTTGTGGCTTTCATTATAATGGGAATAGGAATCAGTTTTTTGATTGCCACAAAGAGGGAGAAGTTGATCTTGAATAAGGAAGTACAAGAATTGTGTATGCTTAGAAAGATGAGATAATACTGTGTTATAGGAATATATGTTGTCAGAAGAAGGTAATGGAATAGAAGATCTCGCATCTGAGCAATATGAGGATGGTGAAGAGGGGGATGGATAGTAAGAGTGTTATGGTTATATGATGTTAGCAATCCAGAATTCGACTTTGCATTACAAGATTGTGCTCTCATTCAATGATGGATAGTACTTTGAGATATTGGAGGGGAAGAGCGAGTACAAAATAAAGGGTTAGTTTGTGCAGATAGCCAGATACATCAATTATGCTTATCAAGATCTTCAAATAGTTGATGAGACATTCCAAGTGAGATGAGTATGTAGTTAATTTGTTTTTCTTGAATTCAAAATAGTATTAATCTGATTAAAATAAAATGTATTGGAATCACGATCCGGAAGAGGAGTTCGAGTTGCTGGAGCTAATAGGAGAAGGAGCCTATGCAACGGTGTACAAGGGGAGACACAAGGAAGATGGATAAATAGTGGCAATCAAAATAATTCCAATGGTTGATGAGGTTGACAATTTGGTGTAGGAAATAAAGATTTTGAAAGTAAGATTTCTCTAATAAGGATTGTTAACATCCGAACATTGTGTCTTTTTTAGGATCTTATTACAAGGAGAGCAATCTCTGGTTAATAATGGAATATTGTGAAGCGGGTTCTGTGTTGGGTCTAATTGAAGTGATGGAGCGAGGGTTGACTCAGGAAGAGATCAGTGCGATTATGTATTCGACATTGTTGGGGATTGAATACCTACATTCAAACAAGAAAATCCATAGAGATATAAAGGCAGGGAACATTTTGTTGGATCACAAGGGTTAAGTGAAATTGGCAGATTTTGGAGTTGCTGCTTAATTGACTTATTCATGTGCAGATAAAGTAGACTATTCATGTTAAAATGAAGGGGACATTTATAGGAACTCCATTTTGGATGAGTCCTGAAGTGATTAGCAAGTCTCGTTACAATTAATTGACTGACATTTGGTCCCTTGGAGTCACAGCAATCGAATTGGCAGAAGGTGCTCCACCATATTCTCATATTCATCCAGTCAGAGCCATGTTTGCCATCAAGAATAATCCGCCCATAGGACTTACCAAACCTGAATTGTGGTCGAAGGAATTCAATTAATTTGTTAAAGCCTGTTTAAAAGTTGAAGTCAATGAGAGACCAACTGCATAACAATTATTGCAATACACCTTTATTAAACAGGGAAAACAACATTAAAAAAAGTTACTAACTCTAGTGGAGCAATATTCAAAAAAATTAGAAGAAGCAAGATTAACCAAATTGCAGAAGAATGAGAATAGTCAGTAATCAATTAAGGATTAGGTTCCATTGACTATTATTTCCAATTGTGAAGAGGTCGATGATGAGATGACTCATGGTGATTATGGGACTCTTGTCATTAAGGATTAGATGATTCAAGCTAAGGAGGAACCTGATTTCTTGAAGTGGAATAAAATGGACTAATAAATAAGTGATCATCAAAAGAAGAAGGTTGAACACACCAAAGAATTGAGTTTAGAAGCGTAGATCTAGAACATGAGTTTGGATGAGAGAAAGAGACTTAAGGGTCAGATTGAGTAATAGATGCATGAAGAATTAGAATTGGTTAAAAAGAAGTATGCTTCAAAATTGGATTTATTAAATGCGAAGATTAAAGAGGAAGAAGATAAAAAGAAACAAACATAACAACCTTTGAATTTGCCCTTCAGTTTCCAGGTCAGCTAGGAAGTACTGTAGTAATTGGCCAATGTTAAGACTCCTTTAATTAAATCTCAATAAGTTAAGCAAGCCAAACCTCCTCCTTTTGAGTTTATACCTAAATAGAAATTATGATTAAAAATACCCGCTAAATATTCGTTATATATAAAATTTATTATTAAAAATGGATTAAACTGTTGTTGATTAATTGTCTTTAGATGCCATACCCTACTACCAAGAATAATTGTTTGGAGCACTCTCTCTGGTTTTGGAACTCTAAAATAAAATTGAAGCTGAGAGTGAGATCACAGAAAACATCGTCGTTAAAATCCAAGATGACAACAAAAATGAAATCTATCAACATGTTCTGGATTTCGATGAATAACAAATAGATGATGTAATATAAGAGATGAATGAAAAATGTTTATCACAATTGGAAGAGATCGATTAAGAGACATGCAAATAGGATGAGCATATATTCACTATGAATTAGGTAGCATTTTATTTTATCAAATTAGAAAATTGATGAATTGGAAGATACCATTTGCCAATGCATGACCCAAACAAACAAGGATCAAGTGGTCTTAAATCAACTCACCAATTGCATCAAGGATAAGCAAATGCTACTCTAGGACATTAATTTGGAAATCAAAGAACAAGAGCAGATTAATAAGCAGAATCAGTAAATTATTAAGAGAAGAATGAAATAAGAAAAATTAAAGCAATAAGAACTAGATGAGAAGATGCTCTTGAAATAAAAGAAACAAGAGTAGAAACAATTATTGAAAGAGAAAAACGCCAAGAATGAAGAGCTCCTAATGTTATAATTGATTGAGGAGAAGCAAAGACTGCAATATGAATTAGATGAATTGATCTATGGGTAGGAATAGAAGGTGTAATAACTACTGAGTTAAATGGAAACCACTGTAATGGAAGAAGATGATAAGTCTGTTGTCACATCGGCAGTCTTGAGGGAAAGCTCCAATAAATCACATTATGAAAGAAGAGAAATCTAAGAACAACCAAAAAGCAGAACATGTTGTGGAGAGTGTACAATTTTCTGATTAGTTAATGTATAATATTATAGTATACTTCGTTCTTCAAATTCTTAACATTACAAATCTTATTGATAACAGAAAACACACAAACTAATTCTAGACCTACAGTTGAATTCAAGTACAAATCTTCTTTATTTAACACATTCAACTGTAGGAATAAAGGGTTATGAATAACAGTTTGTTTATAATGGAGAAGGGAAATAGAATGTCTAGTAACTATTCCAAGAATTTATTTAATATAACCAATTGAATTTATTATATTATTTATATGCTTTAATCAACAGGTGAAACATCATAAACACAACCCTCAATAAATTATGCAACAGTGAGATACTCATTCAAATGCGTTCGTCGTCACTTATTTAAAGATAAAGTCTATTATGTTCATGCTCTACCCAATATGATTACAATAGGTGAAGTATTAAAAATAAGTCATCATCTTAGCATATCAACGATCCAAATCCTAAGTACAAATTAGAACTTAATTTGAAAAACATAGTTTATTGGAAACAAGAACATGGTTAGAATCGTGCCTTTGGTATTAAATATAAGTAAATTTTGAAAAAGAAGTATAAATTAGAAAGAATGTGAAGTACTTTGAAGCAACTTCTGAATAACTCTAAAAGTTTAGACAAGAAATAAGTTGTTTAATTGGGTTCCATTCCCTTGATGACCACTATAAAATAGATGAACTCATTGGGAAGGGCTCGTTCTCCTCAGTGTACAAAATATTTAGATAACATGACAAAAAAGTGTTTGCCATGAAATATGTCTCAAGCAAATAAAAGAATGACAAGGAAAACATGGTAAAAATACCTGTATATTTATAGCAATTAGTAGAGAATGAGATTGGAATTCTTCACTCATTCAACCACGATTCAATCCTCAAAATTTACGAAGTGTATCGAGTGGAAGAGTATCATTATGGAATCATTGTCGAATATTTGGATGGAATTGCATTATCCACTCTGATTGAATAGCTTAAGAAAAATCAATGCGTTCTTAAAGAATCAGACATCAAAACCATCCTTTAAGCCTTGCTAATAGCCTTGGCAGTAATACACTAGGAATAAGTCATACACAGAGATATCAAACCATAAAATATAATGATTTCACAACAACATTATAACAGTGTCAAATTTATAGATTTTGGACTCAGCATTAAGAATTAATTACAATATAATAGATGTGGAACCCCTGGTTACATGGCTCCTGAAATTGTCAACATGAGAAAAGATTAATAGAAGGCGTGGACATCTCTTTGTGATATTTTTAGTCTTGGAGTTGTATTCTTTAAACTGTACTGATATTATCCAATCTCATAGATTGTCCAAAGGAATTAGTTGCTTTCAAGGCCAAACTTCAGATTAAGTCTTAGCCAACAACAAGAAATGTCAAATCGATTGGTCCATAGTCTAACAACATAATTATTCTAAAAACTGCATTGTAAACAATCAATTATTATAATTAGTAACTATTAAAAGCCATGTTAGCTAAAGATCCTGAAGAAAGAATAACCGCATATTAAGCTCTTCAACATCCCTTCTTCGGAGATGCCTTCTCAACCATATACACTGACTACGTCGGACATTCAATCAGTCTAAAATCTAAACAAATATTGAATCCAACACTTGAAAAACATAATCTCGATTCCTAAGAAAGTATGGAGGAAACCTCTGTCTAAAAGTAATAGGTTTACAACAGGGACATTAGACCATCAATTATAAGTAGAAAGTAATGATTATATTTTTTTTTCAAAAACAGACATTGTAGTTATCAATAATAATGCTGATAATTCGCAAGAACTCTTAAAATGTTATCTATTCATTAGGAAATAAAGTGGGATCAATTTACTTGTCTGGCATCAGAACTTTAAAAGCCTTAATACATTCTTCTAACGAGAGATTTCCTTCCCCCTCAGCATCTAGACTATCAAAAGCCTTCTTTGCTAGTTTCTAGACTTTTTCCTTCTCTAATTTATTCATTATAAAAATCAATTATTAATTAAAATATATCATATTATTGGATATTTTTCTAGACGCCTTTATTATTATCTAGTAATCTTTTCATTTTATTCATTTTAAATTGTTAAATAAAAGATTTTAGAATAATCCCAATCTTTATATCCAAACTCAATGTCGTAGGCATAGTAATCTAAAACCCAAGCAGCGTATTTCATTATTTCATATTCCCCTATTAAATAGAATATGAATCAAAATTTACTATCATCCAATTATTCAAACTATTATGAATTCTTTTCCATATATTTTATGAACATTTATCCATGATCATAATTTTATTTTTGAAAATTATATCCATCAACATTGTTTTACTTAAATAGAGTTAGATTATGTTAAGCCTAGTAATCATATTTTAATTCCTAATAAAGCCTGCCTAAATTTCCTTTTCAAAATTACTTACTTAACATAAAAGTAGACACCTACAAATTTGTATCTACTAAGTCACGGGCACTCTAAATATCTTTATTATACCAATGGATTATCGCCTTCATAGCTAAAGTAACCTATCTCCTTTCAGCTCCAGCCTCTATTTAACTATCTTGTTCAATCGAAAGATTATAGGCTTCCTAGGCTTTCTCAAATTTAAACAAAAGTAAATATAAATTTCCTATGTGGAAGCTTATATAGTGATTATTGTATTTTGAGCTTATTTTACCAGCCTATAAGTAACATTCTAATGCTTATTCAAATTAGAATGTTCTAAATAATATTTGGCCTTCCGTATAAATAATAGTATACCCTTGTAATAGAATGATTTTGCCGATTTTGGATTTGCATCTATTGCTTTATCGAAACATTATAAGGCTTTATCGTAATTTAGGTCGTTATAATAGCATTATCCTGATGTTAAATCAATGAGAAACCTTCAAAATGCATAGCTTCAGAATCCTTATTATTTTTTTCATATAATCTGTGAAATTAAATGGCTCCGGGAAAAGTCATGCCAATTTTTTTTAACATATAAAAGGTATCATTTAACATATTATCATAACCTTGGCAAAATTATATTTCATTTAGAATTCCAAAAGCTTCTGGGACTTTTTTCAGTTGCAGTAAGCTGCGCACCTAAATCCTTTTTAGATTTTCTTTGATATATTTATCATCTTTTATTTTTTATAAATATCCATTTGCTTCCCAAAAATCGGAATCTTAAATTAAGATAATGCCTATCATAATGCATAATAGCAACTTTAAAATAAATAATTCCATCTGTTATCAGGAAAAGATAAATTCAATTAATTGCTTATAGTAATAACTTCCTCATTCTTTTTTTATATCTTTAAAATAATTCCTATTAAATTAAAATCTCTAATTTTGTACCTTTCAATACATATCCATAAACACTCTCTTGCTTGGTATCAATCAATTTCTCTGATTGTTTCAGAGCCTTTTCTACTTTCTTTCCTATTAATAGGGTTAAACCTTTATAAAATGCACACATACATTTGTAAATTTAGGCAATCTCATTTTGATTATTACTTTAAATGATTCTTTCAAATATTTCCTCGGCTTAATCGTAAAACTCTGCTTAAAGTAAGATTTTTCCTAATTATATTTTATCAGTTTCTACCATAAGCTAAATTGTACAATAAATCATTAGTTGTCAGAGCCAATTCCTAATATTTCGAAATAGCATCGTGTATCTCATTCATTCTTTCTAAAGCAAATCCTAAAATATTAATTACATGAGAACCTTCAAAAAAATTAATGAGGATATTTTGAGGGTTCAAAGTACGATATATGGCAAGCTCATTCAAAGCTTCAGCATATTTTTTGGTCTAAATTAAGTTAAGACTGAGATATATATAACTTTCTGCGAGGATGTGTTCATTCTGATCTTATTACAATAATTTCTAGAAGTAATCAATACTCAGATTATATTTTTTTAAAAGGTAGAGGTTTCTTCCGAATAAGCATTCTAAACTCCAAATTTCCTAATTAGGGATGTTATTTAATTATGAAAGTTATGTTTTGAGAAATTATTTTTTACTTGTTAATTTTATCAATGCTTAGGACAACTTATGTGCTTCTGGATATTTTTGAATTGAGCATAGGAGGAAACCTTATTTATAAATTTATATAAATGTACATCTATCTAGCATTTCTCTAATCTAATTGTCCAATGACACCTATTGAAATGATTCAATAAAAATTTTGTTAATATTCTATAATTCCTATTCACTGAAGCTCTAAGCCTGCACAATTAACTGGCACAAGATTTCATTTAGTGTATTATCTTGAATGTTGTTGTTAAACATCTGAACAAGTAATAGATTTAATTAATTGTTTTAATTCATGAATTTAGTGACAATCTCTTTAAGTTGAGAATATTTTGATTTGATAAAGGTACCAAATTCGAATAATTTTTGGGATCTCAATTAATCATTTGCTTGACTTATCTTCTATAGTACTTAATCTACAACTAAGAGGATGTTGTCAATTAATAGAAAGTCTTCGTTATGCTAATAATGGAATTCGGCAAAGCAAGACTTGCAACTCAAGTAATTGTTCTTGCATCTTAGACAAATGCCAATAATTCTGTTGTTTTGATGGTGTGTTTTTTAGCAAGATTCCATAGTAGTATTGATTATTTATTAATTAATGTAATATTCAATCGTTAATTGTAAGGACTTCTCGGAAGTGTCTATATTATATTCCAAGAATAGTGAAAGTAATGATTTGCAGTAAAATGAAAATCCGTAATCAATCAAATTTGAAAACTAGAGTATTAAAAGAGTAAAGAACTGAAGAAAATGAGGAATTCATCCAAAGATTTTTAAACTACAAGACTCACAATAAACAATTTGAATATTGCAATCTACAAAGGTTGGAAAATTGCACATTGAAAATTTATAAGGAATCGTCCTATTTTGGGTAGATGGCAAATGGAAAAAGAAATGGAAAAGGTGTCTTGATTTGTAACAATGGGAGAACTTACGAAGGGCACTTTGAGAATGATAGGAAGCATGGTCAAGGATATGAAAAGCTGCCAGATAATTCAATCTATGAAGGAATGTACATAAATGGAAAACCAGAAGGAATGGGCAAATTTAATTGGGCAAATGGTGAAAGTTACGAAGGTGGTTGGTTAAATGGTTTAAAACATGGCCAAGGAATTTGGGTTGGAGTGAATAAAGATTCTTATATCGGAGAATGGAAAATGGGAAGCCCAAATGGATATGGCGTTTATGTAACAGAAAGTGGAGACAAGTACGAAGGAGAGTTCCACAATAATCTCAAGCATGGATAGGGAATTGAGTATTTATCCAATGGTGACATATATAAAGGACAGTATGCCAATGGAAAACCAGAGGGTCAAGGAGAATACTCATGGAATTCAGGAGGCTATTATAATGGAACCTTTATGAATGGATTTCGACATGGAAAAGGAACTTGGATTAAGGACAAAAATGCTTAGCAATCTGATTGTTATGAGGGGGAATATGTCTATGATAAAAAATGTGGATTTGGTATCTATAGATGGGAAACTGGTAGTAGATACGAAGGCAATTTCTTTGAAGATATGAGGCATGGATTTGGAAAGATGTTTTGGAACGATGGATCCTATTATAGCGGTATGTGGCAGAAGGGAAGTCAAAGCGGAGAAGGGGAATATGTAATCATTTTAATATTAACATTAGTGTAAAAAAGGAGAACAACCAAAATTTGGTATATTTGAGAAGAATATACTCATCAAAGAGGATTTTGATAAAATACGAAAATAAGCTCCGTAAATTAGGATAAGATAATATACAAGTAAATTTCATGTATATAGAAAATAGCAAGTCAAAGAAGCATGAGAGCAAATAGTTATTAGGCTAATAGTAACTTTGTTAATAATAGTTCAATGAATTAAGTGATTTTGAGACCGACCAGTGTAAAACAACAAACTCAAACTATTTAGAGTTAAGGCAAAAATACTTTTTAATCAAAGAAAAAAAGATAATTTTCATTACATAAATAATCTATAGATTTAAACTTTTGAATATAATATATAATTTGTAATTAATATTAGTATATAATTATATGTTATAGATATTATTGTAATTATAGTGAGAATAATCATTAATTAAATTTGAAAAATAGAAATTGAATTGTAATGAAATTTATCAATATTAAACTAATATAGTGATTTTAATATTGATAAATAGATATAAAATCTGTTCAAAATTTTTCATCTCTTCTTTTTATTTGGACGTATTTCAATCTAAAATTGTTTTAGGATTTCTCCATTTGCATATAAAGAGACAGCCTTCATAGTATCTTCAGAAATAAAGTAGTGTCTTTTCTTTTAAGAGGTAGTAGACATAGATTTTTCTTCTAAAGTTCTTTTACTTTTGTTATTGGTAGATCTAATTTCTGAATTCAATTTTTGATCTTTTTATTCTTTAGCTGGAGGTAAATGAAAACTGGTTGCACTTTTAGTTTTAATAGGTTTGTTGATTAATATTCTTTCGGTTGGATTTGGCTTTACTATTTAGCTAACCTGCTGACTACTTCTTTCTTCACCTAATTGCTTTTTCTTTTTATCAAATTCCTCTAAATAACTTTAGTATTTAATACTGCTAAAATTCTCAACTTTTCATTTTGGATTTGAATTTCCATCTATTTTTTAGTATCCTGTAATTTTTAATATTCACTCTATTGTTATTTTAATCTTCTATCGGTTTCTTCGAATCTCTAAGTAATTTACATAATATTATACTTCTAATAAAGTGGCATTTTTGTATTATTCTTTTCTCTTTTGAATTTAATAATTCTATGAGGCATCTTCCAATTTTAGTAATTCTTAAACATATTTCCTCTTCATATTTTAGATGTTTCGTTATCTCAATTCTTCAGCATTTAAAAATTATTATTATTTTTAAGCCATAATTCTTTGGTTCTCCAATTCAGTTTATTTATCTAGGTATCTTTATTTCTAATTAATATTGTAGAATCAATTAATATACCATTTAAACTTCCTCCATATGGGATTGTAAAACGAGACTACACTCTTCTCTCTTCTATTTCCTTTGCTCATCCAACATTGATTTCTTCAACTCCCTCTCCTTCTCCTAACTAAAATACTCTTGATTTCTTTTATTTTATTCTTGACTAATTGTGAATTTCTTTTATTCCATCATATATTGTTTTTGCTATTCCTGATTTCTCTTTTGCTATAGCAATTATTGTCTGTTGAATTCTTGCATCGTACTTCTCATTTGGATATCCTTTTCTTTGGAATGGATTCGTTGTTCAATTTAATAGGTCTCTAATTATTTTAAAGCTGTAGCATTCTAATATTTTTCTCTAGCTCTTTCCTCTTTTAATTAATTTTATTATTTTATGTACTACTACTTCTCAAACAGCATTTGTTCCATATTTTACAATTTCTTATTGTATTCCTATTATCTAATCTAGTTTTCATGCTGCACTTATTATTCTTGTTCTGCCATTCTTTGGGCTCTCCTATTCATTTTTTCCATAATAACTCTTTCCCTTTCCTCCCTCTCCATTTGTTTTAACAAGGCATATTTAGCTTGTTTTTATTGGATCTTAAGTTCCTCCTCTTAGAACTTACGCATGATAGTTTCATTTTGCATATCTGCTTGTAATTTAGACTATTTGAGTTTCTGTTCTCTCAATTTGAGTTTCGCCTCCTTCTCTTGCATTCTTTGATGAAACTCTTCCTCCTACATTTTTCTTAACTCTTCTATGCGTTTTTCCTTAAATTGATTCTTCCTTTTCATTTCTTCGATCTTCATTTCAGTTTATATTTCTCTTTCAATTTCGATTTTCTATTTGTTTTGCAACGTTCTAAGTATCTGTTCTTACTTTTACATAAAAGACTGACTCAATTACAATTGACTAGATTGAGACTAGAGCATAGATTATAAGTTACATTTCGTTCATGTTCTTCAGAATTATTATTGTATTCTTATCTGACTAGATCTAAAAATCGATCCACTCTTTCACTCATATGCTACAATTTGGCTTCTACGTAATAGTCTACATCTTCAAATTAGACTCCCTATTGTAGGATCTCTTCTCTTGTAGGATAGTAGAGATCTTGAACAACCAAACCCAGAGTAGCCAATACTTTTTTTGACCGAGGACTACCTTACATAATAGATTACATACGTAGTTATTTCACTCCTCACAGCAGGATTGAAGTTTAATAAACTCATAACAATAAAATAAATATAAAATGAGAAGGAACTTTCAAGATCTCATAAAAAATCCTCCTGCAAATGCATAGAGAGAACAGAAACCTAAATAGCCTGCTGTGGTATAGGTGGCTGAATGGAATAAGGCTTTGGAATATTTGGATGCAGGGGACATCAACAAGGCATATGAAGAAATATTGATATCAGAGGACGATTTGTATTTGTTGAGGCTGATGACAATCACAGGACCTTGTGTGAATAAATTGAATCAGAAGGTGGCCTTTCAATTGCACCAGAAGATTAAGTTATTGATGAAGTCTGAATTTTGGAAAGTGCTTGCATTGCAGATGTTGGGCAATCTCTCATCGAAATAGGAATGTTTGAGGATAGAATAAAAGTAAAAATTGCAACAATTGCTTTATTAATGGAGTAAGTCATGGTAACCTCAGATTAGTAAAGAAACTGTGTTATTGTACAATTCAGGAGTGTTTAAACCTGATCATATTATTTGACTTTGTTTTATAAAATATAAAATATGTTAAAATCAAGTCGTTCTTTGTCTTCCAGAAAAATTGAGAAACTTACGAAAAAGCGAAACAACTCAGTTTCAGAATCGGGGAGCTATGGGAAGTTTTTGGAATTCCTCTAATCTCATGCAGGATAACCTTATAGCCAATTTTTATACATGCAGGAATTCTTCAACACTAATTTAGCCTAGTTTCCTACGGATGATGAAATATCTTAAATCCAACACAACCTTCATGTTAGCAGTGGATTGTTATCGCATAAGAAGAAGAATTGGACGATAGAAGAAAAGAAAGTGCTAATTTGGATAGTGGGTAAATTGAGTTAGGCTCAAGATTTGGACATAAGAGATTTACCTGATGAATTCTGGGAGGATGTATCTGAAATGGTTTATAGGAGAGATGCTGTCTAATGTAAGTAGAAATGGTCATAGTTATAAAAGACTGATTTGCAATCAAAGCCATTCACTTAAGAGGAGGATCAGGCATTACTTAATATCATCAACAAATATTAGGAATGTGAATAGGGGTAGAAATGGAGTTTGATTGCAAATGAGTTGAATTTACATAGTAGGAATTATAGATCAAGTAAATAGTGCAGAGAAAGATGGCTGAATCATTTAAATCCAAGAATTCGGAAGTATTTGTTAGATTGACTTTTAGGGATCCTTGGAAGGATGATGAGGACTTTCAGTTACTCAATTATGTTCAGGAACAGGGTAGAAGATGGGCAGATATTTCAAAATTATTCAATGGGACCAGAAGTGAAAATAATGTGAAAAATAGATTCAATAGTTTAGTAAAACGAGAAAAGGATTTAATCTTAAAGTAATTTAATCCAGTTTAAATTTAGGTTACAAAATGGATAAAATGCAACTATAGAAACTATGTTGGGGAATCTCACAGGATAAAATCTGAATGAGGAATAGATTCAAGCTATTGAAGTGCTCAAGAATAAAATTATTTGGAGACAAAGGTAATTGAAAGATAATGAAAATATATAAACTGAATTTCTGAGGAGTTCTATCGTTGAAGATCCTGAGAAGAATGAAAGAATACAAATGAAACGATCAACGATAGTCAAGTATGCTGTAGGACATCTTCAGGATGATCAAATAACTACTGAAGAATTGACTCCTTGTTTAGTTAATATAGAAAAGAATATGATCTACTTTTGTTCCAAAGAATAAATACTTCAAATTATCAATAGATAACTTAATCAAATCCAAGATAATTTAGAATATTTTTAAAAGGAAGTTAGAATTTTTGATTCTGGATTAATTAATTAAAAAACATAATTAAGCATAATTAGTGAAATTAATGATTCTAAATTTAGTTCATTCATTTGCGGTGTCGAAGAGAATTAAAGTTTATACAACAAACCAAATGTTAGCAACTAGCATTCCAACCTCGATAACTACCTCAATTTACAATCATCTCAGATATTGCAGGATCAACCAGAAGGCTCTAAAATTCTATACTTAAATCCAATTGAAATCATCCATTACAAAGCCTTTCAAAATATTTAAAAAGCATACAAATCAGAAAATCTATTAAACAAGACAGCCTAAGAATTTAAAAACATCCCCAAATCATTACCAAATGTCATTTCAAATTATACATCATGATTTCCTTATCTTGATTTTTATGTATATATTAATATATGCATCACATTAATTTAAATAGTAATTCAACTAAATTTTCACTCTACTTCTTTTCCTTATCTCGCACATGCAACTCATTTTAACAATATATTACACTATATCAAGATAAATATATATGAAAATAAATCATTCACAAAGTAAAATTAGACATTTCATTTCTTTATTGTGCTTTCAATATAATCTGAACATTTCTTCTTTTCCACAACATATTTCAAGAAATACTTATACTGATTTTATTTCTTCAATTCAATTATACTCTTTTTACCGACTGAAAGACATCTCCTTATTGTTGGATAATTGGAGATTACTTTCTTATGGACCAAATGAGGAATTTTAAACCAAAAGTCATTTATACACGGATTGTCTGATAACCATCTTTAAGGTGCTTCAAATTGAAAATTGAAAAATTATTCATCTTCAGTATCAAATTTGATGTCTTCATAATTAATTGCACCAATTTAATAATTTTTTGGCATTTTTTATAATAATTATTATTTAATTTCATAAATATGACAATAAATTATTTATCATTGAAAAAATAGATTGGTCTTCATCGAGTCTCTCCAAAACAAAACGTAAATTCTCCCTCTCTTATGACGATATCAATGAATATTGACTACTCTACCACGTTTCCTTGTTCAATATCTCAATAATCGCTTCAAGGATAGCCTAATTCAATTCCACATTTTTCAATTGCAAAAATTAAAATACTTTTAGATGTATTTTCGATTAACACAATTATTGAGTTTACTAAAAGTTACCTTTCTAAAGATAAGCACACAAAGTAAAACAAGCTTAAACATGTATCAACTCATCGGGGGAGTTCAGTAATTGGATAACATAATTTGTAATGTCAATTTATGCAAATATGACATCGTAAAACTGTTTTGCTCCACATATGCAGAATTCTAAGACCCATAAAGCCTAATTCAAAACCAATTTACTATAATCATTAGATATATATAATAATTACTTATTCGAACATAGTTTCAATTTCAATTATTGAAGCAATCCATTTTTTATCAAAATCTCAATATGGGCTGGACTTTGTTAAGCAATTTCAGCCAGAATTCTCAAAGTCAATTAATCATTCAAGCCTTCATTCAAGATTTACATCAATTCCAGGGCTCCGTTGAATTTAAATATTGAATTAATCTAGTCCTTAAATTATATTTTATACATATCCATTATGCATTCCCACAAAGGCCAAATTGAGCAATATTTATAATAGATAATTTAGCTTATCCAAATTTTTAGTAGACAATGCACTGCAAATGGGTTTAAGGAACACTTCTGCATGTTTTCGACAATCATTATCCTATTTGTACAAGTCCTGTAGCAAAGATGTTATCAGTTATAAATGTAATTCAAGCACACTATTATCCATTTGGATCTAGTATAATTTATTATATATCTATATACATGGAAAGCATGACAGAGATTATGCACAAACAATTTATTTCGCAATAGTTCTCCTCTTGATTAAAATGTAGTTGATGAATACATTAGGATTTAATCAATCTTAATAAAGGCATATGACAATCGAGATATATCATCATAACCTGCTTCTAATGGATAGTTCTGATCGTTCCCCTTTATGCAAAAACCTTTTCGAAAAATATCAGCTTCCAAAAGGATGAATAGCTAACTAAATGATATTAACATCTCGTTAAATTTTGGGTAGTTTTGCAAATGCTCGTCTGGCAATTGCACTAAAATGTGTAGATAGTTCAATATGTTTTTGAATAAATCCCAATTAGAATAGAGTTCATTTAAATTAAGCAACTTACTCAGCTGAAGACCAAGGTCATTTTAAACCATTTCAACTACAGGTTTATTGACTTTTTCATTAATTAGGAGTAGTAGATCTAGTAATTTAATTTTCCCCATGTGATGCATTTACTAAGTGTAATAAGCAGAAATCTGGGCATCGGAATTTGATACTTTTCTTTTGACATTGAATATCTTTTCTAAGTGATTTCTTCTGATTTCTGTGTGAAATTGCTCTCTTTTACATCTCAATAAATCAGTCTCATTCATACTTAATAAAATAGATTAAATATCGAATTAAATTGATTCATTTCACTTACTTAATCAATTGCAATTTAATTGTCTAGTCACGCATGAATTGCAGCTAATCATTTCAACAATGGAGACGAAGCTTCGAAAGAAATATTTTCTATAGATATTTGCATAATATAATGAAATGTTGTTTTATTGATAAATATATGTATTTGCCTCATTCCTGTTCATGAGTCTAATAGAACACCTTCTAAGTTGTTCTGAAGCTGTCAATATATCTGACTAAGCAATTTGTCATGGCATCTTGATCTTATTCTGTGTATTGACCATTGAATTTTTTCATGTCTGGAACAAGCTAGTTAAAGCAATTCTTAAATGCTTGGCTGACGAATAATTATCCTGATTAGATTGAGCTCATTATTTATTATTATTAATAATAAAATATTTATATAAATAAGTATCATCATTATTTATATTTAAGTACTTCCATCAATCTTTGGAGAGCCTTGAAAAAATTGCGTGTCTTTATAAGGAATTAAAAATTAGGGACGACTGACTAAATATAAGTGAATGTCAACTCCTTCTGCTAAAAGTAATCCGTCTTATTTTCAAACATATTTACAATTACTTTGTGTTATGTATGGAATAATTATAATTACAATAACACCAGATGTTTATTCTTCTTTTTTATCACTTCGCTATAAATGTATCCTTCCCCATCCTTCTTTTTATCAGTCTAGAATTAATCTACACTCTCAGTAATAATGTATTTTCTCAGAGTATTTTCAGTTTCTTAATGTTGCAAGGCCAATTATGATAGATTCAGATAGTTTTATGTCTTGATCTTGTAAGTCAAATAATGACACATATTGATGATATCAGATATGGACAATTTGCTATTCATATAATTGGTCTAAGATTTGAAAAAGCCATCTGCTATGAATAAATTCAATAGTTCCCTAAGATTGACTCTAACATCCTTGAAGAAATAATTGGTCAAGCAATAATATCGAAAATAGATATTGTAATTGGAGGATGAAGAATAAGGCATCGGATTTAAAGGTTTTAAGATATCCGTTCTCTTGTTATTCAAAGGTTCTAAGAAACACTCCACATAAGCTGATCCCAATCTTTCAATACGAAATTAAGCACTGCAAATAAACTCCATTATCTAACTGTCAAAGCAATTGGTGTTCAAGATATATCTGCTCTTTGAAAATTTGAATTGCTAAGTGACTCTAACATGATTGGATATTATCAATTTTTCAAATTTCTCTGTTAACTCTGTTTACACTTTATAATTATATCTTGAATTTTCCATAGATTGTCTCTTCATTAGATGTTCCTTACCTATGATCTTGATTTTTTACTCTGCAAAATCTTCGAATGTTTCCAGCAATCTGTCCATCAAGGTATTGAAATTACTGAAGTTCTTCTCATGATCCATATTCAACAAAAATACTTCATTCAACAATCTGTTCCAAATCTATATCTCTATCATTTTATTGTGATTATCCTCATGATCATGCAACTTCCTGGAAAATCCCAAGAATTTCATCACCTTCTCTGAGATTTAATTATTCTGACTAATAGCCTACTTAATTACTTTGTTTTTCATCAAAATCTCATTACTAACCTAGGCAAATCCTATTCTAGATTGAAACTTTTTCTTTTATTTTGCAGATTGCAAATCGAAAGGGGATTGCTCAGTTTTTTTCATTAATTTGATCTTTTAGATTAAATTCATATCTAACTATGGGTGTTTTTTAATAATTTAATGATGTACTTTTTCCTTATTTTATAAATCATTGTAATCAGTGAATTAAGAATTGTCAATCAAATTGAAGATGACATGATCTTTAAAATCCATCTCCTAAAAGTGCAAAATGTTGATGTAAGTCATTAACTTTCTTTTACTTCTTGGAAAATAATAGATAATTTGGAACATATCTAAATAAGTATGAGCAAGTATAGAAATAATAACAAACTCCTACTTAAGTAATTTTATATTCTTCATATCTTTATATCGCTATTCATTTACTATCTTCCTCTTATTTTTCTATTTTACCAAATAAAACTTTTAGGTATAATGTCCTATGACTCTAAATATTCTATGTACAGTATTCAAATAATTTTTATCAGTAATATTTTAATCAAAGTTATTTTTCGGAAATTCATTGAATGTGCACCTGGTCACCTTTTCATTGTAATTCACATTAAGAGATTGCTGCCTATTAAAAAAGGAATTGAGCATAAATTTATTGAAATTCACAGGGGATTAGTTTTGATTGTACTTCATAATCTAGGGTACTCTATACAAGAATCTCTTATCAAATTTAGTATTTGATATGATGGCCTTACACCAATTGAATATGATGTTTGAATCAAAATACTTCTCAACATCAAACTACAATTCTAAATCAAACTTATTAAATAATAAAATGTATTTCTTCAATTTAGAATTGAACTCGTACAATTCTACACTGACAAACAAGTGCTCTCCATCATAAATGTATATTTTCTCTGAACCTTTTTCTTGCTTATGATCCTATAAGTAATACACCTTAACATGAACATAACATGATTGATTGTTCCATAACTTCAATATGTATATATAATCCAGTCTGTCCAAAAATTGCAATAACTTCTTTGAATTGCTTACCAATAGGACTTTTATTTGATGATAATTTGGCAACTAGGCCTTGAGATAATTGTAAAATTGGTGATCCTTCAGATACAAAAAGGAGGTGGGGGAATATAACACTCGTATAATTCCAGTTAAGATTTAGCATTTTTAATGTTTATTCATTCGCTGACAATTAGAAATTTGATGAATTAAATGATAATCATGTAAATACAATATTATTGGTGATTGATTTTTTTTGATATAAATTATCTTCATGAAGTTGGTCTGATCAATAAACAAAAACTTCCTTGTAGCCATTTCAAAAAATTAGTATTTATTGTAAACCATAGTTTATTTGTGTAAATCACTCCACTAATCTTAAAAGTCAAAAGCATAATCAGTAACTTATTCAATTTTTCTCCCTTCAACAGCTATTCTCATATCCATTTGATTTATATCCTGAAATAACTTATTAAACGGCAATAGTTATGCTATTTGATTCTCCTTTTCTCTATTTTCGTAGCCCCTTCTAATGTCAAGCTACTCGTTTGGATACACACTATATTTAAACACACAATCGATTTTGTTGTACAGACTTTGATGATCCATTTTTTAAATGAAATTATGAGTTTTGGATAGAATGTGAAGATACTTGGGTTGGATGATGATCTTTCTATTTTTTATGTCTAATGTAAATGCATTTTTTAAGACTAAATCAGCCACCTATGAATATGAACACTGTTCAGAGATTATGTTTTTAAGTATCTAATCGAAATTGCATTACTGTATGTCACCATTATTGAATGTAGTTTCTTATAGAGCCTATCCTAGTTTACAGAAATCATCCAATTTCATTTTCAATGGTTTGAATGCACGCTCACTTCTTGATTGCTTAATGTCTTGAAGGAGTTGCTTTTCATTCCATTTAAGTGACTTATCCCTTTCGAATACAGTCACTTCAATTCTCACTTTGAAGTACTCCAGTTTAAATTTCCAATCAAAGTGTGTGTAATCTACATCAAAGAAATCAGTTATGGTTTGAAATCCTGTTCGGACTGAATGTTTCTATGCATTAAACAGTAAATCATCAAAATGGAATTGGCTTTTGAGTGTTAGATGTAAACTAATCAGACAATATTTGCTGATTTAATTGCAGATTTAAAAGTCATAATGATTCAAAATATCTTGGATGTTGATATTTGCACATTGTATGTAAATGGATTTATGGGAGAGTTCATAGATATCTTCAAGCATTTAATCCTAAAAAAAGACACTGTTATTATGAACAAAACGGAATGCCAGAATTTAGTTGAGTATACTTTTATTTTTTTCAATGAAATCCCTATATCTTGTTGATAAATCCGATGGTTTTTTATAGATGTTACGTCGATATTCTAGGATCTACTGTTCGAGTATTCTTAATTGTAAAATTGTATCATGAACTAGAGGTAAATTCAAAATGTATTAAGTGGCATCAGAAAGAAGATTACAATCTTAGAATTAAGGTAATAACTCGTAGACCGATCCAAATATCTTCCGTATTCTCACTATTTGTGATGTCTATAGATAATTTAGGATTTCCTTGGTTTCCACTATAGCATTGATGTCTTCTTCAGTGATATTCTTTCTAGAACGCATTGATAGGCCCTAGATGAAATTCAACTTGTAATTTTTGGCGCATCCATATCTGGTTTGATTTAATAGAGCTAATTGTCCTTTTAATTCTAGATAACTCATCAGATAATCACGAACAGTTGGCCAGACAGTTATACAATTCTATTCTCCAATATCTTCCTTTTGAATAGCCCCAATAGGGATGTCCAGACGATAGAAATATTAAGATCTGCCTTCACCTTTAAAAAATAATACAATGCAAGTTCGATCCAAGGTAATATCAGAATATTGAATTGACCAGACAACAACATTTTTAAAGAAGATAGAGACATATCTAATTACAGGATAATATAAAGATTATACTCTCTTGACTAAATAATCATTAGTTTTTTGTATCATTTTTTGATTTTTAATTCTATCGTAATTTTTCAGAGTGTCTGCAACTTTATAGAGTGTGCAAAACAAACCTAAAGGATTAGCAACAGGTTGTCCAGGAGATGATAATGGACTATTGAAAGAGGGAGAGTTGGCTTTAATAAAATCGATGTCATCCAATCGTTTTTTAAGTGCTTTGACTCTATTGGGATGCACTCTATTGCTTTTAACTTTCTATTTGGGTTCAACGTTTTTTTTATTCAATTTAAACACCTTCAATCTTAGACAAGCCTATAAAAAACGGATGCGTTTGAGTACAGGTTCTGAAAACTAAGGTGGTGCTTGGCTTTAATCAAAGATGGTTTTTTGTTTATTTAAGTACACTCTGGTTTATTTTCTTTTGAGTATCAAACCCTCATTCAATCGATGCTATATGTTCTTCAATTATGCCAATTACTCAGCATTGCCTTGGAGGATTTGAGAGATTTGTAAGGGTTAGGAGTGTTGCATGGTTATTTTGTGTAAAATGGCTTTGTAATTTAAGAGATTTAGATATTGATTGGCGATCAATTTGGCTAATTTAAACGAAGTTGGTTTGGAATGTAATTTTCGCAACATGATGGCATTAACCAAGGTGAAGATGGTGAATCGTCTATCTATTTTGTATTTTTCAGCCAAATACTCTTGATATCTTTAAGAGTCCAGCATTCTTTTTTTTTCTATTTCCTAAGCCTATTACTCCTTATGTTTCCTTTCCAATTCTAATAGCTTGACTCTCTCTCTTTCTTCTTACTCCTTTCTAATTTTTTCCTCTTTTTCAATTTTCATCCTCTACAACTTTTAGTACAATTAAGCTTGCTTTTCCTGATTAAACCTAGGTGGTTCTATGGTTCTCAAGTGTCCATAGTTTTGAACCTAATCCCAAAACACAAGAGGATCAGTCTCTGTCTTAACTTTCCGATGTTTCGATTTGAGTTTCGAAATATCATTTTAAAATAAGGATTACTCTAACACTCTCGAAGTCTGGGGATGGTTATACCGTGCAGTGGATTTAGGAGTTTGTAAAGTGATGCGAAAAGAAACATGAGATTATTGTCTTGAATCATTTCTACTGGTTGGTCTGGTTGTTTTGAGTAGATCCAAAGTTGGTATTTTGTGTTTCATTAATAAAATTAACGATGTCTGCAAATGTAACTATAACAGCCTTTTTCGGAATGGCCGATGATGATTTCAAAGACGATGTGTACGATCGCTATATCCGAGATCTCCATAGACCACGCAAAACGATTTACGTGCCCAAACCACCCTCCATAGTGACGAAGCACTTGAATGTTAGGAGAATCAATACTGAATACTGAATAATTATTATATATCAATCACAACAACTTTTTCAGGGTTAACAATGATTCCACAATCAAACAATCTCTTCAACTCATGCAAATACCCAAAGGTTTCATTCCCCATCTAAACTTGCAAATAATTACGTTTCAACTACTCTACTTCTTGTTCAGCATATCTCAAACAATTCAAATTCTTTTTAAGCACAGAGGTCTTCTCCTCTGCCCTGTTCTGTTCCTAATTCATCTAGTGTTCACTTTCACTTTTAACAACAATTTTGTAATGTACACTCCCATCGCATAAATAACCATAAGATGCATTATAAGGCCTTCTAATAAACCCACTCTATGAACCTTTTCAAATTTATCAGGTATCCTAATATTCACTAACCTTAGATTCAGATTTCAAAACATGTCTCCTCTTATGTAATTTTTATGGTCTACTCTCTCTCCTTTTCCACTTTGTCTGTACCTCCTATTCATACTGATTAAACATTCACTCTTCTTTGTGTTTCAATAAACGTTCAATGTAATATTCCAATTCAATCTACTATTAGCAATTTTCAATCAAAAACATTATATTTATCAGCTTTAATTCAAATGAAGATTTCAACTAAAAGTTTAAATGGCAAACTTCCTTCCTTACACAATCCTCCATTAAATGTACCAAATTGTTATCATTGTTTTGTTGATCTCCATAAATTTACTACTTTATCAGGATCCTGCTACTCCAAAAAGAATGCTTGCTTTACTCAGGAACAGGAGTGCTAAACATATTTGTTTAGTTACTTTAGAATCTTATTCAAACTATTATCCCCAAGGTTCCTTTAGGATCAATAGAAAATTATTTTAGATTAGTTCGTGTGTTATCTTTCCTGCCTTTATTCAATATACTGAATAGCTTTCCACTAGATAAGATTTACTTCTATTCCTATAATGTAAATTCTTTAAGTGTTATCTTAAGATCTCCATATAATAAGCATACTTGCAAATAGTCAATCAGGGATTATATCATCTTAGCTGTAACTATTAATGTTGTAGTATCAAATTCCTATATGTTATTCATCTTTTTAGACTAAAGTTCAATCATCTGCATAAAATTAAATTGCTTTCATAGTATAATCGCAAGATTACAAAACCTCCCTGATCATCTTTGTAGAAGTGGGAATAACAGTAAATTCAAGTTTACCTCAATGGAATCTCTATGAGTCCTAATTCAAAGATTTGAATTATAAAGGATCTGTTATCTCAAGTTATGCTGCGATTATTTAGTTGAAAGTATTTAGATATTTTTTCTTTATAAATTTAATATGCTATTATTACTTTAACAATAACTTTTTTTAGATTTAGAGTATAATAGGATAGAAAATTACTTTTATTTCAACTAACCATTAAGGAACTTCCCCTATCCTAATACTCCCATGTATTTTATGCAATATTGAATCTTAGCTATTATGATTTTTTTTTATATGATTCCAAACAATTTCCTTTATATCAAAATAGCCTTATTTTTAAATAAAGCATTTAATCAATAATCTCAGACAACAAGAATACTAAATAATATTTTATATCAGAAAATGGATGATAAATTAAATTAAGAAATAAATGAATTAAAGAATATTGTTTTAATGGTTTATTTTTAATATTTTTTATTCATTCACAATTTTCCATCCTTAATTTATTTGTTTAAACTTTGTAATCTATTTTTCTTAATTTCTTTCAATGTTTCCTCATCAATTTAAGGTTGATTCCCATTTTTTTAATTAGAAATCTTTTTGAGATGTTCAATTTCCAACTCTTTAAACTTTTTCATTACTTCTTCTCTTTTCTCACTCTATAAACCTTTCATCTTCTCTATATTTTGAACTTATTTTCTAAATTCATCCTTGACTGATTAAAATTGACTTTGCATGCATTACTATATTTAATTATCAAATAAGTAATACATCATATATTTTTCTCCTTTATTGTAAGATTGTTTTATACTTCATAGCAATTTCAAATTACTCATTTTCTGTATTATTTATAGAATCAGTGCATTTGGTAATTAGATCCTCAGTCTTCTATTGAAATTGTACACTCTACTATTTTTAATATTCAACTAATGTCTAGATGAGTTTGCATCAAAGCATCCTCTAACTTAAACAATTATTTAATTAACTCTGATTCTTATGCAAATTGCTTTAAAATAATTGATTTAATTTGGTTCTTCATCATATGCTTATTTTTCTGCTTATTGCTATTAAATTGATTACTGCTGGATCTATTAAATTTATTGTTATTATTATTATTTTTCCATCTTCTCTTATCTCTATTGCTCTTTGAATTGCTATTCAATTTATAACTGCATCTTGGATTAACTATTTTACTTCTTGAGCGTCTTTTTGATGTCTTCATTCTCCTCCCTTAATTAAACAATCATCTCTTAGAAATTATTTGGAGTTGGATCAATATTCCTAGTCCTGTGAGCATAAAGGAGTGTATTGAATGAATCTTCATAATTGTTGGGAGCAACATTGGCAATCATGACAGTTTTAGAATTGCCTTGGAGTGCATCCTTTAATAGTCTAGTTAACTTGCTGCCTCTAAATGGAACAAATTATTCCTTTGAGAATAACGCCTTGATGCAATTACCAAGAACTAAGAGTGATCGATTTATCATAGCTCCCTCAACCATTCTTTGTCCTTTGTTAGTAGTTTGGGAAGCTCTTTCAGAACCAGCCAAATCAACAAAGGTGAAGGTGCATTGCTTGAGCATCAATTGCAAAACCGTGTGAGATCTTGTCGAGTTTTCATTAGCACCTGTAGGTTCCTTTGCTCTTCTGCTGTTACCATACTTGATGTATTGGTTTATATCATTGAGAGTGGGGACAGGAGCTTTAAATAAATTCACAACTACTAATCCTTTGTTGCCATCTTCTCTCAAATCCAATAACTTCCCAGTCAAGAGATCTCGGATAGTTTCATTATATATTTCTAAGAAGGTGAGTGAGGCCTAGGGATTAGGAATGTTGATACTTGAGCGGCTTATTCTTTTGACAATCTAACAAACAAATCATTCAATGCTCTTGGTATAATGCCTTATTGATTCTGGCTTCCCATCATGCTAGAAGAGATTAGGGATAATAATGATACGTGTGAGTTTTGCCGCTTCCTGTTGCTCCATATGCAAAAATAGTTACATTTTATCCTGAAATGAGATCGTCCAGAAGGGGCTCTGCTGATTTTTCATAGACTTCCTTTTGATCGGCTTGCTAATCAAAGACAAGGTCAAACTCATAAGATGCATCTTTAATTCTATTCTTTTTCAGGATCTTTAGGATGTAAAATATAATATAGAAATGTCAATTTACATCGACAGGGTTATTGAATTCTAATTCTGGATCAAGCAGAGTGACCGTGGACCCATTAACAATAATGGTTTTGAAAGTTTATTAGACTGGTTTGACTCGAATGGCAACGGTGATATTGTGCATAATTTAAATTGAATTTTTAATATTTCACATATGTATTTATTTGTATGAAAACATATTATTAATCATTGGAAGATTCCCTTCTTGGGAGAACTGCTTAACAATGCAGGTTCTGGGTGTTCATCGAGGAATTGAATGGCTTCTCCTTCAGCTAAAAATGATTAACATATTTGAATTACCATAACTGACATCTATTCCCTATGATTCTTAGAATGGATTAATTTTAAATGCACCAGTACCTTTTAGTGGAATAATTAAGATGGCAACCAATAGTCCCCATCCAATAAATGCCAAGATTCCTACTAATTATAATCCCAATTATTTAGGTCCATGACCAGTAACCCAACCATTGGTAAGACCTAGAAAACCAACCAAAATAGTTCCCAAGAGACCAGGACCCTAGAGAATAAATTAATATCAAATACCAAATGTGAAGCTATAGTGTAAGCAGGGTCATCAACATGTGATCTCTTAATAACAAGTATGAGGACAATATACACTAAACCAGCCAAAACACCAGTAAGAGCAGATTCCCAAATTCTAACATCGTTAGCCAATGCTGAAATAGCTACAATTCCAGCAACACTTCCCCCTTGATAATGCAATTAAACTTGTCTTATGAGTTTTCAAGTATTATAATATAAAACTAGTAAGAGCTGATAATGTAGCTGCTACAATAGTATTGACTGCTATCAATCCCTATTCGTACTTATCGTTCTTTCCTTGTGTATTGGCACCGTTAATGAATATTAGGATTGCAATTGTCAATATAAATGATCCATATCCGATGTTAATTGGAGAATGATGAGGGAAAATGCCTGGATGCACATTGCCAGCTTGATCTCTTCTCTCCTTCAAAAAGTATGAAACAACCAAGGCTGTGATTGCACCGAAAACGTGAATATATGTTGATCCTGCAAAATCCACGAATCCAAATTTACTCAACCATCCAGTAGGTTATATCCAATGAAGTGCTATTGGGTATAATACTGCAGTGATGAATGCTATGCATAAACTAACTGAAAAGAATCTGGATCTTTCAAGTGTTCCTAATCCAAAGAGAGATGCAACGATGACTGCTCCGACTGTTGAGAATACTAAATTATTATAACTTAACTCTATTACTCAAATTTGTGTAATCGTCAGTGGGAGACTCGACTGTGTACCCGATTCCTGCAAATTTACTTAAACCAATGAATTTGTTTCCCTTGTCATCTCCAAAGGCGAATCCATATCCTACCTATCAATTATTTATTATTATATTTTGTATACAAGCCAGAAAAACAAAATAGTCAGGACTGATCCTAACAACACTGTTATCACTGACGACTGCACTGATTTATAACGAACTGCGCCAGAACTAATGAATGCAAATCCCAAAATTGTTAGCAAAGCACTGAATGATGTTACCAAAACCCAACTTGCATCTATTGGCACTGGAACATTAGGTGCTGGAGCAGGACTCTCATCAAAATGATTCATTAAATTTATTTATTGTGGGATATATATTTTCAAATTCATTTATATCATCGAAAATAAATACAAATAAAAATTAATCATTTTTATTAAATATTATTAAAATATAATTATGCAAACTCTTGTGGGAACACAAAAAGGCTCAATCTATCATCTAGAAATCAACAGACCAAAATCATTGTACCTTATTTCAATTACCACTAGAAATTCCATGTCCTCCCAACTTTTCCAAGATTTCAAAGCAGCAGTCGATCTCATTAATAAAGCTGACGATGTTCGAGTTGTCGTCTTGACAGGCAGAGGCAATCACTTCTGCGCTGGCTTGGATCTTAAGGAAGCTCCTTTAATGTTTTAAGTAATTACTCCCCTTAAATTCAGTTCCATGAAGACATGGATCAAGCAAGAAAATCAATCAGAATCTACGACCTCCTCAAAGACTGGTAATTGGCCATGACATCCTTATCAAGAATCAAGGTTCCAGTCATTGTTGGAATCTAAGGCTATTGCTTAGGCGGAGGAGTCGACCTCATCACCTCTGCTGACATCAGATACTGCTCTGAAGATGCTAAATTCTCCATTAAAGAAATCGATCTTGCCATGTAATGATTTTCAATTAAATGTTCCAGGGCTCCTGACATAGGCACCTTACAAAGATTAGGCTTGTAGAATGCTAACACTTCGCTCTTCAGAGAACTAGCTTACACAGGAAGAGTCTTTAGTGCTCAAGAAGCTCTCAAATTGGGATTAGTCAGCAAGATCGTAAAGAATGAAAATTTGAATGAAGAAATATTCAAATTAGCAGAATTGATCGCCACAAAATCCCCAGTTGGCTGCTATACAATCAAAAGCATATTTACAAGAGAACAAAACCTAGATTAACATTTAGATGTCATGGCTAGAACCAATATGGCAATGCTCTTTACAAATGATATTCCTATTGCAATTACATCTTCCATGACTAAAACCAAGCCAGAGTACCCTAAATTGTGAGCATAATCATATATATAAATTTAAATACAAACTATTTCATCAGAAAATATCAGTATAAATTGATTCATATTCCTTAATTTTTGATTTGGAATGCATTATAAAGTAATTTTATTACCAAAAACATGAAAAACATAAGAATTCCTTTATTTGCATATGGAACAGCTATTGATCATATTGGTTTGAAAGAAATAGAAGAATCTCCATAAAAATACACTTAAATTTAATTAGATGATTCCTCATTTAAAATTTACATTTGCAGCTTTACTGAACTCTGTCTAAATATTTTAAATAATAAGAATCTTATTTTATTAGTCGATTATCGTGAATTGATTGAATTTGACGATATGTTATAGAATATTTTTGATTTAATACAATTTTCACAGTAAAAATTATCAGTAATTTAGAGCCAAGAAAGTGTTGTGCTATATAGTCTCAGAAGAAACAATCAAGAAAGGATAATGGAAAATGGAAATCATAAAGAAGTATGTTGAAGCTAGCACTCAAAAATTCAATTATCCTAATTATTACTAACCTAATTACAATGTTTAATTTATTCAATCTTCGCAATCTCTATTTAATTAATTACATTTTTTCTAAACAACACCTAAGGATATAGATTTTACAAAAAATAATGATGCCTTGCTCTAAATTTTATCTCGAAACAAAAATGAATTAGAAGTTTCATTAATCTAAGGAATGGTAATCCTATACGATCTTTATTATTTTGAAAACTAAACTGCAAATAATAAACCAATTTAAATAATCGAAATAGAAGGAAAAGTTAATTACATCAATTCGAATGAAGATAAACAAGTCTTTAGAATTAAAATCAGTGATGACACAGAATTGAAAGATCAAACGTTCATCTCTAATAATTTTATCTAAGTCAAATAATGTTCTCCTCAAATAGTATTCACACCTCAATTTATATCTATGGAGAAACAATAAGAATTTTATATGAAATATAGAGATACCTCAAATATATCTGCTATCATAGGAGGAGTTTAATGTATTTTTAATTATAATATCTAGATGATATCAAGAACTTAGAATTCTGTTCTACCAATTATGCCAATTCATTAAAATTAACTTTGTCTAATTCAAAATTCATCTGTGCTTAAGAATTCTAGACAAGCAACAAGAATTTCAATATAAACAGTTAAATTTTGTATTCTATTTAAATTAACCTTAGGATAATCAATAAAACTACTGATGACATAATTGCTTTTGGAAATGTGGTGTAGGATAATTTTGAAATTAGCTTCACTTAAAAAAACAACTTAAATCAAGATTAGAAGGAGTTAGAAATATTTTATCTTCCTTTAAATGATGAAGATATAATTGCAAATGTAGCAAGAGGTGAATAAGTATAAAAGGGAACTCATATAAATAAATGCAGAATTTGTATGGAAAATACATCTAATACATTGTTGATTCCTTGTGGACATTTACGTTATTGTTTTGATTGCTAATCTGAAGTTTAAGAGTGCTTATTCTGTGATACAAAAATTTAATCAAGGAAGAAGTTAATTGTGAAGTAGGTAGATCAAAATAAAAACAATTTATTAAAGGAATTGACATGGAGACACTAAGACTTACTAAAACTATCGTTGCAGTAAAATATAAATATTGAATAAAATGTAAAAATTAACCGATTCTAATATGATATTGATTTCAGTTAATATTATTGCTAGAAATGTAATAAATCTAAAGGGACTGAATTTACTATTTGTTAATAGAATCATTTACTTAATCATTGTTTAGAATGCTCGGAACAAATAAATGAATGCGAATTCAAAGGTTGTAAATAAAAAATAATCTGTAAAGGAAAAATAAAATACAATTTTGATGAGTGATTATTGATAAATTGATTAATATCATTTAAATTTTGATTTCAATACATTAAAATTCTTCAGTGTTGAAGTAGATTTAATAACAAATGATTAAGTTTTCTTTCTTGCTGATTTCAAATTACTGAAGTCTTAATTTTGATCGTCATCATCTGTAGGTTATGTTTGGATTTATTCAAAATGAATGCTTTTAGAACTGGAATGAGGTCCAATCAATTTTTCAGTTTTACTTCCCACCAAAATTGGAGATTATTTTTATTATTCTTATTGGAGATTATGATTTCTTGGACTTTGTATAGAAATTTGACTTCTAGGAGAAGAAGGACTAAAAGTCAATGTCTTGGCCTATTTCATTCTCCTAACAATGAATTGGCTTTGTAATTGAATAGGTTTTTTTAATTACATCTGATTAATTTTGGCTAATTATTCTTGAACAAACCATTGATGATTCAAACATTGATGTGAACTTAATCTTTCTTCAGGATTAGGTTGAAGAGTTGTTTTAATAAAATTCATCCCAAGAATGCTGAGATTGATCATACTAAATTCAACTAAACCTTCAACATTTTATTCAAGTCTCTTTTCAAAATTACCTTCGAATGGCATTTAACCAGTCATCAATATATACAGAGTAACGCCAATACTAAATACATCAACTTTTTAATCGTAATTTTGATTTAATAAAATTTCAGGAGCAATGAATCCAGGTGTGCCACAACATATATAATGATAATTGACATCTGGACTATAGAAATCAGCCAATTGGAACTTCTTTATACATAGAGTTTCAACATTGTCTTGAAATCTGAACACTAAATTTTCTGGTTTAATATCACGATGTATGATATTTTTTGAATGAATGTAATTAACTGCCTTGACTATTCGGAAGATAAGTTTGGCAGCTTGATCTTCTGAAAAGAAATTCTCCCTTATAATATAATCCATTAAGTTCCCTCCCATCAATAGTTCCTCAACTACAAAGACTTAATCAGTATTCTCGAAAACTTCATAAAATTTGATTGTAAAATCGGATTACAATCTTCTAAGTACTGAAATTTATTTTTATATTGCAGCTCTATCAACTTCATCAAATAGGTTTTATTTCTAATATATCTTAATTGCATATTCGTTTCCATCCGATTTATTTTTGGCCTTAAACACCTAGAAAATAGTAATATTTTATTTTACTTCTGAGAATTGGCCTCTGCCTATTCTTTTCCTCAAAATGTAATTGGAGTTGAAATCTGACTAAATAGTATATCGTTTTATATATTTGAACCAGGATTAAGCATCACAAAATATTTCGACAACATCGAAACACTTAATTAATCTAATGGCATGTCCATGTCTTTGATGATGGAATTGTTCTAAGATGGCATTTTCAAAGTCAATCCACTTTAATTTGTCCTGATTTAGTAATCTTCACAATTACCTTCTTGGTTTTGTAGAACAAATAGTTTTCAACGTTGATCAATGTCTTTTACTTGATGTCTCCTTTCTAATTCACAAATCTCACATCATCAGAAATAGAGTAACTACTTATTGGCACAGGAAGAGTGGTGGATTTCAACCATTTCATGGTCGAAAAGTTGATTTGAAAAAATGATTTGCAGTGCTTGTATTCACAACTATCAATTAACATTTAACGCTTACCTTGGATTGAGATCTTTTAACATTTTATTGATTCTCTTTATATTTACTAATTTAATTAACTTATTTTTATAATTATTGTATGATATCATATAAATTTATACTTTCTTATTTCTTATTTACACTAAAAAACTAAAGTTCGATATGTTTAATATAATCAGAATGAATCAATACAACAAACAGCCAATCCTTTCTTTTTCTCATTCTTCCTAATTGCATCCTAATATGTCCATACAAAATCTCCGTAATCCATCCACCCTAATTGTCTAGCTACATTGTAAACTCCACTATAAAATTCAATCTTCGTGCATAAATGGTACCCACTTATACATGCTCCTGTTGCCTCCTCTAAGTTACAACTTATGCATCCAAAATGAATGCTGGCACTCTCCAATTAGAATTAAGCTTGTGCCTAAATGAAATAGGCTTTAATTTCCTCTGTGTAATATTGGAATTTGTCCAATAAAAACATCATGCTACAATAATCTTTAAACCAAGGTGTGTTCCCTACGTAGAGAGGATGATCGTTAGGTTTAGGAGCTGCCTGAAATATTTTTATATTATCCAAAACTCCATTTATGTACAATTTCAATTTACTGCTTGTACTAACCAATGAAACATAAATCCATTGGTTAGCCAAAGGTCTACTAACTGAGACTAAGCCTGAATTTTCTGAGGTTACTGTTTAATCAATGTAGACTATGAATTATTTATGCTTTTAATCATAGTATAAACTGGGATAATGGGTCTCCTCATTGCCTTTTTGGAATATGGGACAGACAGATCTTGGTCTCTCAGCTCCACTGGTTCTTGGAAAAAACAACCACATACTGTAGGTAAAATATGGGGTTTATTCGTTTTAGGGGATTTCTAAAATTTGACTTCCCTTGAACACTCCAGAATAACCATCATCATATAAAGTGGGTCCTCTCTCTAGTTCTTCAACTTCATATTCTGATTGATCTATCTTATTTACTACCTTCATATCATTAAATGAGAGTAATATTTTTAGTGTATTTAAAAATGAGTTTTCCTACATTGGAGTACCTAAGTATTAGTTCAGAGTGTACCATTTCCACTACAAAATGGCATGTCAAATTCCATATCGCAATCAGATTCCATCTCTTCACCCTCTGCCAATTCATCTTGAGATTTAACTACTAGAAAGAAAACACAAAATATGAAAAACATTATTATATTAATAATTCTTATTTAGCTCAAAATGTTCATGCAATTGAAAATCCTAATCTCTCCATCTCAAATGCATCAACGAAATAATTTACTTCCTACCTCCCAGACTCTGACTTATCCTCCTTTATAAAATAGTCGTTCTCATCTAGAAATTAACTTAATTGTTTTAAATCGATTTTGGTTGCCACAATCTTAAGAAATTCTGTTAAGGCAAAATCTAAGCTACATTCAGGGACCAAAGTAGCAGTAAATTAATTACAACCTAGTTGCTGACTTAGTTATTGTAATTGATTTCTCTATTTTGGTATAGATGTAGATTTGCAAACTTTCAGATTTTACTACTGAAAGATGTTTAAAAGTGCATAAGTAATATTGTTCTGTTCCTAAGGTATTTCCAAGATTATAATTAATTTCTCTAGATACTATGCTTGATTCATATTAAAATCAGGGGTCCACTTAACGTAGGCTACGTATTTTTCTTGCCTATTTGGCACTAAAAATAAAAATGGGGTTTTACATGCTCGGAATTTATAGTATTTGTTCAATAATCCAATCAATAGGGTAATTTACTAGGAGGAAAACGGATATTGATTGGTTCTCCTATTTTTCGTATATTATTTAATTGGAGAATCAACCTTTTCATAATAAAGAATCTCTTTATAGTTTTGTACTATTGGCTTCAATACACAATAGATCATTTCCAAATTAGTTAATTCTTAATCCAGAAACAATAAGGATTGGCATTCTGAATAGCTTATTTCATATGACTAATGTATTTCAATCTTATACTGATATTTTTTTAATAAACATATGAAGATTGTCAGGCACAAAATAATTAGGATCCTCAAAAACCTTAATATGGACTCTAAAATCCTTCTCTCGAGATAAGTAATTCTCCTTAAGATAAATTACATAGTTTAATAATGATTCTTAATCCAGAGATTTATCATTCTCAATTAAGTTTTGCATACCTTTTATTTTTTCTTTTAGAGATCGAATTTTCGCATCAAAGTCAAATTAATTAAGTTTCATAGCGAAATCTTTGATTTAAAATTGAATCTAAAAGAGTTATGATTTAAGTCCATTCTCTAGCGATTATTTTTCAATTGATTTGAAAATTGAAGCAGCTGTTTATTCCTCTTCCATTTCTTGCCTAGGATTTTGACTCCTTACATTTATACCCTAATTGCGATTACCTTAAAGATAATTGTTCATAACTATTTCTATTAATAAAAAATCTCTTTTAATAAATAATATTTCTCAATAATTAATAATCTAAATAATCCTACCTATAAATATTTCTATTTCTTTTTTCAGCGATTTTCGATATTTCTGAATACGCAATACAACTTTATCCCTTGCTCATTTGATTGGAATCTATTTTTCTAACAAAGATTTTTGGGTATTTATTATATATATTTGAATACATTTATCAAAATATTTATCAAAAGAATTTATTCCCTTTGTAAGGGCATACCCATAAATATATTTACATTTTAGAATTAGCTGTTTGATCAAAATACTTATTACAATTATGATTATTTATTGAGTATTCAAATTTAGAATAATCTTGAGAAATGTGTTTCTAATAAAAAAAATCTCTACCTGTCTTAATTCCAATTTTATTTGGACCAAAATTGACATATAAAATTTCTAAATATATTATTTTATCAAATTGCTATTTCCATTATTTAATTCAATCAGAACTAAACATATTTGGCTGGGATTTATTACAGGGTGAGATTATTAATAAGAAATGTTGCTATCTATTGATATTGCTTGCATAAAACTCTAGAGTGGATTCATTAAGATGATGCAAGAATCATTTATATACTATTCTTACTTATTTATTTGAAATAGCGAATGTATGCTTCTGAAATTTCTATATGGAACTATATCTGTGTGTTTGAATCAAGAATGTGAAAGAAATTAGAGTTGTTGTTAGTGTTTCATTGGTTGTATTTTATAGGAATTTATTATTTGATTATTGCTACTAATATTATTGATAGTGCATGGCGAACATAAGTGTAAGGAGAAAAAAGAATGGGGAGGAATAAATAAAATATTATTTTTTTCATTATTTAACATGATTAGAATGTATAATTTATTTCAATAATAAATTTAAAATGAGTCGTGCAGTGTTACAACCCTTCGAAGTTTATCAAAAAGCAAGAGTTTAATTTGTGTAGACAGTGGCTGAGTTAGCAAAAAGACCATAAAATATTGAGGCATTGCAATCAGCAGGTAATGAAACCGTAACCAATCTTTTAGGTGTGATGTCCTTATTGAGACCGTTGCTCTTAGATTGTGTGCCATCAATTCAATAATCAGCAGCCTTGGCATTGGGAAGATTGGCTAAGCATTCAGAAGATTTGGCTGAAGCAGTTGTTTCCAATGAAATCTTGCCATAATTAGTGAGTTCGTTGGGAGAACAAAATCGTTTCTACAAAAAGGCAGCAGCATTCGTACTTAGATGCGTTGCTAAACATTCTTCAACTTTGGCAATGGCAGTTGTGAATTCAGGAGCCTTGGAAGCTTTGGTCTAATGTTTAGAGGAATTCGATCCAAGTGTCAAGGAAGCTGCAGCAAGTGCTCTCCGTTACATTGCCAAGTAATTATAAAACATATACTGTCTAGACACACAGCAGATTTGGCTTAGGCTGTAGTAGATGCAGGAGCTGTTCCATTATTGGTGCTCTGCATTTAAGAACCAGAAACTACATTGAAAAGAGTATCAGCAGGAGCCCTATCAGAAATCTGTAAGCATTCAGCCGAATTGGCTTAGAATGTAGTTGATGCAGGTGCTGCACCATTTCTCAGTGCCTTGATTCCTCATCATGATGCTGAGTTGAAGAGATCTGTTTGCTTTTGTTTGGCCAATATTGCAAAACACACTATAGATTTGGCAGAAGCTATTGTAGATGTGGATATTCTTTCCCAAGATCCTTTATAGATTAAAAGACACAGACCCTGGAGTTAGGTACGTGTTATTAACCTATTAAATAGAATAAGCCGCAACGCAACATGCATTAGAGAAATTGCAAGGTAATCCCAAGACCTAGCTAAAATGATCTGTAGTGCAGGAGCTGTTGTGTCTATTGTCGATTATATTAATGAAGCTAAGGGAGATGCACGTTTACCAGGAATCATGACACTAGGATTCATCGGAGCCTTTGACGAAGCTTTGGCCATGGGAATTATAGCAGCAAAAGGAATTGCCCCATTGAAAGACGCTTTAATAAAAGAGCCTGATCAATCAGTCAAGAGTGCTTCTGCTTGGTCTCTTGGAATGATAGGTGGACATTCAGCAGATCATTCAAGAGCCATGGCTGAAGCTGATGTTCCATCCCATTTGTTAGCTGTAATTACTCCTTCAATCCTAGGTTTATAAATTCCCTGATTCCAGTGAAGATCTCAAAAAGAAATCAAGTTAAGCTTTGAAATCCATATTATAAATGTGCACTTACTTGCCTGCTCTTGAACCATTAATCTCAGAAGCCCCTCCTGATATTTTATAATATGTCTTGCATCAATTCTAAAAGACATTACCAAATGATAATGCAGCCAAAAAGTATAACATTCCTTTTCATCATTAGACAATTTGTATTGTCAGAAGGATTAAAGAAGATCCAAGAAATCAAAGCTAATCCAGGTTCCAAGTTAAGACAATATATCGACGAAATCAATTCTTATTATCCCCCAGAAATCATTCAGTATTACAGTGCTGGATACGAACAATAATTGCTTAAGAAATTGGACGATTATAATGCAGATTGAACATTTATAATATTAATCCAAATATATATTAAATTACAAGTTAGCAACATAATTAAAATTCATTTATGTATAAATAACAACAATAATAGCAATATTCACATCCCAGCCAATTGATTCCTTCAGTTTGTACTCTTAATACATAAGAAGAAGATTAATAAGACTATTAACTTATATAAAGGAAACTCTAGTGTTACAAAGATAATTTGAAAATAATTCAAAAAAATAACGAAGACGATCGCAAGTATCTATCGTCTTCTTCAGATGTATTGCAATTGACTGAATCATAAGAAGATGACTGTGAATAGTTACGATAACAAATCAACTTCCTTCAAGATGAATTGAGTAAAACAAAATAAAATATGATGCAAATAATTGAGGAGCTTACTCAATAAAGAGATTTGCTCATATATAAGATTCAAGAATTAGAAGCTACCATTGATAACTTATCATAGCAAAAGCATCTTAGAAATAAATCCATTCATTCTACTTTATTGGATATCACATATGAATAAGATTAAACTTAAGATTATAGTAGAAAAAGGACTAGGTCTAAATATGATGATCAGAATTGTTGGAAACGAATTTTCGAAGAATTGGCTGACATGTTGAAAACAGAAAATGTTATTCAAGAGGTTCATAGATTATAATAAAAATGCATTAAGCAAGACAAGTTTATCGGATGCGTATAAGACTTAGTTGTTAAATTAACACCAAAGGATATATTTGAACATTCAAAACCTTAATTGAGAGATTGCTGGCATTGGATAAAAGGTATATGCACAGAATATATGAATCTAAAAAAGATGTAAGCCACAGTCATTGTGGAAACATGTTCATAAATTCTCAATGTACAACCATAAGACATTGTCAGTTAAATTCAATTTCTAATCAAAAGAATAATAGCTTAAAAAAATTGATTGTTATTTTATTTAAATAACTTTTTCAAACAAATTATTTATTTTTAAAATCGTTACAACTTTCAAAATTTTAATATTTGATTTAATATTCTACCAACAGAAAATTATTTCTTTTTTTTTGATAATTATAAACTTAGTAATTATAATTTAGGGATCTAATCAAAGCATATACATTAGGTAAGGTTAAGTTCTTTAATTATGATTAACTAAACTATATACTAAAAATTAATTTTAAATACATCTTACATCTATTTTATAAAGTTAAATATTGAATCTCAACTACGAATTTAGATGGTCATAATTAATATTTATATTCACAATTAATGAGTTACAGATGTTAAAATAAACTTAGGATAAACTATTAGAAATAGATTGTTAAGTTATAGAATAGAAGAAAAAACATTTAAATTAATGTTTATTGACCGCTCAAAAATTACACTAATCTTTTATAAGAATAAAAATCTTCCTCTTTTTATGAATTAATCTCATTACACTGATTCTCAAGATTGACTGATCTTCATTCCATAAATCTATCAATCTATTAATAACAATATGTTGGATTGAAATTAATTTCTTCAAATTTTACATCCTTTTCTCAAAAATGTAGTTCTTTTTGATTATAACAACTATTTCTAAAAAATTTCATTTGAAGTTTTGAAATTTTATTATTTTATATAGATTGAATCTACGATTTTTTACAGTAATATTGACTATTATTCTTCTTGAAGAGAAAGTAAGAAAAAGAATCATAATATTTCAACTAGAAGTTTTTAGAAATATTTTATACATTAAATTTTAAGATGATAACTTAGTACATATATTAATTTGTCAGTTTTAGATTGCATTAATTCTAAATATCTTGTCTTATCCTATGGTTATAAATTAACCTTGAGAATGAGAAATCCAATAGATGGCTAATATGGTATTCAAATGAACTTTATGTGTATGCAAAATAATTCTATCTTTTATATTGTAAACTATTAATTAACCAGCTTTATTTCCAAATATCATTATCTGTTCATTATACTATATGCAAGATTGTATTGCAGAATCAAACTTGGTCTAGTAGACAAAATCATATTTTTATATTGTATTGTTAAATTGAATAAATCTAATCATCTTATCTTCTGAGAATGAATAGATATAATTATCAAAGATAAATAAATTTAATATATTTGCTGTGTGTCCAGTAATTATATGTTTGATTAAAAAATTAAAACTGTCCCAAATTTTAATTGTTTGATCATGAGAAACACTGATTAATTAATTATTAAAATAATAAAGTTTATTACATCTTTTTGAATGAGCACTTAAATTAGTACTAAATGTCCAATTCTTATAAATATAAATTGATCCCACTTCATCACCAAATATCAAAAACTTATCATAAGAGAGCAATGAATAAATTTACTTTGTTGTTTCATTGGCTATTTAACAAAATATCTTTGGATATGAATTCTAAAGCTCATTCTAGTTATAAACGTAAATAATTTTATCGTCCCCTGCTATTGCGACATATATATTGTTCTCAAATTTGAATTTGATTGCTGATCTTAATGATTTAGGACTGCATTAGAATATGTTTAATAAAGTTGCATTAGAATGCACAATTATTTTTCCTTAAATAGTTGTTAGGAGGATGGCTCTTTCATAATTCTGATTAATCTGCTGATTAATTATCACAATATCCGTAATATCATACTCAAGTTTATGCGTATTAATATTAGAAACTTTGTACTCTACTCTATATTTAGCGATTTCTTTTTCTTTTATCATGAATTACAAATTAGACTTTTAATACTTTTACCAAATCTGTTATTATTAATCTACCTCAAAATTCTTTTTTATCCTTTCCCAAATCTCATCTTTCTTCTACTATTTTTTTTCAAAAAATTAAATAAATAGCTGCTTATTATCAAGTATATTGAGTGGAGTAATTAACTCCACAAACTCTTGAGATTGCATTATCGAAGTAAAATATTTATAATCGCTTTGTATCATTATTCTGAGTAAATTATAGATTTTAGAACCATAATATTTATTGATTAGTTCTAAATACTCTGTTTCTTGTTAATCTTCAATCTCAATTAATAAGAATAATTGCATGTAGCATCTACCAAGATTTTTTAAGCTCTAATTATTACTTTAGTATTATTGTTTTACGAAATCTAGGATCAGATACTCTTCTAAACTAACTTCAAATTTGATGCTTTGCAAAAAATTATCCATAAATTACAAATTCTCAATATTATAGATAATATTGGTTGGCTTTATGTTTTTAATCATAAAACCATTTAATTCCAATTCATATAATTTTATGATAGTGTTTATTAAATTCTAAGTTACTTTAAGATTCTATGTTTTGATCTGCAATTCTTTTGCATAATCCTAAGGGTTTACTTCATAAATTTTTTCATCATCATCAATCAATTCATTATATAATTCTTAATCCTCCTTTTATTTTAGTGTTTCGCTTTAATTTTATTATATCACTTATTTCAGCAAATTATTAAATAATTAATATTGAATATAAATCGTAGTGTTTTCTTCTACATAATAATATTGGGGAGCATAAAGAATGTCAGTTTACTTACTTAAATACAATTCCAATTCTAAAGTTTTAATCAATTCATTAAGCTCATAAACATTTTCAAATTTATATTACTTTATAAGATGACCACTGTTATTTTCATAAACTTAATAATTAATTCCCTCATAGATTAAATTTTTAATTGTTCTATCTATCTACTTTTCTTATTTTAATAAGTCAGGTTTATAAATCATTATAAGATTAATTTATTTACTTAAATAATATCTTCTTTATAATCAATTATTTTTAGATGCCATATATCATTTATATATACTGAGAACTTGCTTTTATTAATCCTATAAACACTGATTAATAATTTTTTTCTTTGATTGATAATTTTATTAAATGAATAAAGTTTGCTTAATTATTACTCTATTAATTCTTCAGGATGTCAAGGCTTAGTATTCAAATTAAGAAAAATGCAGTTTAATTATAAAAAGTATATTTGCTGGCTTAGGTTTAATGTATTAAACAAATGAAATCAATTACATGGAAAATTTAGATTGCGATGGTTTCTTAGCTAATATTTCTAAATCTGTTGAATTATCAAATAAGCAGCATTAAGACTAATTGCAAGCAGGATGGTATGAACTTGGGAATGCATTTGGAAAAGTTATAGAATCGATTAAGGTAGACTTAAACAAGGATCTATCCAAATAAAGTGCCTAGTTATAATGGTTAATAAGTTATTTCAACAATTTGAGGTTAAAATTAAAAAATACTATTGTATGCTAAATAGATGAATAATGGAGGCAGATAATTGATTTACTTTTCGAATCATCATTTTTTAGTAAACTCGCATTTGAATATAATAGGTGACTAATTCAATTTATTCTAAGACAAATAGTATCAGTAGTATGGGTATGAGGTCGGTTAAATGTTCTTTAAAATATAAATGAAAATTGTTAATTTAAGCTCTATATTTCAAGATATGAATGTGGCTTTACAAGTTTTTAACGGGTTTTAATTTTCCATTAAAGATCAATCGTAAATTACTAAAGATTAGCTAAAGAGATGCTTAGAGGGTGCTGATTAAATTGTTATTTACTTTGATGATTTCTCATATCAGGTATAAGAATATATGTATATACCATACACTTTTTGTTTTCATAAATAAATTTGGCTCGCACTAAATCATTATACAAATGCATTAGATAAATGTTCCGATTCAATAACTAATGCTCCAATTTTAAGCAGTCGACTAAAACAATTCCACAAAGTACTAGAAAATAACAAATTTTTGATTAGAATTGATCTTAATCCAATATTTGATCATGTAATTAACATATATAAATTAATAGGCAAGATAGGCATATATATGTTGGTGTATGGGATATTGGTTTGGATTTGGAGAAGAGTTAGGGAATTATTTAACAAATTTAGAAGAAGATATGTAAAAGCGTCTTCAAAATTTTTGAAAATAATTAGACAATATTGTTAATTTAAAAATATTATTTTATGGTAATAAAATTGAGATTGTTTCGCATCAAAACTGTATTTATTTCTTGTACTCTTACAAACTCATTGGATATTCACAAGGTTTACCTGATTCCTAACATCTTTAACACTTTTTTTTATCGAATTCTTTTTTTTTAACTACTTTATCATTGAGTTCCCATTGCTTATAGTCAGGACATCCTTCTCTGTGATAATGATTTCCATGAGCCAATATTGGAATTCGATCCACAGAACAAGCTGAACATAATTCTTTCTAGCAACTGAAACATTTCACATGATTGCATCTATCATCCTTTGTTTGAAGTAGCAGACAAAAAGGACAAACAAGAATTGGCATATTCAAAAATGCCTTTTAAATATCGATTAATAGACTTGGACAGGATTAATTCTTTTATAATTATAACATTTACATATTAGTTTTCGCCATGATATTCTTGACGACACAAACTACAAAGCATCGTATTGCATTATAAACATTCTAGCTTTACCTATTTACTTAGAATCTCTTTGCTAGCTTTAATTGGCAGTTAACATTTACAACATTTGAGAGGAATTTCTGCTAATAATTTCCTTTTTACAATTTCACCATAAAGTGAAATAGAAATATTTGTTTTTAAAAATTCATTATAGCCTTTTAATGATTGCATACAAGAGTAACAAGTGATTAGGTCAAAATTCATATGTTATATTGCCTTTTATTATAAACTTTGTTTATAGCAATCAGCATGAACTATCCGAAAGCAGCAAGGAGTCTTTAAGGCTTCATTTGAATCTTATTAATAATTCATAGTGCATATTTAGCATTCTTCAGATTCTTATCGCTTCAGCTAGCAGTTAGTCTAAATTCTGGATTGTATTGGCACCTCATTATCTTTTTTAATTTATGAAAGTTGATTAATCTGTTATGTAGAAAGCACATCTATTTCTTCTGTCTCTTGTTGTTCTGATACGTTCTATTAACTTGAATTACAAGGAAGTGAAGATGAATGAAAAATTGGAGTTTTTAATTTATCTTGAAACTATAATATTGTTTCTGTTGATGCGAAAATTCCATTATTTAATTTTGGTATTACCTTCATTTAAGAAAATAATACATTTCCGTTTTATTAAAGATTCATGTTATTAGTATTTGCATTAATATAATTAAAATTAATAAAACTATTGGTTAAAATATTAGCATTAGTATTACTATTAGTATAATTTGTTTATAATTTCTATTATTGCTAAAATTATTATTATTATTATGGTTATTAGTATTAGTATTATTACGGTTATTATTATTAGTATTAATATGGTTAGTATTAATATGGTTAGTATTATTATGGTTAGTATTATTATGGTTAGTATTATTAGAATTACTATTACTAGTGTTGTTGTTATTATTATTATTATTATTATTGTGATTATTATTAGATAACCCCATTTGGAAAAAGAGGGCTGTTCTTTATCGATGACTATTTTGGTTACCCATTTGAAGGTTAAATATTTGTTCCCTTTAACTCCCCTTAGATATTAGTTTATTCTTAAATTGTTAATACAAATTTTTGGTTATTAGAATTGAAATTCAAGGAAGGTTAAGGTTATTGATTTTAATTTAAGTTATTTTTTGGAATAAAAATTTAATTTTATATTGGAAACAATCTTCTAATATCATTGTTTGTTGAAAATATGATATAACGTGTTTCTCCTTTTTCATCTTTATGTGTATATAATACAATTCGATATTTTACTTCTTATTCACTTATTTCGGAAACTTAAGTGCCATTTTAACTTTTATAATAGGAAGGAGGCTTATCTGAAATATGCTTTTCATAAATAAAACTTTCTTTAAAGCAATCACCAAGTCTTTTGAACTCATTACTTTGAGGAAAAGGGGTTAATGATTATCTCTAAAATACCCAAAGACAAATATTCTTGAAATTTTCTTGCTGCAAATCTTTTAACTAAAATTTTAGTTATTCTTAAAATGCATCCCTCACTGTCTAATTTTAAGATAGTTTTAAAATCTAAAAGAAGAAAACTCCAAAACTAACTTCTAATTCCTCTAAATTAAAATTTATTAATGGGTAGCAATTCCATTGCAAAAGTCTGGATTCTAAATTGGGGGGGAAATAGATTTTTCTTTCTTTAATATGATCCAAAAACTCCTTTTTTGAACGAGTCATAGAAGAACGAAGAATAAATTCCTATGTTTAATCCATTTTCTATTAAAAATAATTATAATATTTATTATGATTCTCACAAAAATATTATTTCTAGGTGGATGGAATTTTTAATCACAAATTCACATGTAAGAGTTTCCTTTTTATTTGAGATTTCGTAATTTCTACTTTATTTTCATGATACATAAAAATACCATCAAGGAGTAATATTAAAATGTAGATTCCTTACAAATAATTAGCATCTTTTAAAAATTAATATTTATTTCAAAATTAGGCCGATACCCAAAATTCAGTCAAATTTTCAATTATATTTCAATTTAAAATTTTTAAGATTACTATTCATAATTTAATTCAAATCAATTCCAATTAGCAAACAAACAAGGGACTGATATTTCAATTTTATCTAAACTTACCTAATATTCACTTTATTCCCTTCTTTTCAATATCACAAAATCTTTCTCTTAGAGGCAAATATAATCACAGCATAAAATATGTTGTGTTGAGAGATAGTATTGAGAGATTTCATTTCATAATGGAAAAAGTAACAAAAATTGTATAACTATTTGTGTTTGGTCACAGTATATCGTCTGTTTCTATTAAAATTGTAAATAAGATAGATTGAATAAATAAATTTGTATGACTGCAAAATCTTTAAAGTTTCAATAACAAATTTCAGAAATACATTATTCCTAAGGAAATCATTCTCGTTGACGAATTCAAAAATTAATAAAAAAACTCACATTATACATTGATTAAAATGTAAGTTAATTTAATAATAAATAGATCCTACTTTCAAAATTTAGACTCCTTTTTAATTTGAATTATTTTAAACTATGCTTTAGTAATTTTGAATGTTCGGCTAATACGATTTGATCGAATTTCATATTGTATTTCCTTCATTTTTAGAAAATATCAAAAAATATCGAAACCTATTTTAGAGTAATACTCTAAGCAAGACAAAACATTTTTCTATTAAAATTAGAGATTTGAAAAAGACTTAAATTAATCAAGATTGCTGCTTAGCCTTGATATTGAATCTTCTATTTCATAAACTGTTTTATTACTTCTAAAATCTAAAACAAAATTTCTCCATTGTAATTGTAATTGCAATTTCGTTTAAAGTTTATCATTCACAAGTCCCTATTTTTATTATTATCCAATTTGATTCCATACCACCCAATTTAGTTGTGTATGCAATATTCATAAATTATATAAAAATTAAGCAATTCTTTTCTTTAAATAAAATGTTCAATATTTCATAAATAGTGCAGTATTTAATTAAGTATTGCAAATTAATTTTTGTAATTTTAGCAATCACTTTTGCACTTAATATTAAGATGCTCTAATAGTAATTACAAATAAAAGTTTAAATTTAATCTTAATACAATGGTAACTATCCTTAATATTATAATTTTTATCTGTTATGAAGACCTTTTTAATTTAAATATAATATACATTTAATAGAATTTACATTAGTTTCTATTCTCCATTATTTTTAAGATGACGATATGCCTTAGGTAATTGTATAGTGTATAAATTTTTAAGAATAAAATCTTTTCATATTACTTATGTTATTTTTTGTGGAATTAGTTGTTTTGATCTCACTCGGCCAATGCGTGATCTACTCTAAAGATCAAACAAGTATAATTATGATCAATTAGATTTCTATAAAAACCTTCTGCCTTCAGTCGATTATTACATTGAAACAGGATATGCAAGTGTTGGAGATTTAACAAAATCAGAAAATAGATTATTTTATTCGCTATATTTGAAAGAAGCAACAACTAGAAAGAGTGATGTAAAGCCAACTGATGAGTTAATTGTTTGGATTTATGGAGGTCCAGGATGCTCTTCTTAGGATAGTAATTTTAATGAAAATGGGCCAATTTTAGTCGATGATGACTAAAAATTACATGCAAGGGTATTAATCTATAAATACTTAGAAAACATCTTGGAATAAGCAAGCTCATCTTCTGTACTTAGATTAACCTTTTTCTGTAGGGATGAGTTATTGGACTAGAGATCAAATGATGAATAGCAGTTGGGATGCAGCTGATTATGTTATTGAATTATTGGCTTAATTTTTTGAATTGAATAAAGAACTGGCAAATGCAAGAATGCATATTTGGGGAGAAAGTTATGCTGGCCATTATATTCCTGTTTTAGCAGAAAAAATAAAGAAACAAACTAAAATAAATTTAGTTGGAATTGGAATTGGAGGAGCATGGTCACATCCTAAAGTCTAAGTTACACCTACGGTTCCATAATTACTAAGTTATGGTGTCATAGACTAGTACTAATATGGCAAAATGATGAAATCTGGGATTGAAGCATTAGAAGCTGCTGAAAATAAAGAGTTTGATAGATATATTGCTATAAGGGACGCAGAAATAATGTTTAACGAGATTATTGGACCAAATTTTAGATATAATATTCAATTTTATAATACTGATGTTGGAGTGTAATATGAAGATTTTATTAATAACCACAAAGAATAATTTGATCTTCCTACAAATATTACTTTTAATTCATGTAATCAAGATATTTATGCTGCATTTGCAGAGGATCAAAGCATTTCTGTCCTTCCTTCTATAGAATATTTGCTTTAAGAAAAAATTAAAATTTTCGTTTATTAAGGTTAATTAGATACAGTTGTTACTCTTGCTGGAGTTGAATAATGGGTGAATTTATTAAAGTGGTAAGAATTGCCAACATGGAAGAAACAAAAAAAAACTTAATGGAAATTTATTAATCCAATAACTTAAGAGGAAGAAACCGCTGGAACGATTAAGTCTTATAAATTACTACATTTTTGCGTGGTTTATAATGCTGGACATATGACTTCTACTGATTAGCCAGAAGCATCTTTTTAAATGTTAAAGAACTACTTTGATGTATGATAGTTTCTAAATTCATAAAGAATTTATTTCATTTAAATGATAAACAACATTATATATTTGATTTAGCCTTTCTATTGTTCATCTTTTAAGAAGCTCTTTGCATGATTCTATTTTTGTATAAGAGACGACTATAGTTGAAATTTATTATCTTAATCTGAAAAGTTTGTCTTCAAACTAAAAATTCTTAGTAAAAGAAGTAAAGTTTGAATTGATTGAGAAATATTAATAATTCTGCATTGGCTTTACATATAGGAAGTTAATATATTAGATAAATTTTTGAGACATTACTATTTATAAATTGATTGGCAGAAATTTGAAGAATGTGATATTATTTTTCTAATTCATCGTCCTATTGTTTTAATATGTTTTAATAGGATTCCAATGTTTTATTAATTTAAATGCAATTCCAAAGAAAATACTAAAATATTAAATGCATTTATAATAATTGTTTAAATAAATTTATAAATAGGTTATTTATTGAATTATAAAGAAAAAATTAATTTATATAATTTTTTCTGTAGGCGGCTAATAATTATTGGAGAAAATCTCAGAACTTCTATTTAACAAAATCTCAAATTAAAAGTTTCCATCATATAAAATAGTCTACTTTTATTTTTTTGATGAGCATAAAGATAATTTGAAATAAAATTGAGTATTAGTATAAAGAAAAAATGAAAATCCAGAGAATAAAACATCTGTTTAATTAATTATTCTAAATTTCACAATAAATCATATATTATTCTGATCAAAAGAGTACAAAAAAAATTGAATTTGAAAAAAATAACATAATAAAATGAAAATCAACCATTGAAATAAAATTAATAGGACCAAACCACGACGCATTAATTTTATATTAAATATTGTAATACTTTTATCATATTTAACTTATTTATTAATTTTTTATATTTCACTAATATTATTCTTTTTTTTACTTGCTACCACGCAGCGAGTGTTCGTTCAAGGCTCTGTTGGATT